TTATATAAAATATTAATTTCAAAATTAAAAATAAAATTTCATTAAAAAAAAATAAAAATATAAATTTTAAAATTAGAAAATAATAATTACAAAAAAAAATTATATAATTTTATAAAATATTTAATATTCCCAAATATTATCTCGTATAAAACCATAATATCGTATTTATAGAAAAAAATACAAAATAATTATGTTTCAAAAAAATTATTATAATAAAATATTTCCTATTATATTTATATATTTTAATTTAAAGATATTTATATTAATTTTAAAAATTTAATATATTTTTCGTAAATAAAATAATTCTTTCAAGATATTTATTAATATATTATGTATCAAATATAATATTTCAAATATATCGAATTATATAATTTTTATTTTTCATTCCATATTCCACCTTATATTTATCATTCCTCATTTTATATTCAATATTTTATACTCTACACTCCATATTCTACACTCCACACTCTACACTTTACACTCCACACTTTACACTCCACACTTTACACTCTACACTTTGCACTCCACACTACACACTTGACACTCCACACTCCACACTTTACACTTTACACTCCACACTCCACACTCCACACTCCACACTCTGCGCTTTACACTCTACACTTTACACTCTATACTTCGCACTCCGCACTTTACACCCCACACGCTCCACACACTCTACACACTACACTCCACACTTTACACTTTACACTTTACACTCCACACTCCACACTTGACACTTTACACTTTACACTCCACTCTACACTCCAACACTCTATACTCTACACTCCACACTCTACACTCCACACTCCGCACTCCACATTTTACACTTTACACTCCACACTTTACACTCCACACTTTACAGTCTACACTTTACAATCTGTACACACTCCACAATTTACACTCCACACTCCACACTGCGGTTTACACTCTACACTTTACACTCTACACTTCACACTCCACGCTTTACACTCCACACACTCCACACACTCCACACACTCCACACACTCCACACACACACTCCACACACTCCACACACTCCACACACTCCACACACTCCACACACTCCACACACTACACTCACTACACTCACTACACTCCACACTTCACACTTTACACTTTGCACTTTACACTTTACACTTTACACTTTACACTCCACACTCCACACAATTGCACAATACACATTAGACTTTACACTTTACACTCCACACCCTACACTTTACATTTCACACTCCGCACTCCACACTTTACACTTTACACTCCACACTGTACACTTTACACTTTACACTCTACACTTTCCACTCCACACTCTACACTGTAATCTCCACATTCTACACTCCGCACTTTACACTTTACACTCCACACTTTTCACTTTACAGTCCACACTCTACACTTTACACTCCACATTCCACACTTTACACTTTGCACTTTGCACTCCACACTCTACACTCCACACTCCACACTTCACACTTTACACTTTACACTTTACACTTTGCACTCCACACATTGCACATTACACATTAGACTTTACACTTTACACTCCACACCCTACACTTTACATTTCACACTCCACACCCTACACTTTACATTTCACACTCCACACTCCACACTTTACACTTTACACTCTACACTTTACACTCCACACTCTACACTTTAAACTCCACATTCTACACTCCGCACTTTACAGTCTACACTTTACACTCCACACTTTTCACTTTACAGTCTACACTCTACATTTTGCACCTACACTCTACACTTTACACTCCACATTCCACACTTTACACTTTACACTTTGCACTCCACACTCTACACTCCACACTCTATACTCCACACTCCACACTCCACACTTTCCGTACACTTTACACAACACAATCCCGACTTCACAGTATACATATACATTCGCCACTAAACACTACACTTTCTTCACACCCCACACTTTGCACTTCACACTCTTCCGCCTTCCACATGTCTACAGTGCACTGGTACGGTAACAAGGGGAAAATGTACAAGACTGTTCAAATAACTTGTTTCACAAAAGTGTTCTACGTGACTGCATTCGGGTTCGTGGGCTGCATCTTGTTTTGATCACATCTCTTTCATTAGAGAGAGCCTTTTGTAACATTTTGGATGTTCAGAAAGGGAATGCATCATTTGAACATATTTTCAATCCATGTTGGGGATCTGTAGTACTATTGGGAAGTCACCTATGAATAGAAGTGTTTTTTTTATGTAGTACTATTGCAAAGTGCACTAAACATAGCTATTGGCAGTTGCGACTAGAAAATCCCACTTAATTAACATAGCTACTGGCTATTGGTTGAACAATTTTTTAAGCATCGTTGCAAAGTGCACTAAACATAGCTATTGGCCGTTGCAAGGTGCTTCACCATAGCTATGTTTAGTGGCCAAAATAGTGCAGAAAAGCTTCCAAAAACAAATAACGTAGCTATTGGGAGCAAAAAAATTCATAGCTATTGGAATGGTGGCAACGGACATGTTTTTTGGAACGTGAAATTCTAGCTCCCAAAATGAAAAAAACCTGGCCGTTGGACGTTGTCGGCGCTAACAAACGTAGCCGTCGGATTGAAATTTGCTCAATTTCACCTACTACGTTGAATAGTGGTAGAGTAATATAGCTATGGTTGAACCATTTTATAACATCGTTGCAAAGTGCACTAAACATAGCTATAGGCCGTTGCAAGGTGCTTTCACCATAGCTTGTTTAATGGCCAAAATAGTGCAGAAAAACGTCCCAAAAAAAGCAAAGACTGTTTAACGCAGCCATTGGGAGAAAATTTTCACATAGCTATTGGAATGGTGGCAACGGACAGGTTTTTGGAACGTTCAATTCTAGCTCCAAAAATGAAAAAATGAAAAAAACTTAGCCGTTGGCAATGTCGGTGCTAACAAACGTAGCCGTCGGATCGAAATTTGCTCAATTCCGACGTCTACGTTAAATAGTGGGAGAGAATAAGATGAGTTGTGATAAATTAAAAAGGAAGGGTTCAATTTTGAATTGAGAAGTAAGAAAAGTTTATATGAGATAAAAATAATTGAGAACAGTTGTCAAAAGATTGTTCCTGCAACGCACGGGGCGTTTGCCCATCTCCCATAGGCACACTCGTTTATTTTACTCTATAGGCCCTATAGGCCTTTCATTCTTGAAACTTCTTGCCCGGGTACTACTTGTACTAACACATGTTCATATCAGTAGCGAAAAGACATTAGCCCGATAATTGTTTGTTAAAATCAGCAACAAATAAAAGTGCATGATATATCATGATATGTCGTATTAGTGAGATAAACATCTAGTGCCTCCAAAACAATATACAATTATAGGCATCCGATATTCAAAATAAAACTAGGAAAAAATATCGCGGACACGTTTTAAGTTTCCGCGTCGACATGTTGTTTTTTAAATAATAATTATTTCTGTGTTAGATTATTGTGTGCTTGTCTATTTTTCCAATACACCAATGTTCAGTTCAGAATAATTTCTCCATAAATGTAGATTGATTGTTATTCAACTAGTTTATTCTTCAGGCGTCATTTGGTTTAGAGAATCAGACTATGCGCTTGAGTAAGGAAGCGTATCACCGTGCTTCGTCTCCGTTCGTTTCATAAGCCAAATCGGAAAAAGGATCGTTGAGAATTGGAGCAAGCCCAGGATACTGTTGATCAAAGGAAACCCACGAGTATTCGCCAAAGACGCCAAAGGCTGTACCAGTAGATTGCAGAAGCCAGCAATGGTCAAAGTCAAGCCAAAGCTTGATCCAAAGTTGGACTGCCCAAAATGTCGACCACAAAACACCGGATTCAAGGTATAGAAAAGGGGCCGGCAGAAAGCAAAACACACAAAGGCAGCTCTTGGAAAGGAATAGCTGGTTCCGATAGTGGAATAGACCATGAGCAAAAAAGTGAAGGCTCCGTAGGTACACTGCAGGATAATATAGCCCATTGCAACACCCAGCCTGTCAACGATAGTGCCAATCAGAGGCGCAAAAACGATTCCACCTGCGGGCAAAAGCCAGGCAAAGTCCGAGTTCAGAGTGTCAGCATCCTCCCCTGAAAGTCCTCCAGAAAGCAATTGTGGGTATGCAGTTGCAATGAAGAAGTTCAGAGAGATCATTGAGATAGAAGCCTCTCAGCGCCAGCGGTTTGCTGAAAGACTAAGCACACAAGAGCTGTAAGGTGGGCTGGTTGTTGCAAGACCATGCAAGACCTATAACATCCTATAACTAAGGCTAGAAGCTGTGTAGACCAGCAGCCAGAACTCAGCACTTCTGCAAATTTCCCAAACGTCGCGCTTCACAAGTTCCCGCCGCTCACTTTCCTCCCAAGAGACTGCATCAATGAATCTCAAAACAAAACTGTCAAGGTTGTCCTTCCTTCTGTGGCAAATGGTCAGCCCAGATTCATCAGCTGTTCTGTCTCGTAACGACAATTTGGAGCCACTAGCAACTCATGCAGGACAAGGTCGCAAATGTCTTCAATAACTTCAGTATATATATATAATTATATATATATTATAATTATATATATATATATGTATTGTAATTATATATATATGTTCTTAAATTCCAATGATGTTTCTTTAGATCTGATAATGATAACCCCCATGCCTTGCCTTGGCCGACTCGACCGGCGAATCAGGCCACGCAAAGGTTGTGAGCCAACAAGTGGCTGTCATCAGCGCTAAAAGCCGGAAGGCTGTTCCAAAAGACAAGCCGGTGTCAATCATCGACCTCAGCGAATTGTAATTCATCGCGATAAGAACGTTGCAAGCTTCAAAGACTAAGAAAAAACAGCTGAAAATGGATAAGAATCATGAAGATCCATCTCCACAAATTTGGAGTTTCCTCACAAAAAAAGAAAAGAACAAACCTTGGATTCTTCTAATTTGATCAAGCCTCGCTAAGATAGCAAAATCACCAGAGGATGCATCAAAACTTCCCACCAAACAGGCAGTGATAAGACCTGCATGCGCAGGGAAGAAGTTTCCTTGGCTCAGGTTCGTCCAAATGAAGTTGAGGGACAGGCTTTCAGCTCCCCCATGACCTGTCCAAGCCTGCATCAACTACTCATTATTCGTATTGTATGTATTGTTAAAATATCTCAACCTTCCTGTCTTTCCAAAGATCAATTTAAGGACTGGAACCTGGTTCCAGATAAAAAGGGAAAGCATGAAGAGCACTTTCCAAGCATAAAGCAAAGTAATAAAACAAAGAATGACAAAGATATATAGAAAAAGTATGAAAAAGTATCAATACATGAATGAATAAATTAAATGCGTGTACAATTGCTGCCTCGAGAAATAATGTTGACATAGAGTCGTAGAGGTTGTTTTTGGATGTTTTTGGCAGGATGTCGCACCTCTGGACTTGCTGCCAAGTTTCCAAAACTCATCGTGCAATTGAAAATGTAAGGTCCGCTCAGTGACATCAAGATAAAACCAACTGTATAGTTGGTGTCATTCTCGGGTCCAAGAGAATAAATCCAACAGCCAAATGTCGCCAAGCCGCCAAAGACTGCCGCTGTGGCTCTGGGGCCCAATGCATCCAGCATCGCGCCGGATGGAAGCGTAAAAATATTGAGCAAAGAAGACGCAAGAGTGAACATTCCTGTCAAGCCTGCGCTTGCATGTATCAAGGAACTATATAGTTTCTGGTATTTTCTGGTTAAGTTTCGCAAAAGCAAATACAAATACAGCCCTTACAAGTTGCACGTACTCTTTGCAACCATGGGGCGAGCGATCTGCTCATTGCATGATCTTATGCCAGGTTGACAGACTTTGGCAAACGCTCCAACTTTCAATAAGGACGGCATCAAAGCGCTGAAGCCAAAAGCAGTCCCAGCAGTCACCAGGCAGCAATAAATGGCTGAACCGATGATTACAGCACGCTGAATGGCTCCGATGTCTTTGTGGTGGAGCGCCATGTTTATATGTTTCCCGCTGGCGCAAAACAGGTTCGATATCGGAACTTTGGGATCAAATGGCACGGCGAAGACCCTCACAGGAAAGGCACTTCGGACTTCATGTTGAGCTTATTTATTAGGATCTGAAGCACAGATCACCAAAAAGATAATCGGGGCCAGCATCATCTACCATCCAACAGAAGCAAGAACTCTCTCCAAACGCTTTCACTAAGACGGAAAGCGTCACTTTCTTCACCACTCTGAGAGTGAGGTTCTTCCAATCACACATCATGTGGGTTCTTGCATAATCTATCCTATTGTGAATATACCATGGAAACTCTGGGTCTCAACTGGGTCCGCCTCTCATATTCTCACGATCTCCGGGTTAGTCTTCCCCAGTCACAAAGCATGTCATGAATTGTATTAGTTCTTTGTCCTGTGTTTTTGCCCAAAAAGAAGACATGCTCCAACCGAGCACGGCAGTATGTTATGGCATGTTTGCTGCACCTTTGAGACAGGAAACATCGAATTCACCTAGATGAAGTGCATAATGAAGCAAAAAAGGGACTACCCCCAGTGTCCCAAGATATTGGTGCCGAAGATCAACTCTGAACAATCCATGGAAGCTGCTTCAAGCCAACTTCAAACAACTTTTCGACAGACCGTCGGGTGATGCGATGGCCACGCCACGCTCTCACGCAAAGCAAATGACATTGCTATGACATTGCTCGCCTTCATCCGGCGGCGCAGTGCTCGCAGGAATGGTGCCTGGCGGCTGCTTTAAGCGGCTCCAGCCTCGTTCCATCTTGGTCCTCACTGGAGCGTTGTACACCGAGAAAATTAACAGCTGGCACATCCTGAGCCTCCAAACACTCTGTTCTGTTGGTGTCTGTGGCTCAGATTTGGAGCCCCTGACAGACTGAAATTCTACGACAAAGAATTATTTACAGCTGAAGGCTTCAACTGAAGTTTGCGGCAGCAAGGACTGCTGGGACAGGAGGGCTAAGGTAGCATTGCCATCTGCAAAACCCACATATGATCTCGTTATCTCTCGCTATCTCGCTTGAGTCTATGTGTCCATTGACTGCCGATTGAGGAAATTTCTCGTCCTTCCTGCCCTGGTTCAACAGACATGATTCGTCTGTTGCTGACCTACGGTGGTGAATAACCAGCTAGATACATGACAAGCACAAAGACCAATGCCACTAAAATTGTTGCGAAAAAGGTCTTGATTGCTTCGATCTGCTTCTTCTGAGCCCATTCCTGCAGCTGCAAAGACCATCTGAATGTGATGAGTCAAATCATGGAGTTTTCCAAGATTGGACGATCTTTGCAAGGCTGCCTACGGGTGACATAGATCACTGAACACAAGGTTTCAATACCTATCAGGGGAGAATCATACTTTGGACCTTGTGCTCAAACCCGGAACCTCACCTGGTGTTCTCGAGGAATACGCCGCATTGTGAAGACTCCGTCAATACTCCAGCGACCCAGCATGTTTGAAGCTGGCAACAGGGCAAAGCTCAAGAAAAGGTCACACCCCTTGGTACGCATTCCCCGCCCCTGAATTGTTGAGCACTGCTTCCAAAAAGATTTGTATAGAAAGAACAAATGTCAAACTTTTAATATATTCGTTTCCCAAGTTAAAGACTGGAATCCTCATATTCGCGTGAGAAGCACCTCTGCCTGTGCAACCTGAACAGGTTGATGAAAAGAAGTTCCTGGAGTGGTTACAGATCATCCGTGTGAAAAGATCAGCCCTAGACTGGAATCTCTTTGCGTAGCACTCTGCCTTTCAATAAAAACCTTCGTCTTGCCTCCAATGCTGAACACTTTTTGAAAGCCAAGGCCTCATTCAGAACGAATGCTGGATGCATACAGGTAAAGCGCACCCCATGACATTCCAAAGATGCCGCCAAAACCTGAAGAGCTGAGTGGAGCGCATTTTCTTGACATGCAGGTGTGCTAAAACATGACCGAGTTGTTAATTTACCCTCTTGACACTGTGGGGAATGCAATGCTGTCGGTCCACTTATCTGCGATAGTGTCTATTCTGCTTCCCATTGCCTCAAGTTTCCGAAAAGTGAACAATTTTGACCCGAGAAACTTGAGGTCCAGAGCAATACTGCTCAACCAAAAAGTGTCAGAATTTAAATAGGTATGCAAAAACATGCCAGTCAAAACTATGTGAAGACCGCAGCCCACGCCATCTCCAAACCCAAAAAAAATCACCTGTGCAGTTTTGAAACCAACTGAACGGAAGCCCAGTAGGAAGAGCAGCAAGGCGGCCAAGAAAATGGTTGCAAATAAGCGAATCGTTGATTCTCTTTTGGTAATGCTCCGATTCTCCTGCACTGCTTGCTCCATGGCTGGCATCCTGATCCAAGTTCAGACAATGACACAAATTTTGCATGAGAAATATGCGGACCTGTAAGATACTGCGCAACGCATTGCAATGCAACAAAGACTCTGAGGATGAGGCTCTTGAAAAGGGCCAGCGGACATGGTCTATGACATAAGTTTGCTGCTAATTTGCTGTCCTTGTCTGTGGTTGGTAGCAAGCACTTTTAGTCTTTCGGGGCATCAAGATATATATATATATATATACATATACATATATATATATATAGAATTATATAGATAAATCTCGAGACGTTTCAGCTAATCACTGATTATCACCTGTTGCTTAACAGAAAAATCAGTTTATTCACGTCATGGACCATTCCTGTCTTTTCCTGAGTACGTAAATTGCTGCATTGGCGAGTCAGAAATGTCCCTTTCATTGATTCATTGTTCCCGACTGTTGCATTTGGACGCACCCAAGTGTATCCTGAACAAAGTCCTCTTATAGCAAATTGTGTCTCTTCAACATTTCACCATTTCTCCCTATTTTTCCCAGTTGCAAGTTGCAAGGAAACCTTAGTCGTTGATTCATACGCATCAAGGGTTGCCACTTGGCATGCCTTTTTCCGCTGACGCGTTGGATCCTCACTGCCACGAGTCTATGACCTTGGAAACGCAAAAGCTGAGCTAAAGGATTGCATGAGATTGAATAGTCCTTATTATTCTTTGATTACAGTGACTCAAAACAGTTTGGTATAGACTAATCATCAGGCGTTTAATATCATATGAGATCAGCCTGATACTGAATGTTGGAGGCAACAGCGCCCGGAATTTCCTATATTCTATACTTGGCGATTTCCGCATAGTTATTATATCATATCCGCCGACCCCTGCGATGAGCAGGGGAGCGCGTCAGAGAAAAAGTGTCGTTCCGGGCTTCGGGCGGCAGCCGAATGGGTCGACCATGTTTTCGAAGGGTTTTAGGAAGCGACCTCAGCAACTGAGGCCTGGCCGTGGCAGGGCAATGTGAAAAGCTGCGCGGGTGCTGTGGCGAGGCCGGCTGCTTCAGAAAGTTGCGTCCGGCATTGGCATCCTGCAGGCCGACCCCCTTTGAAACTGGCAGCTCCATGCTGTTTTGCTGTGGCGGGCCTCCTGTTTGGACCCTACAGGCTTCAGAAAGTGACGTCGGGCATTAGCTTGGCATTCTGCAGCCCGAGACCCTTCGAAGCTGGCAACTCCATGCTGTTTTGCTGTGGCGGGCCGGTTGTTTGGACGCTGGCGGCGTGGCTCCCGAGCTTGTTTTCCACAGGCTTCAGAAAGTGGCATCCGGCATCGGCATTCTGCAGCCCGAGACCTTTTGAAACCGGCAGCTCCATGCTGTATTGCTGTGGCGAGCCAGCTGTTTGGACGCTGGCGGCCAGAGCTTCTTTTTCAGAGGCTTCGGAAAGTGACGTCTTGGCATTCTGCAGCCCGGGCGGCCCTTTGAAACTGGCAGCTCCATGCTGTTTTGCTGTGGCGAGCCGAATGTTTGGGCGCTGGCGGCGTGGCTCCAGAGCTTGTTTTCTACAGGCTTCAGAAAGTGACGTCCAGCATTGGCATCCTGCAGGCCGACACCCTTTTTGAAACTGGCAGCTCCATGCTGTGTTGCTGTGGCGAGCCGTTTGGATGCCGGCGGCGTGGCTCCAAAGCTTCTTTTCTAGAGGCTTCAGAAAGTGACGTCCGGCATTGGCATCCTGCAGGCCGACACCTTTTGAAACTGGCAGCTTCATGCTGTTTTGCTGTGGCGAGCCGGCTGTTTGGATCCGCGGAGGGGTCCGGAAGGAAAAATTGGCACCTTGGAGGTCTTTCAACAGAGATGGTCTCACATATCACCAACATAGCCTCAATATAGGCCCCAAGATGGGCCAACATGGGGCCAACATAATTAGGCCAACATGGGGCCAACATAGGGGCAAGACAGGGCCAACATAGGCCAAGATAGGGCTAACATAGGCCAACATAGGCCCAACATGGGCCCAAGATAGGCTCAAGGTGGCCCAACCTGGCCCAACATGGGCCCAAGGGCGGCCCTTCAATCCGGGATGGTCTAAGATATCGCCAACATAGCTTCAACATGAGCGCAACATGCTCCCTACACTGACTTCAAGCCGTTTCTCTGCCGGCGCCCAGCTGTCAGGCGTAAGCCCTTAAATAATTATATCACTACACAGAAGACTTATCAAGACACAACATGAATCACCTTGAGTCTGATATCATATTCAGTCCGCACCGCTCTGGCCTTCTGTCTTTTGGCGTTCGGCGAGAGTCGCCTACCCCCGATCAAGTGCACCAAAAATCCCGCGGCAATGGCAAGTCGTGGGAATTCTTTATGCACGACCACTATCAGGGACACATGGGACACATTACTTTGATGCTCACTACCACCACACGCCTGGGTGCCGGTATGGGCAATTTGAGCGTTTGCACTCCTTCAAGCAGGGATGCATCGGCAACACTCAAATCGGATTCGCAAAAGCGCAGTCATTGACGCTCCTTTCCATGGTGGCAGCTTTTCCGCCGAAATGATTCAAGGATTCCTCCCTCAGTTGCACACGGGCAAGGTGGTGAAGCTATATGTGCCTCAAGCTTACTAGTCTTACTCCATCTTGCTCCCCTGGCTAAATCAGGTCGCTGGCATACACAAGCAATCACAAAGAATGCACGAACAGCTCAGCCACATGCAGCCTCTATTGTTAGTTTTCATGATGATTTAGGTACTCTGTTCGTGACTGGTTTTACGCTTCACTGCCACCATACTTAGGCAGCGACCACGTCTTCTGGCGGAGGATGTCGCAGAGGACAGTCGCGACCCATCGCACAACTCTTCATACACCAATCAATGCATACCTGATGAAGCTAGACGTGCCAACATGCCAGTGAGCTGACTGTCAACATTTTATATACCAGGACCACCGAAGGAAGTTGACAAGCACTCTCCACTTGTACATCTGAAACGATTCCCGATATGACTCGTTGGTCTGCCTTTTTTCGCCTAAATCCATCGATGGAGGCAAACTTGACACTGCAACAGGGTCGTGCGCAAAGGCGAAGAGTTCCAAACCCTGGCAAATACTGATTGCCTCCAGTTGCAAAACCTGGATTCACCAATCTAAATATTTCAACAGGACAGTTTGCTTCGACAAAATGGCCGAAGATTCTATGAATTCCACGTCCTATAGTCCCTTCTGGCCTTTTCGCGATTGATTCGATGTGGGTATTCGTGTCCTGCATGAGCTGTGTCCAAGTTTTCTCACACCAAGTCTGCACTGAGCGAAATAGCACTATACCAGATGAAATTTAAGATTTACTGAAAAAACACAAGACACATGTGTATATCATGTTATGTGGGTACTTGATGGCTATAACAAAATACGGAAATATGCCCCACCGACGAACCAGTGACACCTACCTGACACTGAACACCTTCAAGCCTAACTAACAACAAGTTCGAAGAGCAAAGTCAGAGATCTACAGAATTGTTAGGAATTTGTTAGGAATGTTGAGAGAAAGTTTTCTCCTCGATCGACTCGACCATACGTCATGGAAGGCACTGGAGGAGGCGGGGGCAGCCGTGCACGCGAATGAGGCGCTTCCCGACGGTCGCGTCGCCTGGCGTGTCGAAAGTTTTTCGTGCACGAACAAGAGTGAAATAGAGAAGGAGACATACTGCGTGTGTGTGTGCGTGTGAGACACACCCGGCGCAACAAGCATCACCTCTGCGCATCGCGACCCTCTGACCTGCACAGATCACTGAACCATATCTCTACTGCTTCAAGATGTTCAAAATCAGAATCTCAGACATTCACATATTTTCAATTTTGATGTGTTCCAGTACATTTGCCATATACCTTGCGGCCGGTATCACCAATGACAATGTGTCGATTCCGGCTGGCACCTCACGTGTCTTACTCGCCGGCGTTCCTCCGGTGTATGGCGTTCCAATGGGCGCCGAGAATCAGTTCCTCAGCTGGAAGAAGATAGTGAACTAGCAAATCCAAGTTAGATCATCATAGTGTATCTAATTACTAGCGAAGCAAGTTTTGTGGTTCATGCTACACCAGTATAATTCAATAACTTTTTTAATAATATAATTCATGCCAGCTCGGAAGCAAAACGCAGAATAGAAAGGCCGGCAGACTGACAGTAGCTATCCGATCTATCCTCATCAAAGAGACGAAATCACCTGTGTGTAACGTGTGAAACCAGGCTCCCGCACGTTTGACCTCGCGGGTCCGCTCAGGACGCTCCCCTGCGGGCCCCATCTTTTTGCATATAGCGCAGCTATGCGCAGTGGGTCCTCTTGAAATCGTTTTGAAATCGTTCGATATCCCAGTAGTCTACCTATCCGTCTTGCTCTGGGTCCTTTCCTCTCACCAAACATGACGCAAGAGTGGTTATGCCCTTTAAGAACAGGTTACAGCACATGGAGAGGCACGAAGCGGGACAACACCGCCAACACCCCTTCTTCTCTAATTCTGCAGGAGCAGCAAGCTCACCAAGTATACCCAAATGGCAACGCGTGACAGCATCGTCTCTTTTTCTTCACTGCTGTTGTTGGTGCCGGTGGTGGCGATGATATGGTATGGACCTGCCAAAAACAATGGCCTGGAGACATGCTCCGCAGTCGCTCTCCGCGCATCAGCGGCCGGCTGCGGCTGCGGGACCTCTCAGCGAACAAATTTAGGCCAAGGTGAGAGGACATGGTTGCGAGTACTACCAGTAGTACCGCACAAGGCGGTGGCGGAAGTTTCAAAAATAGGAAACCTAAAGGAGCGGTTGGTTGTTGTGAACCGCAGATGGCAGAGCGAAGCCACTGATGGACCAAAAGGTGCTTGAGGTCTCCTCTCTTTCTCTCTCTTTCTCTGACCTACCTACCTACCTACCTACCTACCTAGCTAGCTAGCTAGCTAGCTATCTATCTCTCTCTCTCTCTCTATCTGTCTATCTCTCTATCTGTCTATATCTCTATCTGTCTATCTGTCTATCTGTCTATCTGTCTATCTGTCTATCTGTCTATCTATCTATCTATCTATCTCTCTCTCTCTCTCTCATCTGTCTGTCTGTCTGTCTGTCTGTCTGTCTGTCAGTCTATCTATCTGCAGGCTTGGAAACGAAGCTATTCTGCGAGACTTCCTCAGTTTTTGAACTTGACAGCATCAAAAACGTAGCAATTCAGCGAGACCTCAATTTTTGCATTTGACAACATCAAAAACGAAACGAGTCTGCGAGACTTGCTCATTTTTCGAAGTTGACAACATCAAAAACGAAACAATTCTGCGAGACTTCCTTCAAAATTGGAATGTTGAGTGCAGAGCTGACGGCCTCGTACCAATGAGTTTTGCGATTTTTCCACTCCACCTGTCTAAAGTACTGCGCCTGCCACGAAAAAGTGATGCCAGGTCATACGAAGTGCTGCACCTGTCACACAAAGTCATCTCAGCAAACCTGAAGATCTGATGCTCCAAAATGCAACCCCTCTCAGGAAAGCAGCGCCCTGACCTCCTAACATCACTGATGAACATGTCTCTTGTACTGCGCCTGCCACGGAAAGTGCATCTTTGCAGATACCCTTCAAATGTCCCACGCCTGCCATCGTTTTTGGAAATGCTACAAAACCCTCACGTTTTTCTCACTTTTGACAAGGTGCACAATCCCTTGCGCCTGCCACGCGAAACGACATCTGAACGTCAAAAAGTGTTCCGAACCCCTGGTGTTTTGAACATTGTGACTTCGAAATGTGCTTCGCGCCACAACGGCGGGCACTTTTTCGACATCTCAACTTCCAAAAGTGGTCCGGACCTGGTGTGTTTTGTACATTTTGACTTCGAAATGTGCTTCAACGGCGTGCACTTTTTCGACATCTCAACTTCCAAAAGTGGTCCGGACCTGGTGTGTTTTGTACATTTTGACTTCGAAATGTGCTTCGGGCCACAACGGCGTGCACTTTTTCGACATCGCAACTTCTACAAGTGCTCCGAAGCTGAGGTGTTTTGTAAATTTTGACTTCGAAGCGTGCTTCGCACCACAGTGGCGTGCACTTTTGCCACATCCCAACTTCCAAAAGTGCTCCGAACCCGTCAGTTTTTTGCGCCTTTGACTTGGAAACGTGCTTGGCGCCACAACGGCGTGCAATTTTTCATCTCTCAGCTGGCCAGCTGGCTCCGCACCCGCCGCTTTAGTGAGCCTACTTTTCGACCCACCGGAGCCACAAATCATTGGAAAAACACAGTGTTTCGCGACTTTCCTACCTTTTCGCGCACCTGGATCTTCTTTCTTCTGAGACTTTCTCTTTTTTGATCTTCTTTCTTCTTCTCTTCTCTTCGCTGACTCTTCCCATCTCTGCTTTTCATCTGTCCATATTGTCGGAAGTTTGACTTCTAAACTTCCTTCCACAAGTACTTGATCAATAAGTTTACAACACTATTTGAATGGGCAAAAGTGCCATGTAAAGCATTTGCAATCATGTTGGATTGATGCCAATGTTCCGATGTGTTGTGGTTCCAAAATGAGAGCTAGCGGTTCCATGACTGCATGCCGAAGGTTGACTGGGCATTGCCAGGACAGAGCTATGGCAATTTCTCGAAGAATCGAACAAGTCCAAAGCAAGAACACGGTCCAAAAATGTCGCAAGTTTAAATATGGTCACAAATGGCACATGCCACAACATGCCACAATAAATGGAGCACATGCCACATGACTTCCACATGTCACAAGTGGCCACAACTTCGTCACGCCCCAAGACCTCCTCGCCAGAGCCGGCGCCGCGCTCGGAACGGCTGGGACCTCATCTGCAGTGTCTGCAGTGGTGGAGCCCGCAGTGCCCGGAGCGCCCCGGGCGCCGCTGGGCGCAGTGTGCGCAGTGTAAGGGCCACTGGAGAGGACATCCACTGGAGGATCCTCCTGCAGTTGCAACATATTCAACATATTCAACATACATCAACATACCGCAAAAATGCCGCTGTGACGCTTCCACTATGTTTACTCTGTTTAATTCTTTTTATATCTTTTTATGTTTGTTCTGATGTTTGAACATCGACATGTTTGGAATGGACTTCTCCTGCCCATGGGTGATCTCCGGATCGCTGGCCTCCTTCAGGTGTGCTCTGCAATATTCAACAGTGGACTTTGAAAAAACCAAGGGAGGCATGGTTGTTCCCCCCTACAGACTACAAGTATCTATACATACTATACAGACAGACTGTTTTCATCTACCCAAGCTTTCTGTCTTAACGCAGCCTCCCTGGCCTCTTGTGGCAAGTCTGTCACTGAAGTGGGGCTGGAACTCTCGGAGGCCTAACGAAACAAGAATCGTTTCAGGCCTCCATGGTTGCCGTTTCAACTCGTGTCCCTGTCCATAGTCCATGGAGTCCATGTGCAAAGTTGAACACATTTGACAACCATTCCATTCCATTCCTACATACGAAGCTGATCAACAGACATAAACGGAATCTTTCTCCTGTGCGATCCATTGGATTGCTACAAGACATCGCACCTGTGGAACCTCCACTGGTTCAATTGGCGGAGCATCAGCCAGGGCGAGGGAAGGCACCTTTTCCTCGCAGAGCCGCGAGCTCTGAGCTAGTCCGTGTAGTCCGTGTAGGAAAACAGCAGGTGAGTCATCATTGAGTCATGCCCAAAATGACCAAATGAATCCGACGCTGATAGTTGCCTGCTTTTGAGACGCCTGATCTTGGAGTTCTGTGGTCAGCCTGGGCAACACATAGCTTGCTCCAGAGACAATGTAGCAATGTAGCAGTCCCTAACCTCCCTTGCATTTCTTGAAAGAGTCCCCCTTTTTGCCAAGAGGCAGTTGAAGCTGCGCAATCTGGGTCCTGAGGCCTTTCGAAACGGGGAATTTGTAGATCACCATAGATCACCCAAAGACGGCGCACAAAGGTCCTACTCTCACTGTTGTCTCTTCGAGCTTGTCTTTTGTTTCTTACAGCAGATTGCATTCAATCTTGTTTTCCCACCTTGCACTTCTTCATTCAAACGTCTCACTGTTTCATTGAGGTTCCTTGGCTGCAAGGTTTAAACTTCATCACCGCTCAAAATTCACATCTGCTCCCGTCAACCCTCTTGAGCATATGTCATTGCCCTATGTTTTCAAGGGGCGCGGAAGGCACAAACTAAGAACTTTGCACACTCGTCAGCATTGACTAATCTGAAAAAACTACCGAAACTTGGACGATTCCGACTCACATCATATAATGATCCATCATGACCAAAAAAATGCCCAACACAAGTTGTCAACTCTCGATTTGATCAATCAGACTGCTATCCAGCAGAAACCAATCAGCAACAAACTTTGGGCAGTATGCAGAATCCCAGAGGTCTTGGGACTCTGACTGATTCTCCTCTGTCATCTGCTGCAGCTTTTGTGCCTGGTATCGGAACAAGTCGCGTGCACTTTTGACTTTCACTGTATTTTCTGCTTCTGGTATCTTCTGGTAAATCTCCGTGCGTTTCTTCTCTCAACGAAGTTAGAGATAGAGCAACGTGGTGCAGTCTATTGGATCACTTCATTCAATGGTGGCAATGGCTAGGCATGAACCAAAAGAGCCTACAACATTACCTAAAATAATAGCACGCTTCCTTCAGGCCTTCATCATCTATGAGAATCCCTGTCTTACAATTGTATACACTTGCATAGATGCCAGAGCGATGCCACTGCATGTGTATATATAATTGTGATTATGTATATAGACATAGATAATATTCTGTAATATTCTGTATATATATATATATGTATATATCATCGGTATAGTATCACTAAGAGACTATTTTTCTTTGTCTGTTCAAATGCAGTCCATTCCGCAAGGGCTAAACACACACGTTTTTAGGATGCTTGTGAAACGATGACAACTTCTGTGAATCGGTGACAATGCGACTAAACGCCACATTAACCTCTTGACTGGACTATAGCCACGTCGTATATATGTTTAAATGTTTTAATCTACACAGTACAACCCCCTGATGCGCCCAGCCTGCTCCTCGTAGTCCTTTGTCTGCTGAGATGCCTGACGCTACGGGATGCACCAACACTCTTTGACGCTACGTTCACGTCTGTTGCCCTGCACTTTCCATACTTTCCCGGACTCAGGCTGCACCTCTGCAGAAAGCCTTGGCCAAGCTACGAAGCTGCTTACATGTGGTTCAACTCTCAATTGTCATGAGTCATCAGCCATCTAAAGCCTGGAATTGGCAAATACACAAGTGGTTTGGAGTGCTGCAAACGTTCCAAAGTTGGCAATGAACGAAACTCTTGTAGCTGCCACTACTAACACCTCCCATGGCAGGAGCGAACTGAGACAGAACAACACTTTTTGCAGCTGTGACACTGATCATAAAGAGCCTGGTGCAGATTTCAAAGCCGCTTCCTTGTGTCTCCTTCTAATCAACTTTCATACTGTATGTTCTTCTGTATCCTGCCAATGTCTCCGGTATTAAACAGTTCCTTGTCAAACCCCCATTATTCATGCAAAGAGTTTTTGGAGAGCCAAAACAATACCTGCTTCTATCAGCCTGCAGAAGCAATTCCTCTGCTTGTGGAATGCTGTCAAGTGGTCTTCAATCTTCCATGTTGACAAAAGAACCAAAGAACTGATCTCGCCTTTTGCTGGTTCAGCTGGGACTCATAAAGGGCAAGCTTCTCTGTGTCCTGCTCGTATGAAGAAAGCAACACCTGGCAAAAACAGAGAGAAACCGTTGGAGAAACCGGTGCAAACAGAAGTTTTAAGAGACACCTTGAGAGACACGTTGGATTCACGGTCAGCTCTGCAAGCCCAGCCTCCTGACCATCATGGACGGCCTGGGAAACGTGGGAAGCTGATACGGCGGATCAAGATTGGATCAAGCTAGTTCGAGCTGTTTCAGGCTGCTCGCAATCTGGAAGCGAGATGAATCATCTATGAATTCCAAGCTGTCTCTGGTCGCTCTTAGAGTCTTAGACCTTGTTTTGGAGAGTCGCGTAGCTTGTTAGCTTGTATTGTTTCACTGAGAATCTGCGCGGAGCCCAGCCTTCAGAATGCTTTCAAACGCCTGGCACTGGGCACGAAACAGTTTGGTACCAGGCAAAATACAGCAAAACTGCAAAAAGATGCAAAAAGTAAGAGAACGTGTAATTCCAAATGCAACAGCGATTCGCCTCAGGGTTCTATGGAACGTGAAAAAAGTCAGAATAGCGCCGTGCACTGCGACATTTGACCGATTGAGCACAGAACGATGTGCTTGACGAGGTTTGGAACATCATTTTTTAATGAAAAATGTATAAAGACTGCCCTTTTCTTTGAACTAGCGCAACACATGAGCTGAAGGCTGCCTTGCTGACATCTGTGGCGAAGTGCATCACTGCAGCAATGGAAAATAGCAGCAGGTGGACCAATTGGCCGTGACAGCCTGGATTATTGGCCTGTTGGCTCCCAAGCTCCTGAATTTGTTGAACTCCTCCATTTGATGATATTTCATGCATTTTCATGCTGCAGAAAAAGGATGCCAACCACAAAATCTATATTCAGGTTCGTGACTAGTGACTAGTGTAGGAGGCGTGCCAAGTGAGATTCAAACACTTGCTTAAAGCTAATAGATTGACAGAAGAGAGTGAATCAACTCTCAATCGACAACGAAGTAAATGCATGCTTACCATACCGTTTTGCTCAAGGGGTCATCACCTGCTGTTCATGTCTGATCTTCCATATGTTCGAATCTCAGCAGTTGCCCTTAGCTCTGAGAGCTTCATGGTTTCGTGAAACATTGCTTGGGTTCTCCTGGATGAAAGCCCGCATTTCTCTCAAGTATTCTGGGCCAAGAAGAGCTGGCAAAACCCTTGGGATCCATGCAGTTGCTGTCTCAAAGTGATTGTAAATTATGTCAAGTCTGAGTGAGCCCATGTGCCCAATCTTGGTCAAGAACTTTCAAGGACTCCACGTTGTGATCCTGCTTTGTTTGCCCACCTTGCTACTTCATCCTCGTGACACTCGCAACACGTACGTGTGATACTGGTCACAATAACAATCAACGCTGAACTCCTGGTGTCAGTATGCACTCGAGGTTCTGATTTCTTGCCCAAGCAAGCAGCATAGAAACTATGAAGCGTTCTTTGGCTTCCACTGGCAACTTTGGCCTGCCATCATTGTGACCTCTCACGCACAAGTTTCCTTAGTGAAAGTTGGTCGGGGACCATGCAAAGAATGGTTTTCCTTCAGTAGAAGCAGTAATCAAGCCGTGCCCATCAATTGTGTCGGCAATTTAGCAGAAATGCGTGGATCCGAGCTGCTGCAAACCCCCTGCATCAAAGGTGATCATAGTAACCAAACGCCACCTGAAGGCCAGCATGATTCAAGCCCAAATCAACCTAGGGCCTAGGGTTTGAACATTGCCAGATCTGGCATGCTTCACTACTTGGTGTCTGTAATTCATTGATGGCAATATTTGGAGGAATGCTTTACTTATCGCACAGATAGATTTCCAGCTAGAAGGGCTACCCCTGTAGGAGTGCGCCTCCAGCGAGGTAGCTTCAGAAAATTCAGCATCACATGATCCTTGGCAACTCGATGATAGTCCCACTTCTTGAAATTCACCCGGTTACCCGGGTGAAGTCACCAAATCTCAGCAATTTCAGAGGCTCAGCAAGCTCGTATTTCTTGATCCAAGACATCAATGTCTACTAAAGGGTTCATGATATGATGGTGCCCAAAGAGCAGGGTCAAAATCTGTTACAAAATGTGCAAACTGCACCGTTTGGCTGTGCAAGCTAGTGCATTTCGAGATGCCATGAAAATCTTTCCCTTTGCCCCCTCGCCTTAGATCACAACCATTCAGCAGAACCACCTGAGAACCCCAGTTTTTTCTTAAGTCTCAAAAGGTCCCTTTCTGGCCCATGTTGCAGGTTTCATGAGAAACCCTTCGCAACTGGCCAATCAGCCAAACATGTTTTTTTGTAACAATTCATTCGTCTCAAGCACAGCAACTTCACGGTGCTTACGGGTTGGAGTCAAGCCGCGATCTCCCAACAGGAAGCTCAGCAGTCTTTGCAGCTCTTCCTCCTGGATATTCATCGCAGAGGCTACCTGGAACTGTGGCCCACTGTGGCTGTGATTTTTCATCGCCTTGAGAAAACCAGCCGATCTGCTCAAATTGGTTGCCTGGAAAGATTTGAATCATGATGAATTATGTGTTTTGTTGCAACCAAACAATTACATTGATATATGTATGTATTGATATATGTGTGTGTATGTATGTATGTATGTATGTATGTATGTATGTATGTATGTATGTATGTATGTATGTATGTATGTATGTATGTATGTGTATGTGTATGTGTATGTATGTGTATGTATGTGTATGTATGTGTATGTATGTGTATGTATGTGTATGTATGTGTATGTATGTGTATGTATGTGTATGTATGTGTATGTATGTGAATGTATGTGTATGTATGTGTATGTATGTGTATGTATGTGTATGTATGTGTATGTATGTGCATGTATGTGTATGTATGTGTATGTATGTGTATGTATGTGTATGTATGTGTATGTATGTGTATGTATGTGTATGTATGTGTATGTATGTGTATGTATGTGTATGCATGTGTAGGTATGTGTATGTATGTGTATGTCTGTGCATGTATGTGTATGTATGGGTATGTATGGGTATGTATGTATATGTATGTGTATGTATGTGTATGTATGTGCAGGTATGTGTATGTATGTGTATGTATGTGTATGTCTGTGCATGTATGGGTATGTATGTATATGTATGTATATGTATGTATATGTATGTATATGTATGTGTATATGTATATGTATGTGTATGTGTAGATGCATAGATGCATAGATGCATAGATGCAAAGATGCATAGAATCATAGATGCATGTATGTATGTGTGTATGTGTGTATGTATGTATGTATGTATGTATGTATGTATGTATGTATGTATGTATGTATGTATGGGTATGCATGGGTATATGGGTATGGGTATGCATGGATATGCATGGGTATGCATGGGTATGCATGGGTATGTATGGGTATGTATGGGTATGTATGGGTATGTATGGGTATGTATGGGTATGTATGGGTATGTATGGGTATGTATGGGTATGTATGGGTATGTATGGGTATGTATGGTAATGTAATGTAATGTAATGTAGTGTAGTGTATGTTATGGGTATGTATGTCTGGTATGTATGTATGTATGTATGGTTATGTATGGTATGGTTATGTATGGTTATGTATGGGTATGTATGGGGTGTATGGGTATGTATGGGTATGTATGGGTATGTATGGGTATGTATGGGTATGTATGGGTATGTATGGGTATGTATGGTAATGTAATGTAATGTAATGTAATGTAGTGTAGTGTAGTGTTGTATGTGTTATGTTGTGTTATGTATGTATGTATGTCTGTCTGTCTGTATGTATGTATGTGTGTATGTATGTATGGTTATGTATGTATGTATGGTTATGTATGGTTATGTATGGGTATGTATGGGTATGTATGGGTATGTATGGGTATGTATGGGTATGTATGGGTATGTATGGGTATGTATGGGTATGTATGGGTATGTATGGGTATGTGTGGGTATGTATGGGTATGTATGGGTATGTATGGGTATGTATGGGTATGTATGGGTATGTATGGGTATGTATGGGTATGTATGGGTATGTATGGGTATGTATGGGTATGTTATGTATGTGTATGTATGTGTATGTATGTGTATGTATGTGTATGCGTATGCGTATGTGTATGTGTATATGTATGTGTATATGTATGTGTATGTGTGGATGTATAGATGTATAGATGTATGTATAGATGTATGTATAGATGTAAAGATGTATGTATGTATGTATGTACGTACGTATGTATGTATGCATGTATGTATGTATGTATGCATGTATGTATGGGTATGTATGGGTATGTGTGGGTATGTATGTATGTATGTATGTATGTATGTATGTATGTATGTATGTATGTATGTATGTATGTATGTATGTATGTATGTATCTATGTATGTATGTATGTATGTATGTATGTATGTATGTATGTATGTATGTATGTATGTATGGGTATGTATGTATGGGTATGTATGTATGGGTATGTATGTATGTTATGTATGCTATGTATGTAATGTATGTTAAACCATGTTATGTTATAATATGTTATGTTTTGTTATGTTTTGTTATGTTATGTTATGTTTTGTTATGTTATGTTATGTCCGTCTGTCCGTCTGTCTGTCTGTCCGTCTGTCCGTCTGTCCGTCTGTCCGTCTGTCCGTCTGTCCGTCTGTCCGTCTGTCTGTCTGTATGTATGCATGCATGCATGCATGTATGTGTATCTATATAATGTAATCTGATATACACCGACAGCACTGCTCCTGCCTGATTGGCAAATCCCACAAGCCGCATCAGATCCGACGACAGAAAAGCTCCAAAGCTTCCAGCAGTCAACGCTTCTGCAAACAGCCCTGTGACCTGGGCCATCCAAATCATCCAAGCGATACTGAGCCATATCAAGATTCCACAAATTGGGACACATGGACGTGCATGAAGATCATGAGATGCATGGAGACTTGATGCGCTGGGCCTTCGCGAGTGGAGCTCCAAATCTGCTAAAGAAGTGAATTTTGGGGATCATGATCATCATTACCAAACCGAATGTCAAGCCTTGCCATTGAGAGATGTGGGGTATTGGACGAAAAGCCCAAGCAAAGCCTGAACGGCTTAGACTTTTCGCCAAAACAGCAGCAGCAACAAAACTCCCTGCAGCAGAACATAGAGTTCTAGCAAATAGAAGAGGGGAGCAAAGTAAAGAATATGGTGGTAGAAATCAAGGAAGGCCTATTCTGATTTGAAGCGCTGGCGCTGTGCAGGGAGGTCATGGATGGGATCGATAAGACATCAAGCGGAGAAACTCCAAGGATTTAGCAGAACACACTGTGTCCGAGTGGCTAAGGAGATGGACTAGAAATCCATTGGGCTCTGCCCGCAAGGGTTTGATTTTGTGTTGTATGAGCATGTGAGTACGGGGATGGAATCAGGTCAAGGGCAAAACAATGGAGGCGATTAGCATGCCAACTGAGCGTAGGGATACGTACAGGACTCGTGGGGCTACCAAATCCTCTGGCTGCACCAGCTGCGACAGAACTGTGTCGCTGCGGGACAGAACCGTGTTGCTGCGGGTGACTATGTGCCCCTGACAAAAGGGTGGGCGACCCCAGACACTGGTAGGTCAGTGCACTTCCCACGAATTCCCAGCTGAGATAACAGGCCGCCGGTCATGAATTAGATTATAATTTTAAAATATGTTTCAACACGTTTCAACATCATATTCAACTAAAAACATACTGAAAATGCCATAGCCCCAGCGACTCCAATGGCTTCGATCCGGATGAGATCCCCCAGGCGGCGAAGCTTGCTGAGAAGGACTGCCAAGCCGAAGGCGGCTAAGACCAGGCTGTAGGCCATGCCCAACAGCACCATCCAGCCTTGGAGATGTTCGGATTTTTCCAGTGGTTGGACCTGTTGATATTCTTGTGTTCATTCAAAATCACTGAATTTCCATGAAATTCCAGTTTATATATGTTTATATCCTGTATGTATGTATGTATGTATGTACGTACGTACGTACGTATGTATGTATGTATGTATCTAAATATGTCTATAAATATATATATATATAGGGTGAAGGCTGAGGGTTCCCCGGAAGCCAATTGCATTTTATTTGTATGGATATGGAAAATGTTATTTTTACACTGTATTTTACAGTGTTTTATGCTCTTCTCTGAAATTGTTCGATCAGCGCAAGTTGCAGTTTCAGCGCGGATAAACTTGACGTTTGTCCGCGCAGAAAAATGAGAAATTTACATCTTCGATGGATGGCCAAACATGTGCGCAACATTCTAACCATTGGAAGTGCGGTTTCATGCATTTTTGGTCGTTTTGTTGATAACTACAAAATGTCATAATTCACTGGAGAACCATGGACGAACTGAACATTACACCTTTTTCATCTTCACGTCCACAAAGGCATTTTATTTGTATGGATATGGAAAATGTTGTTTTTACACTGTATTTTACAGTGTTTTATGCTCTTCTCTGAAATTGTTCGATCAGTGCAAGTTGCAATTTCAGCGCGGATAAACTTGACGTTGCAATTTCAGCTTCAACGAAGCAACATCCTCAAGGTTTCAACAACTCTCAATCCAACGCGGTCCACATGACGTTATTACACCCCCCCACCCCCTTCTGTGAACAACAACGAAACTTGCAACGTAACAACAGATTCAACGAAGCAACATCCTCAAGGTTTCAACAAATCTCAGTTACCAACACAGTCCACATGACGTTATTACCCCCCCGACCCCCCCATGTCTATACCATAACGACGTTTATAGTACATGACAAGACTGAGGGTTCCTGGAAGCCCTGGGGGACCCCCAGCCTTGAGCCTATATATATATATACATAAAGGTACATATTTATATGTATATATAATATTTTAATATTTTTTATAATGTAGTTCATCTAAATCCAAGTCGTTTTCCGAAGGTTTCTGGTGGAACTTCAGGAGATGAATCCATTTGCTGAGGAGTCCACAGCCTTGACAAAGGTTTGGATCTGCAGCTATCTTCCGCAACGGGCCCAGAATGTTGCGCTTGTTCAGAAACCTGCCAACAATATCCTTCGAGGGAAACTACCAGAATGCCACTGAGTGGGGTCCCCTAACGCATGCCAAAGTGAAAGAAAACAAAGACTCAAAGATGTTCAAAGGAGAGTCATTTCCATCTCTGACGGCGTGGGACCACCATGAATTCCCCTGATACCCAGCGGATCGTCGGATCGTGAGACGAGACACGTGGTCATCTCACACCTGGCCTGAGAAATCTCATTGAAGAAAATCCCGCCAGCGTCTTCACCTTGGAAGCAGTGGAATCACGGAATCACTCACAAATTAATACAAATGACACCAAGAAACTTGGAGCCAGTCCAACAGTCCAACACCACATCCTACCTGGCCCTACCTCTTCAAACCATGCCACAACCTGAGCGAGATTTCGCCTCAACTTCCAAGTGGCTGTCCCAAGGCATTGGCAAGGGCTGGCACCGAATAAGGTGCTCACAAATTCGTTGGGCAATCTGCCTTGATATGGGGGCCGACAAGCACCCAACGTGCAAAAGTTGAAACGCCTTCAAAAAGAATGGAAATGTCTCATTGGAATTGATACGTGTTCAGTCTTGGGCCCCTTTATCTCAGTGGCTTCTGGAGCTTTTGATTTCATCTCATCAGATTTGGATCCATATGTTTGAAATTCCACAGCACTTGTGAATGGACCCAAATCTGAGCTCCAGAAAGTGCTTCCAAGTTTCTTATGTGTTCGACAAAAATTCCAGCTTCAAATACACGCGCTACGCTCCTGGCCAAGTCTGGCAGGTAACTCTGCCCTTAGGGAATTTGGCTTAAGCATGTTTAAGTCTTAAAGCATCTCAGGCACCTCAGAATCTTCGTTGGATTTCGTTGGTGTTTTTTTAATTTCATCAAACACAAGATATATGTGTAGTTGCCAACGTCGCTGCCGGGCGCCTGTGTGTTTTGTTGTTTTTTTTGTTGCGTTCATGTACATGTTACGTTGATATGTTCAGGGGTGAGGTGGGGTGGGATGTGAACGTTCATGTGCATGTTGCGTTGATCATGTTACGTTGACGATGTTCAGGGGCGGGGTGGAATTTTGTGGGGTGGGATGTTAATGTTCATATACATGTTAACAATGCACAGAAGTTGGCAGCCATGAGCAAATTGTTTCACGGCTAGAAGTAGTTTTTGGAAAGAAAAAAAAGAGCCTGCAGAGCTCGATGCGCACTTACAAGGGGAATTGGACACAGAGACCCTTAAAACCACCAGGCGCCTCTCAGTGCCGTTCCCTAGTTATATATGTTTACATACGATATACGATATTGACATAAGCTACATAAGCTGGATGGAAATTGTAGGGACCCCAATGATGGGACCCCCATTCCCAGGTTTCTCATGGGAATAGTATGGGAATAGTATGGGAATAGTATGGGAATAGTATGGGAATAGTATGGGAATAGGGACCCCGCCAATAAGCTGTTTTTTCTGAGCAATTTGGCCAAGCGTCCCAACTGTCTGGGGCAAGTCTTCAGCGCAAATCGCCACAGTATTCTGAAACAGTGCCTTGGAAAGAACGTCTTTGAAATGAATCGCTCAGGTTTATGCGACCCTGATTTGCCCACTTACTTTGACGGCCTGGAAAATTATATAGACATGTGACATATGGCAGATCCAGAATCCAGTCACACTGAATGAGCACGAGGCTGAAATTTGGTACATAGACATAGTCATAGTCACCAAATTGGATCTTAAAATGTCTCAAAAACAGCGCTGTCACAAGTGCAGTAATTCCTCAGTGTGGCACCCTCACGTTTATGAAGAAGCGGAAGAGAAAGAGGATCAGCCCAAGATATTTCAACTCTGAAACATGATCATGCACCAGTCTGCCTTCCTTAGCTGCAGTCAAACACTTTTTTTGCTCGAACCACAAACCGTTATTGCATAGCAGTCGGCCGTCCTTGTACGCATGAAATGAAGCACCTAACTGTCACATAGGCTGCATTGGATCAATCAAGGTTCGTCATAGCTTAGCCCAAGGTCCTGCTTGAAATGGCAGGCATCGAAGCTTGCCTGTACACCAACAGTGCCTTTCCAAAGTGATTGAGAACCAACCCAACAAACATTCAGAACCATGGCTCCAACACTCCAAAGATTCCGACCACATGGTTCTGACCTGATGCTAGTTAAGAGTCTGCTTGACCAATTTTACCCTACTGAACATCAAAACTTCAGTCATCCTCTCCTGGGTACAAAATCTGCATTGGTACTGTGTTCCGTGAGAGACGTGAAAGTACGAATCTATTTTACACAAACTGTATGTTCTACATTTAGCCAGATACTCTACCATGAAAAACGGACCAACCCTTAAAATTTGACAATCCCCAATTCTGGATTGGTGCTGTGAAGCCGACATATATGGCAGTGGTGTGGCAGTCGTGTGGCAGTAGTGTGGCACTGATAGGCTGCAACGTGGCAGTAAAGGGTTTCTAGTGTGATAGGGGCGTGGCAGTGATCTGTGTTTTGAGGTTTTGGCGTGGCAGCAAAAGGTTTCCAGGGTGGCAGAGGGTGTGGCAGTAATAGGTGCTTAGCGTGGCAGTAAAAGGTTTCTAGTGTGGCAGAGGGTGTAGCAGTAATAGGTGTTTTCCGTGGCAGTGATATGTGTTTTGAAAGGTTTTAGCCTGGCAGTAAAAGGTTTCCAGGGTGGCAGTGCAAACGCTGGTTGCCTTTAGTGGCCACGTAATTTTTCCAGGAACTTTTAGCCACGTATTTTTTTGCCACGAAAGAAAACTGCGTAAGAGTGTTAACCACGTAATGTCACGGAAATGAATCTTGTTTTTTCTATATATTTTCCTTTTTTTATATTTTTCTTTTTTTATATTTTCCGTTTTTCAAATTTTTCCTTTTTTTTCAATATGTTCCCCGTTTTTTTTCAATATTTTTCCTTTTTTATATATTTTCCTTTTTTTTCAATATTTTCCTTTTTTTCAATATTTTCCTTTTTTTCAATATGTTTCCTTTTTTTTATTGTTCATTTTTTATTTTTTTACCTCTCCGGCACAATATGTATTTTTTCCAACGAAAATAGGATGATTTCTCGGTACAATAGGTTGATTTCTCGGTACAATAGGTTGATTTCTCGGTACAATATGATGATTTCTCGGTACAATATGTATTGCAGCGGTTCCCTCTGGCGATGGATCCACCTCAGTCACGGAGCGACGAGAACACTTCTGAGCGAACGCGGTGTGCTCTGTGGACCCGCCCTGTACTTAGTGGCCCCGGCCTTCTGCTTCATGCGACCAAGCCGTTCTTTGTTGATGTTCTTATCCATGGTCGCCTGTCGCTAGATTGGATTGCAGCGACAGTGACAAGCAGTGATGCTATAAGTCTATAAGTGTGCTTTGATGGTGCTCTGAGTCCCTCGACAATGCGGTGATGCTATGAGTGTGACTCGCTGGTCCTCTGAATAATCCCTCGGCATAAACTGCTGCCTGCTCTCGCAGCAGCACTTGGCTGCCGAACTGGTAGCAGTCGTCACCCATCGCCTGACATTGGCGGAACGATTGTTCTGAACTGAATTTCCTGCTGTTGCCTTGATAGTCGAAGTCGGGGCCAACGTTTGACGACTCCAACGTTTTGATCGAACTCGAATATCTTTTTGTCTGCGTCTTTCTTTCTATGTACGTATGTATCTATGTTGGTCTGTTTTCGTGGTCCTCTACTTGTTGCACGCAAATGAGCAGTGTGACAAGCACAGTGACCAATAGATGGGGATAAGGGCACAAGGTTTCCATGCTACTACATAGCCAAAAAATCTGCGAATGGTGCTGAGTTTCAGACCCTTGCCAAGTGAAAGCCGGAGGAATCGCGCGGGTAATGCAACTGTCGGATGCTGAAACGGCTCCGGCGCATGTTTTTGCTGCGCGTGCAGCAGCTGTGCCACGAAGATGGTCCATCAAGCTTTGCCTCGCATTTACCTTTGCTGCCTCGTGTGTCTCTGCCCTTTGCAAACAAGAGCTAGTGTGTCGGTCAAAAACGAGCAGAGCAAACTCTTGCCGTTTTTTTTCTCAGGGGTTTATCGCGCTCGCTGCTCGCCGCAGCCGCGTTCCCGTGCTAGCCTGGCAGTCCCAGCATGAAGTGCATTCAACCAAATCGCTATGCATCGGCTTCATACGCCTGAAGGAACTAATCGGCTTCCCGCTTGAACCCTGTGGCGGAGCCGGATCTTTGGCATTGCGGCTGGGGGTGTAGACCTGCAAGTGTGAAGAATCTGTCGTACCAATGCCACGCAAACCTGACTAGGCGCGCCTCCTGCAAGACAATGATGCCAACCCCCCCGAGGTCCATGGTAACCTCAAACATTCAGAGCTCGTGCTTCGAACAGTTGAGTCGTGTTACGCCTTGCGCCTCGCCTTCTTGTAGCGGATCGCCGGCTGCTTCGGCCGTCGCCGCATTTTCCAAGGAACGATGGGCCTTGGTAAATTCTAATTTAAGCTCGGAAAGCACAACCGGCAGGAGGCGCTACTGAGGTTGCGACTCTTCGTCGGCCGGCGGTGGCCGCTTCTTAGTATTTGGCATCGGCCTCGTTGCATGTGCCATGTAAGACTTTGACGTGGCCCCGATGCTGGGCCAAGGCGGAACCCCATCGATGGCGCCACGCAGTCTGCTTGCTATCCCGCAGGCAAAGGCTGCATCGCTTCCGCTGGTCAGCCTCTTCTTCCTCTTGCCACTGCTTCAAGTCTTCCTCCGTTTCGGGTCTGGTGTGAAGAGATCAAGAGAATCAAGAAGACCAGTCATGCACTGTAAGCCCAAAAACCTTACAATGTTAAGTATACAACTGCCATGACTTTCACACCGGGAATAGAAAGGAGGCAGCTATTCAGTTGAATATGCTTTCTAAGTGTGATCACGACTGATGCAAAACTGCAGTGAGGCATTGCCGCCGCGCAACTTCTAGGGGCAACGCAACCAAAGGAACAAAAAGGAACATGAACAGTTCGATCGGGAAGGATATCGGCACTAGAAACCCTTCGGTTCGCCAAGCTGCAAGATAAACGGCCCATTCATTGCGGTACTTCTCCTGGCGTTGACATCAAAACGAGTCGCATCCACTCGGTAGATTCATGGTGCTTAATTACTGATCACGGGCAACCGCGGATCCTGATACGGTTGGCGGTCTTCAGCACTCAATTGCTTCCAGGCTGCACTGGCGGCTTTCTGAAATGATTTATCGTCCTCGGTTGATGCGCAGAAGCCTATGGCAGCCTACCCATGGCAACCGGACAGAAGCCATCGCGCAGAAAGCTTGGGTACCGAGGCTCTGGACCCATACCTTCTTGAATCTGGATCTTGTTTTCTCGATTCCAAACGCCTGAGATTGCGTAGGAATAGAAAGAGCCAAGTAAACCCTGCTAGCCTCTTGTGGATGTCTTCTATTTGCGGTTGGCATTGATACTATTGAACAGATACTGTGCCATGTCTTCGAACCAAAGACAACAGTGTCAAATTTCGTATCTTTCTAGCCAAGAAGCCAAATGCTCCTCCGACCGGCCGATTTGGTTCCGAAGACTGAACCTGGTGGCTTCAAGTCGATAGCGAAAGAAATTGGACCGAGTAATGTTACCGAGAAACCAGTAATTCTTTATCGTGCAAACATAAAATTAAACTCAAAAATCAAAAATCATTCATTTTTATATCGTGCAAAGTCACAAATCATAGTTTGCACCGAGAAGATCATCCCAGATTTCGGGACAAAGTCTTTGCGTGCGCCTGCGCAGTCGAAATGCATGTCAAGATGTCACAAGAGCCACTTTGTACAGAAATTTACAAGTAAAATGCCGCAGACCAGAGTGAGCATCCTGAGGAAGCACCGGCCTTCACATTTACCGTAATAAGCCCTCAGCGTGGACACACTGTGTGGGGAAAAAATGCCTAAACTAGAACGCAAGTCACCCAAATCGTTGTGACTAGGGAAAAAATGCCGCGGCACGGCTCATGTATGTCTTGGCCGGATATATCTTCATTCTGAAAACTTCGAAACAAACTGTTTGGCCCTTTTGATTGTGCCCGCCACCCTCACCTCTTTCACTAGGAATGTTTCTGCTTCTGTGCCATAGCTTCCTCTGCATAGATACGGAAAAATGTCTCCCGGATAACCCATGGAATCATCATTTTGTACCGATAAAAAATACAATTTGTAGCGAAAAATCATCGCATTGTACCTTGCAATCATCAGCGAGCACCATCAAATCGTACCATGAAATCTTCAAATTAAAATGATGAAATCAAAAATCACATCCAAATAATTTCGATACATCTTAAATTTGTTTTGCTTTTTCTTTTTTCTTGCTTGAAAAAATGATGAATTATAAACGATAAAGTTTTGTTTTCAAGGAATATGCCAAATTTGATTTTCGAGGCTAAGATGTTGACTTTTCGTGGCTAAACCTATTTACGTGGCTAAAAAAAACCTTTTCAGGGCTAAAGATTTTTCTTTTCGGGGCTAAAAATCGGTCCCTGCAAACGCTGCTGCTAGACATTCTGTGTGCCAAAATTTCTAAGTAAATCATGGTAGAGGAACCTGCTAATTCTACATTCATTACAGTTTAGCAAGAATCAGAGCCTGGGGCAGCAATGGCTCAGCGAAGCGGCGCAGAGAAGATTCAACGCCTGGCGAGCACCGCGAACATCTGGCATTGCCTTAGAAACTTGAGATACTAAGGGATCTAACGGTATCTAATGCAACTTGGAGAGAACCCAAAGCTCTCGAACTTTGGAGCTCAGTAGAAGACATTGCCTTATCCTTTTTTATACTGATTATAGCGTAGGCACACATGCTGTCTGCTTCTTGGACCAACCCATCAATAGTGGTTGCATCCAACTGAAAGTGTCATGGACAGCACATAGTAAAGTCTTAAAGCAGTACAGATTCAACAACTGCATTTCATGTGTCCAACTCAGCGCGAAGGCATATGCCTGCAGCCAAGCCCACACCGCAGCAGACGGCCACGAAGAGCGTAGGCAGATTCACAGCGGTGATATTTGGGTCAAGTTGTAGGTCTCCAAACCTCAGTGTCTGAAATCCTCCAGATGTCAAAGCTCTGTTTGCCAGCAGTGCCAACCAAAAACATGTTGGAAAGGATATGAAAGGAGGGTGTGTGTGAGTGTGTGTGTGTGTTCGGAGTATGTGTTTTCATAAAAACGGACCACTGAGGGATTTGCAATGATCCTTAAGGAGCTTAAAATTGTTAGGCTTATCCTTCTTGACCCGGTTCAATGAGGAAAACTGGCTAAATCATGGAGCTCTAGTATGGTATCCAGTGGTTTCCTATGGTTTCCTCACAGAGAATGGTTCGCCACAAGAGCTGCTTGTGGATCGCTCCATTGTCCAATTCGTGGCCGGGTTATCCGAGTTGCTCGTAGAGGAAGAACAAAGGCGATGCAAAAATCACCAGGGACGACAAACGAATCAGTATCTCTCGCATGGCTTCGGCTACTTTTTGTGTTTGTGAAGTAGTACATATACATACTTTTTATACACATATGAACTTTGGCCAAAGAAAAAAAAGGTTGTGAGGTCTTGGACGCTTCAAATTTGCATCCTGATACCAGTGCTAGTTGGACCCGGGCCAAGAACCGAATCCCCCGAAGTGGGCTTGGGCAAACTGGCACAGCTCGGATGGCTCAAATAAACCTTGAAACACTGCGAGATGATCTTGACGCTTGTCATTTGCAAACTCTCGCCCCCTCTCTCGAAAGCGCGGCATCAGTTTTCAGTCGAGGACATTCTTTGGAGGAACACTGTCAGACTGTCAGCGCTGGCAAGTCATGAGCCAGTCCTATGGAATTGGAATTGAGCTTTGACAGCTTTGAACAAATTGCTGGTGTTCCAAACACCAGATTCCCCTAAGACAAGATGTGCTACGATTCGGCTACGATGGGCTTGGAAGGCTCCTTTCGGTCCACGTTTGTCTGTGGATATCACATTCAGAGCTCTTGCCACTGTCAGGTCTGCATCGGCGCAAAGAGCTCAAAAACAGCCACCTTCCCGCGGTGTGGACGCAGCACCGAAATGTCAGACCTGGTCTCGTTGGACTCCTAAGAAAGCTTGACCTCTTGCTGAGATTAGAGGCTACTCCTCATCTTTCAACCTCGGCGGTTCAAAAGGAAGAGCAACAACTAGCAAGGCAAGCTGCGTGTTTGCTCTCGATATGTTTGGATTGACTCACCTTCACTGGAGCCCATGGAGTGTTTGGATATGTTTGGACTCTGAGATCCAAGTGACATGGGAGGGCGCCATCGTTTCTTGTCCATCGCCACAATCTGCCAGTCAGATGCCTTCCAGCAATGTTTGTCCAAGCCACACTGAGGCAATCCCTCGACAGGCTCCTTGTCTTGACGTTTGCTTTTCGTGGTGGTCGGACCAAAGCTTGCATATTTAAAACATTTAAGTCATTTAAGCCAATTTAAGCAGATGTGCTCTGGGTAGAACACTGGGGCCTCTTCGCCATCCTCGGGAAGAAGCCGCTTGAAAGTCCACTTGTGGAGTCGACGGACTTCCCACCAAACCTTTGGATCCTGGCACCGGCTGGAACTGCGGCGAGATGCAGCGAGAGAAAATATAATCCCACCGTTTCGACAGTGTCCACCCTTGCATCTCGTGATACAAACCACGACGCTCCCCACCTTCTGCAGCGTGTACTTCCTGAGTGCAAACACTTATGTGTGTGTGTAAATGTATGCAAATGTATCTGAGGGGATTGAACCAGCAATGCCACCCAAATTCGACCCCACATCAAAAGAATCACCAAATCCATCCAGGCGACTCCGTCACCCGCAGCAAAGGCGTCACGAAAACCGCTTCACAGCCCTGGTCATCCACCTGCGGTGGCCAACGGCAGCCATGCCGGACCGACTTGAGGCCCAAGGGGGGGGTGAACAGAAGCTAAGGTTCATATGAGCCTGGAAAATGATGGTATTTCGATATGCTGAATAAAGATTGCCTAGAGACCTGGCAGGATTTGAGCCCGTGACCATCTGCTTCCAAGACCGCTTCAAAATGCCCCGGGTGCTTGGGGGGAGGGGTTCCGAATGAAAAATCACTGTGTTGGAGTCAGGCCTGCCCCTCCCCTTGCTGAAGCAAGAGTAACTCCAGCTAGCTAGCGCTTTCGTAATCAAATCCTATTCGACCATCGAAATTCAGGATGCCACAGGGTGCCACAGTGCTGCAGGGTACAGGGCCTTCGCCATGGAGTGAAAAATACCAAGCTGATAGACTTCCTTCAATTCGTAGTCCTCAGCCATTAAAAAAATAAACTCAGGTGCTATTTTCCCCAACAGCTTGAAAACTTCTGCGTTTTTGCCAGAAAAAGTGCTTACGCCATAAAAATTCAGTGCTTATGCCATTAAAAAAAACATCGGAACCCTTCACAAAGCATCTGAACCAGAACCCTCCGGAACCTCACAAGGTATCTGCACCGGAACCCTCCAGAACCTCACCAAGCATCTTCTCCGCCAAAACCCTCCGGAACCTCACAAGGTCTCTGCACCGGAACCTTCCGGAACCTCACAAAGTATCTGCCCCGGAACCCTCCGGAACCTCACCACGCATCTTCACCTAGACCCTCCGGAACCTCATCAGGTAGCTGCACCCGAAACTTCCGGAACCTCACCAGGTACCAAAAAACTCTAGAACCTAACCAAGTATGCGTAACCTCACCGAGTACCTGCACCGGAAACTTCCGGAACCTCACGAGGTATCTGCACCGGAACCCTGCGGAACCTCAGTATCTGCACCGGAACCCTCCGGAACCGCACAGAACCCTCCGGAACCGCACAGAACCCTCCGGAGCCTCAGCAAGTATCTTCACTGGAACCCTCCGGAACCTCATGAGGTATCTGCACCGGAACCCTCCGGAACCTCACGAGGTATATGCACCAGAACCCTCCGGAACCCTGTCCGGAACCTGGTGTTGAAGCTGCACAGGATCGGACCGAAGCTAATCTGGGCTAAAGACCCCATAGCAAAGTTTTGCTGTTGGGGAAAAAGACGACCGCGGAAATTCCCTTGACAGTGCAAAAATGCACAAATTGATACAAATTGACAAGTTCAAGCTGCTTCAAGCTGATTGAGCGGGTGAGTACAGCAAAGCCAGGTTTTGGTTCACATGTCGGAAAACTCACTGGCACAAAGGTTCCTTTGCAAGATATTTGAACACCAGTAGTGGTGAAGGGAAGATCACTGGGCTATAATTCCTCCACACGGCTTTTAATCTAGCTCCAGGTAATTGCTGTGGACAATGACGGCAACATACGGCAGCTTGGATCCCTTGGATCCCTTGGATCCCTTGGATCTGATCCAAGGTGCCATGCCCTTTGTCAAGTCCTCATGGCTTTTCTGGAGATCCTCCAGCAGGCCTTCATCCAACAGCTGTCGCAGGCTCAGGAAGTCGCCTTCATCCAGCAGGCCTCAGTACTTCGACAATGGGTACAACATGGTACAACATGGTACAACACATTACAACACAGTACAGTGCTATACAAAACGCAACATCCCTGGAATCAACCATTTTTGTACATTGAGGAGGATCATTGAGGCCTCAAGTTTTCAGAGATATGATTCGCATGCATGGAAAGGCCTGCAAGCGAGGAACGCATGAACAGTCAGAAAGGTATGAACTCATAACAAGACCAGCTGCACAATGTGGACTGGAACCATTCTGAGTTGCAGTGACTTTCCGCTACCTGCATATGATCAGTAGATTGCCAACAATGAATTAAGTCTGCTTTACTGAGATGCTTTATAGATGCTGAGATTCTAAGATCCGGAGACTGCGCTGCATGATGCCGAGACTCTGTTCACGTGCTGAAATGCAGCAGCAACTCCTTCGCGAAATTCGCTCGCACTCCAAGTGTTGGGGTAGACAACCTGAAAGTGCAAGGATATGCAAGGGTTCCATACAAAATCTCGTCAACTCAGGCTACGGAAGCAAAATAGATGCATTTCCTCAGGGCTTTCGAATCTAAACCAGAAAAGCCGCGCCTCCAAGACTCGGAGCTTGATAGAGCTCACCAAGTGCCGGACGTTGATGGTCTGACAGTCGCAAAATTGAACATCACAAGGTCACAAGACTCTTGACATTTACTGACCATGGAATCCTCTGGCAAATGAGGTATCTTGGAAGACACGAAACCTCATGAAATCACATATTTCTGCTCTATTCAAGCCGCCAGCTGGAAGTATTGTGATAGACTGGCCAAAGGAATTTGTTTTCGATGCAGTAAAATCCATGGACCCCCCCAACAGACTCCACTGTACCAAAGCCAAAAACATCTGAAATGCCCAACTTGCAGCCAAGGTGCAAGCAAATCAAAGGTGCCAGCCAGGCTTCTTGACACCACCTAGCTGGCACATGATAGTTGGTACGTATCCTGGATCTGGTTCCCAAGGATAGCTCTTCACTTGTGAGCCAAACCAAAATCAGAATAAGTGCCCAATCAGTGACAACAAAGCGACTTGATACACCACAGAATCAGGTTCTTGACACCCCAATGTTTGGGTTTTGCTTCGCCTTCGGCTGCCCGCTGCAAAAACGTGTTTGCAGCTTGGGATGACCATGCAGCGGTGTTCGGACCCTCGTCACATTGCGGAAGCGAAGAAGCATGATGCCTTGTGCGTCCTGTTCAAAGCCAAAGAGCCACAAACATGTGTAAAGTGTAAAGGTATAAATATTAGAAAAAATGTGCAAAATCGCATTCCAAATCTGAATCTGCAGAGCCTGAGAGGTAGTATATACAAGGTCATGAAAATGCTTTGGTGTTTGTTTCTGATTGCAGTATATTGCAGTGTTGTCCACTTGTAAAAGTTTGAACCTTGTGCTCCACCTTCACAGAGAGATTCGAAGACAACTTCCAAGGTAGTCCAAAACAATCGAATGGGATCGAACATGTGCCGGAACTGACGTAACATATCTGCATTTTAATTTGCTCCCAGAATCTGAACCAAAACTAAGCCGCATCTTTTTGTATCCACAGAAAACTTTGTTCCTTTATCTCACAGGCAGAAATAGCATTGCTGATGCCACTACCAGGGTCTTGCATATGTCCCAGGACGTGCAAAGACCTCATCCAGAAGTGGCTTCGACCACAGGACAGAGTGACCTGAGATGCGCACGTTGTCTTCAAGTTGAATGTAAGCAAATTCAAACCAAGTTTTCTCACGGGAAGGACTGAAGGACAACTCTCCTTAAAAGTCGACACATTTGAGTTGCCATCTCTTCATGATTCATTTTTCCATGTTTCGCAAGGGTTGAATGAAAGATTGAAAGGCTGGCAGCTGGGGTCGAAGACTACAACATAAACATAAACAATGATTTGGAATATCCTTCCTCGTCCCCTGAAGCCCTAGATGTCCCAGAGATCTATGTTTGACCCGAGTGTTGGGCACTGCTCACACTTGAGAGCAGGCGGAGGCGGACGAAAGGTAGTGTAGTGGGAGAGGAGTGGTGTCAAAATGCTGCGCCCCTAAGATGATACACCAAAAAAAAAATTGCGCAGTCTAAGATGATTTTATCCAGAGCATGACTGCATGATACGGTGTCTTGTGCAGCGTGAAATGATGCACGAAGACCCCTTGCAGCAACTGTTATTGAGGCTGAAGCAAACCAATTATGCTGGACTACAGGGACATCTCCCTCATGGAGAGTGTGCCTCTACTGTGGCGGACCGTGACCGCGTCACCCGTGGGAATTGAACCCATGACATCCCATGACCATTTTAGAGAGGGGGGGGGCCCCCCCTTATAATTGATATCTAATACATAACGTCGAGAAGTCTACGTTTTGCACGGGCTGGCCCCCCAATACCCCCCTATGATTGTGCTGAAGCACGGAGAACTCAGGTAGCTGACGCTACCTTTCGTGACACGGCTAACATTTTTTGACAAAGTCGCACTCTGATTGCAAGCCTCATCCGCCAGCAGTCGACTTTGGGGCATAGATCGCAAGAGGTGGATGGCTCCAGCCCAGTAGCTTCCATGTTCGCAGGCACTCAGTGCACCTGCCACTGCAATGACATCAGCCGGCGGTGCAGGCAGCGCAGCCAAATGTATGGCCAGCGGCCACTGAGAACCAGTAGCACAGGCATTGATGGCCTCACACGAAACAGGGAAAGACTGTTGGGACGACAGGACGGCCCGCTGATGCAAACCTGGTCTATCAGAAATTCCTATCAGAATGCTATCAGAGTCTCTTTGATCAAAGGCCGCAGCTTCAAGACTTTTCGGCTAAGAACCACACGGTGCTTTGGGCTTCCAGGTCCGCTTTGAGTCTGGTCGAAGCCATCTGGCCAAACAGGCCCAAAGCTTTATTCCAGGAGAAAAACTCACAGGCATCCAACACACTGCTCTGGCCTTAGAATGGCATGGAAAACTCAAGGGGACAACATGGAACAATAGTTGCCACTTGTAATAACATCAAGTACACAGTGTAGCATTGAAAAACATGTGCAAGCGAAAGCAAGGTCCAAGGGATCCCAGGCTCCATCTTATAGAGAGCTTAACTTTCTCACTGGCTACAACTTTTCTGACTGGGCACAACATGATTTCAGCTTGCATTAGATGAGGCACTGATAATGTCAGGGACAAAGCTCTGCAGCGGTAGGGTCTTGAAGAGCTCCAGAGCAAACAACCACTGCAAACTTTTTGCAAAGGAGTCTATGGCTGCGTTGTAGCTGAGCAGGTTTGGAGGCACCAGTCCCTGACGTTTAGGCATTTCAATTGGCAAAAAAGAACAGTGGATTTCCCTTGTTTCAGAGATTTTCAAAGCAGGTATTTGAGTTTGCGATGTTTGCCGCGGCTCTTGACCACCTTGTTAAATAAGAATAGACTATCCAGATACCCAGCTGGGAGAAACATCGAAAGGATTTACAACAGTGGAAACCAGTTGCGAAGCACCACAGCCTTCGACATCTTCTCCAAGAGGTTGAGGGACTTGGGCCAAGCACTCCCAAGGCTATTCCCTTCTCTTAAACTGCTGATGGCGCTGCTGAAACTCACCACGTTGGGCACAGCCAAGCCTTCCCTCATGGAGGACAAGCAGGCGAGCGCTTGAAGCCACTGACTGCGACATGCACTCAGTGCGCCATTGAAACAAGGTGTATCCACTTGGATGGAGGAAACTATGCCAAACTCCAATAAGACCTGAGCACGTTCCCAGCCCGCACCATGGCACGCACTGATGGCGCTCCCCAGGCTGAAGCAGCTTGAAAATTCCTTGAATGACTCCTTCAGTAGGGCCTCCGCCATAATCCAAGCACTAGCTTCGGCACAAGCAGCAATCGCACAGCTGTACGTGTATGTGTTTGGCCTCACGACTGCCATGTCCATCTGGCTCAAAAGTGATAGGGCCTGCTGCCATTTCTGCCCTTTGCCACAAGCATCCATCATGCTGCTGTATGTGATCACGTCTGGCAAACAGTTTGCCAATTTCATTTCTGTAAAAAGTTGCAAGCTGCAATGCCATTTGCTGGCCTTGCTAAAACGGCTGATTGCTTTGTTGAATCGCAAGGTTTGGACTTCCGATTGCTGTGCGTGCAAGGCCATGCAAGAAACAATAAGAGGTTCCAGGTGCAAACCTTTCCGCTCAAAAAATAGGCAGCATAGTTGCAACAGTTGCAACTATATGATTGCACCAGGCATCAAACCCATGCTACGTTCAAGGGGCATTGACTCAAAGTGGCTTCTCTCCTCCATGCCAATTCGATCAAGGAAGCATCCAACTCACGATCTTTTACTTCCCAGAATGTCATGACAAATATGACCGGACTGAAACGCAGAAAATCAGAAGCTCCAGATTGGCCTTGTAAGGTGGTTCTATGTGTCGAAGCCAATCTCTGTCCAACTTGCACCTTCCATCGCTTTGCGTGTGCAACTCGCAAGAAAACGGTGGAATCTTGAGACGGAATTAGATCAAGTCGCTACGTAAGTCTACGGCAACGCTCGACAAGAAGAATCGCTTTGCCACTAGTGTCGCAGCCAAATCAGCCCATCAACAAGTCCTCTTTACCAGCCCATACCAGCCCTCCAACTGATCAAGCTGTATCCTCTCCTCAATTGATTCTCTTCCCTACTCTAAAACATTTAGCCTCAGCCTAACTAGGATTGAAGTTCATCACAGCACTCTGGGGACTTTTCCGACTTGGAAGATGTGTCCAGCTGGTTAAGCTGAGCGGGGATGCTCCGATTGCAGCGGCTGCGAACAGCTTCCGCTGCCAATGATATTTCGGCGTATGAAAGAGCTGAAAGTCATCAAGACATATCAAGACCATCCCCGCGGGCACTAAAAGATTTTTTTGGTCAAGGACCACAGGTCATTAACAGAACTCTCCAGCTAGGCATCAGTGATGGCTTGATGAGCGTCTGTCCACCAGACCACCTAAAAAGTCTGAGGCATCGATTCCCGTTTCTGAGCAGATTTAAGTGCAGCATTCAGAAATCTCGAGTAGATCTTGGAAAGGAAATAACTGATAGTCAGTCTGGATAATGATATCTCCGCAAGACCTTGCACTCCTGCCTTCTGGCCCTCTGCCAAAGGGTTCAAAGTCACGCGGAATTTCTGACCTGTCATCACAACATTGGGGTGCTTGAAACCCAGACCGAATTATACTTCATGGCAAGGGCAGTTTCAAAGGCTTCCACAATATAGAGCCTGTCTTGGATAATAAACGGTATCAAATACGCAAACATAACGCATATTCCCGACATATCCAGAATTTGGCGTAATCAGCCGTATTTTTTTTATGTTTTTGTTTACGTTTCATTTACGTAAGGGTCAAAATAAGACCTTATTCGCGCAAAATAAGGTCTCATTTTTCTCCTGACATAAACACATGACAAAAAAATTGCAAACACATGCACAAGCGCAAACATAAACATAATAAAATGTATCTGCGGTTTGCGATTTGTTTATGTTTCGTTTACGTTTTTCTTTGCGCACGATCAAAAATAAGACCTTATTTTGCGTAATATGCACAAAATAAGGTCTTTTTTTTCCTCCGACATAAAAAAAGTACACAATTTCATAAACATAAACATGAACATAATGTAACCCAGACGCAAAATACGTTAATGTTTCACATGTGCTTCGCATAGGGGTCGCATATGTTTTCACATGCGTTGCGAATACGCTGCACATACACTTCACATACGCATTACATACGTTTCACACACGTAAATGTGTATGTTTCATATGCGTCTGGGTGCGCAAATCACATATGTTTCACATGCGGTCTACATATGTTTTGCATGCATAAAACAGTTGGGATATGTATACGTACCCCTCGTCAGGCTCCTATAGACGGAAGCCTTGAAGCCTTCTGGGATTCATCTATTATAAGTTATATTGCTCTTGTTTTCTCCCGTCACAGGGAGACCTGTTGCTTCTGTTCCCTTTTGAGGGCTTATTGCATGAAATGCCAATCATTTTCTCTCGCAAATTGCCTCCAGGTGCGTTCATTCTGCTTGGAGTGTTGGGAGCTGCTGCCCATGGTGCTGTCTTGATTGTCCGGAAAAAAGGAAGTGGCAATAGATTAACAGGATCGAGGTAGAATCATCTTCACAAATCTCCTCCACAACTCAAAGAACTCTCCGATGTGATGTCCGGTCACAGATTTTGCCTGGACTTCCAGAAATCATCCAGTTTAGGCCATGACCACCTCAAATGGCACCATATTCTGAAACAGGCTGTCCAAGCGGTTGTTTGCTGTCGTTCTCTATTGTTTTACTAGCTTCTTAATGTACTAGCAACCAAGCATACCCAAGCAACCAAGAAGACCGCAAAGGGTTTCTGGTTTCAATCCGCAAAGTGACTTCATGAACCCAACAGCTTTGGCACCACCCTACGACGTCACTACAATGTTCCTCGAGCAAACAATGCCTACATGGGCCTACTAGACTCAGCTCCCGACGGTTGTCAGGGCCGCACACGAAAGCTTCCCCCAAGCCAGCCTATGCGACTTTCTCCACATCCAAAAAGAGTGTAGGCAAACAAGAGATAACAAAAGATAACGAAAGATAACAACAACAACAACAACAACAACAAACAACAACAACAGTACATTTCATTGACTGTCAAAGACTATGTTTGTGGGGTGTCTAAGCAACAACACGACCGTACTTCACACAGCCTTGGGCTTGTTGGGATAGAGCCGACGCTGGGCCTCACAGTTGGAGACAGATCATGGATGAAACACCTTACCCTGGATTTGGGGTCGTGCGCAGAAAACAGCAGGGCAGTCACCCCCCAAACCCATACCAAAACATGGTCGGGCTGATGACAATCTATGACAATCTGGGATCCCGCACTTCCTTGAGGCTCGGATTCATGGCAGGTAGCCACTTTGAGGCATTCGGCTGATGCTCCCCACCCCAATCATCCATAACCTTAGATCGAGATGGCCCGTTCAAGAATAGATAAGAGTTGGCCAGTTGAAACAATGCAATGAATCTGTGATGTTCGCTCAACATTGGCTGACAGGCTTCATGTGACGATGACCCTCCAATCGTGAACGAAAACAGAGATTGCCTTTTCCGAGAAATCCATTGAAAGAAAGAAAAGAAACATCTCAGGACCAGTGAAGCAGTGCTAAGCAGTTGGCAAATTGAGGCATTCCGAGGGCAGCACAATCTGAAATTCGGCAATGCCATCATCTCCCAGGATCAAATCGTACCTGTGAATTCTAACATCCCAACGCCATCCAACGCCTACCACCAGCATTCAGATTTGTGGATCAGCTCTCAAACACTTTGATGGAAGAAGTAATGATGGTGCATATCCCTGGTCGAACAAATATATTGAATATACCTCTTGTCCTGGCTGGATGTAACAGGATAGAATATATCAAAAAAAATAGCCTGAAAACCGATTCAAGAATTTCCGTGGACGGCGCACCGGAAGACTGCTCCATCTGATGGGTCCTGGAAACTCCAGCAACATTACAAAGAAGTTCTGATGACGAGGAAATCAAGGCCTAGTGAAGGCTGAGATGAATTTCCAATCGTAGGGAGGCTGTCCTTTGTTGAGCTGGATTTCTCTCCAGCCTCCAAGGCCAGAGGATTCAGAGGATTTAGCAATCGTCCAATATTAGCAGACTCCTTCTGTGCTTCCGGCACGTCCACGGCACGTTCATAAAGAAACGGGATTTTGTATCCAGTAGAAATGCCCCTTCAATGATGATTCCAAGTTGTGGTGTTGCATGTGAAAATTGGGAGAGCCTTTGTCATGACGTCGAAGCCCCAACCTGGGCTCATGTGTAAACAGTTGTAAACGTCCAGAATCGTCCGAATATATTCAAAATTAGCACGACCTGCGAGCCATGCACGGTGGCGTGCTGCGTCACGAGATCAACTCATCGGAGCCAGCCATAAGACAACGCTTCTACAATTCTCCGAGTGGCCATTCCACAAGCCAGAGATCAGGAAGACCGGGTCCGCTATGTCAGCCTCAGGAATGCTGCGAAATGCTCAAAACCTTTGAAGAGGAGGGTCTGCATCACAAAGAGGTGAGCGATCAATGATCACAATAGTAATTTCCGAGCACTACTAACAATAATCACAACAATAGTACTGAGTAATAGTAATAGCAATGATGATAGTAATATGAGTGAGAGCCTTTGCCTTTCAAATCCTTATGGAACATCTCTATATGCATCTGCAGTAATTAGTGGCATTGTCTGTGTGTGTGCATTGGATCCAAAAGATCTTTCCTGGAGACTTCTTTCCTCAGTTTCCTCACGCTCTCAAGTCGGCACTGCGAACGATGCTTGGGTTCTCCACCATGGTTTTCTTCTGCCACTCCTGGCTGTGCTTGCTCTTCTCATAGCAAGTTTGTACCTGTGCACTCCATTGCAATCAAGAACGCTTACAGCTAGAGATCTTCCCTTGACAAGTGAAGTAGCAACGAACGATTCAGAACACTGGCCTAGGACATCTGCCATTCTCTGCGTCTGATTCCTTTCTAGATTTCCAGCAAATGCACTCGACAGCAGCACTTGACCCCACCCTTTGAGCAGTGGCCACATAGCCACAGTCTTGGGTCTTTGCTGAAGAAAGGACTGTTTGGATCTGTTCAGATCTATATATTCGGATCTGTTGAATGTTACTAGCCAAAAGGAATGCGCACCATGATCCTGCCATCCAAAACCTCTAGCTTGATGGTGACAATCTCATTCGTTTCACCTGGTGTCCAACTTTTCACGGCTGTGGCAAAACTTCACATATCATATCATATGTCGCATTTTCCATGGTCCTTGGTTTAGAAAAAAACACAAAAGTTTCCTATACACACATTGGCGGGCGTCATGATCAACTCACCCTTGAGACACCCTACGTCTATGTACTTGTTTGTTGCGTTCAAATGAAGCGATTCCGATTCCACCAGAAGCTCTGCCTCTTACCACAGATTATTAATGGCATAAAACAATTTCACAAATACCAACATGTGGATCATCAGAACAATGCCTGACAATCTCACATCCCTCTCTCAGCAGGTTTATGACAATGTCTTGGAAAGGGAAACCAGGTTTGTCCCCACCTTGCAAGAGCCAATTCCTGCGCGAGGGTGGCTGCATATTGACTTTCCCTCAGAAACATGCAGGAACATCAGGAACAAAGTGACCTCTACAGGGTGAATCATCCAACGGTTGTAAGAACACAAGCCTCAAATGAACAAATGAGATCTGACCTGGCACGCCTTTCCAGACTGTCCTGCCATGACCAAAGTTGTCTGGCCCACGAATGGCGACGTCAGCGCGGGTGACCCGGCTAGCAGCTGGATGGATGACCTGCACAGAAGAGACTGTTGGACGGCTCGACTGTGGGGCCATGCCCACAGGTGTTTCAACATTGTCACGCTGTCCATTGCTTTGGGCACCAAAACCAACCAAATCCCTTCATTATCCTTTATTTGTATCCTTATTGTTCCATTTAGGTACTGCTACTGTTATAATGCAAACACCCCAACCCACCTGGCACCAGTCTCGGTCTCTGACGAATTGAAACTCCTCACTCGAGAGTCTGATCGACGCAAAACATCCAACACCAACTGTGGTACTGCAACAACATTTGGTTTCATTTGGTTTCATTATGTTTCATTTAATTTTGTTTGTTTCATGTCTGTGAAAATTGTAGTTTCTGTATGTTTCCGTGTCAAAATCGCAACCGGGTCTCCTCTTGCCCAGACAGACCCAAACGCACAGAGGTGATCCAAACGCCTTCCTCGTACTGACTGCGCACCATCTCCTCCCGGATGCGCTTTGGATTGCTTTCAGGATTTTTCAGGCATGAACCACAATTGAGCCACCCAAATCCATTGGTTACCCTGTCAACAAGTTTCTTTGAAGATATTGAGTCACCAAGTTTGGAAACCCAAATGCCATCTAAGTTCTTTTTTCACGCCTTGTGAAGCATTCATCAGGCCCGATGACAAATCCCATCCCTTTCCTGGCACTTCCACGCAGTCCAGCTTCCCACCACAGACTTAGTTCGTGCAGAATCGCAGCCAAGTGATGCAACGGTTACACTATGTTGCACTAGAACATGCTGTAATTTCTTCCGTCTGGCATGCCGAGCGTTGTAGATTGCATCTTGATCCAGCCCATTTCCCACGCGTCCCGTGGCAATCCTTGAGCGCCGTATTTTGCCAAAACTGTCGCCTATCCTTTGAATCCTCTTTATCAAGGTGATTTTGAAAAGCAAACCAAAAACAAAAGGCCCAAACAGATTTCCGGCGGGGCTAAAAAAAAATCCTTATCCCGGCAAGAGGCCCCAAACAGTGTGGGGGGAGACAAAAAATAACTTATTATATTGTTGATGATGATGATGATGAAGATGAGGATGATGATGGTGATGATGGTGATGATGATGACGGTGATGGTGATAATGATGGTGATGATGATGATGATGATGATGGTGATGGTGATGATGGTGATGATAACGATGAGGGTGATGATGATGATGATGGTGATGATGATGATAACGATGAGGGTGATGATGATGATGATGATGATGATGATGATGGAGATGATGATGATCATGGTGATGATGATCCTGGTGATGATGAAGATGATGATGATGATGATGATGATGAAGATGGTGATGATGATGCTGATGATGGTGATGATGATGACGATGAGGGTGATGATGATGATGGTGATGATGATGATGATGGTGATGATGATGATGGTGATGATGATCATGATGATGGCGAGGATGATGATGATGATGATGATGGTGATGATGATGACGCTGATGTTGATGATGAAGATGATGATGATGGTGATGATGATGCTGATGATGGTGATGATGATGACGATGAGGGTGATGATGATGATGATGGTGATGATTATGATGATGATGATGATGATGATGATGACGGTGATGTTGATGATGAAGATGATGATGATGATGGTGATGATGATGATGGTGATGATGATCATCATGATGATGATCATGATGATGGTGATGACAAGGATGATGTCGAGGATGATGATGATCACGATGATGATGATGATGATGATCATCATCATGATGATGATGATGATGACGGTGATGTTGATGATGAAGATGATGATGATGATGGTGATGATCATGATCCTGGTGATGATGATCCTGGTGATGATGATCCTGGTGATGATGAAGATGATGATGATGATGATGATGATGGTGATGATGATGATGCTGATGATGGTGATGATGATGACGATGAGGGTGATGATGATGATGATGGTGATGATGATGATGATGGTGATGATGATCATGATGATGGCGAGGATGGTGATGATGATGATGATGATGGCGGTGATATTGATGATGAAGATGATGATGATGATGGTGATGATGATGGTGATGGTGATGATGATGATGATGATCATGATGATGATGATGGAGATGATGATGATGATGATGATGATGATGAGGAAGGTGAGGATGAGGAGGAAGAGGATGATGATGAAGTGAAGAAGAGGAGTGAATGGAGCACCAGCCAAACTTGCTAAGATCTAAAAAATCCACCACATGACATGACATATGTTTGTGTCTATACTTATACTGTACGCCAGCTTTCGCTATCTAGGAGAGACAAAAGCGGAGGGCGCAGGTGGCCTGAAGCGCAAGTTTTCCAGCGTGAGCTTAGATTCTGTCGCGTGACTGGCTGTCAGACCAGGCGTTTTTGAATTTTGCAAATGCCCCTCAAAAGAATAGCTAGAGTTATTTATTATTACTGTATCATTATGTTCAAACCATTGGGTAGTATTTCACAAGAGCCATTTTGTGTGCAAATTTACAAGAAAAGTGCCGTACGCCAAGCCCGCGACACCCGTTTTGTGCGAGCCTGCGCGGTCGAACTGCACATGGACAGGTCAGCAGAGGCATTTCGTGCGGAAATTTATAGGGAAAATGCTGGACGCTTCTCCCGCGGCCAGCGTTTTGTGCGAGCCTGCACAATCGACATGCACATGGACATCAGAAGAGGCATTTTGTGCGGAAATTTACAGGGAAAATGCAGGACCCATATCCCCGGGGCCAGCATTTTATGCGAGCCTGCGCAGTCGAAATGAACATAGACATGTCACAAGAGGCATTTTGCGCGTAAATTTATAGGGAAAATGCCAAACGCTTCCGATACCACCTCGATTGAACACCGGGCCTTGACACTTACCATAAGAACCCCTCAGTGTGGGCACACTGTTTGGGGAAAAACGTCCAGCAAAGCGACATAGGAGTGGTTGAAGCTGGAAGGCAAGCCCCGACCAGGTGCTTCTTGCGCACCTGGTCCAGGTTTGCATTGAAATGCTCAAACTCATGACCTTTTGCAAGTTTGCAATAATTCCAGAAGGAACAACATCACCCAATCCTCAGCAACAAGCTGGTACTAGCAAGGCTACACTACACATAAATACAAATTTCAGGACATAGGACGTATACGGCGCAGAGTTCAGAAATGTTCAGAATCCAATGACAACAGCTACACTGGCTCCCAGTCAAGGCACACGGCTCCCAGGTGACAATCCTGGCCGAGGCGCATTCTTTGGACATGGTATGGGATGCCCCGCCAAGGGGAATGGATCATGAATTTGGATGAATTTGGTGCCAATCTTTATATCAAACCATCCGATCTATATAAACAATCATATATAAATATATCTAGACTCTAGACGAAGAATTTAGGAGGCCAATAATTCCAAGCCACAGAACAATAAAATCTTCCAGCGTTCCCGTCATGTCTCCACAACTCTGTTAGAATCCAGTTTCAAGGCTTTACCCAAGTCAAAAACATCTTCGACTCGCGACTGACTCCCACCGCACCTGTACTCACCTCTCTCCCACGTGAAACCCCACTCGAGCTTCACCATGTAGGTGGCACCGGCACCAGTGCCCTGCGATCGGGTAGTTTTACTTCTCTATTTTAGATGTGCCACTCCAAAGTGGAATGGTATTGCAATGACCCCATCAAACCAAAAAACAAAGGTGCACGGTGCAGCTGCTTTTCCAATATTTACTCAGATCTCCTGCCGACTCCCAGGTCCAGGTTTCCGCACATCCAATATGCCGTCAATGAGCCAGCTAGCTACCTGCCACAGTCTCACCCGGCTCAGCAAGACTAGCTTGGAAAAGCTTGGCATGAACTTGGCAAGTTCAAATGCTCTGTGAAGTCTATGGCAAAGTCATGAGTTACATTGACATGAGTTACATTTTCCTTTTCGGGCCTTGATTAAATATGCTGAGCCTTTCATAATCATAAGTTCGCACTTTGGAAAACTTACTGTATCTCGCCTTGCCCTTACGATCAGGGCCCAAGGCCAAACTGCGAGGCCCTGCAAGAGCTTGGCCAGGATGGATGATTTGATTGGGATCCTCGGTTTGGCTCAGAACTTGGTCCATGCAGCGTAGATCCCATTGATCCCATCACAACATCTGAAACACAGCACGAAACGCCACCTGGTTGACAAGCAGACGAAAATGCTCGCGGCCTAGTGAAATCAACAAGTCATGGCTCGGGAGTGACAAGCTGAGTACAGCATGCACTCTAGCAACTACGACATACAAATACATACAAGGAAACGGAAGCCCACCTGTCTCACCCAATCTAACGATTGTGCGGTATTCACCGAGGATCTGTTTCCTTGGTACACTCGGTCGTTGATAAACTGCAAGACAGGCAGTTGTGCATTGGGTGTACTTCTCAGAGTTAGCAGCAAGAGCAACCAAGCGGCGAGACTTTAGGAGAACAAAAGACTTATCGAGTCTGCAGAATTTGTTCAAACACCCCAAGTGGTCTCAAATCGCCATCAGACATATCCGTGGTCAACATCTGTGTCCAAAAAGCATTTGAAGAAAAAAAACACAATCTTCTAGGTCCATCACTCCATCTCCTGCATGCTGGTGAATGCATCCCAAGAGCCGGCAATGTAGATCTGAGAGACAGAGCAAAGCGGCATAGGCACCAAAAGTTAACTTCAAAGTGTGCTTGGAGGGCAGGCATGACATCTCATGACCATGGTCAATCTTTGCCTGTCTAGGCTTAGAATGCTAAATACTGTAGAGATCTGTAGAGTGTCTCGTAGACAGGCAGACTGGATCTGATGTCCCGCCTGATCGCTGGCGTGTGGTCCTGTGTGCAGCGAGCTGGTGAGAGGTCAAAGCAAACAATAGCAAACAGAACTCATGTGGCTGGAAGCCGCATTTTCTGAACAAGGTTCTGCAAGAATATACTGCAAGAATATGCATGCACACGTTCAGCAGATTTCAATGCTTCCGCTTCTTCCTCTATATTTGTTCCTCAAAACCCAAATCCTGTCCTGGGTTTCCATAGTGAAAGACTCGATCGTAGAAGAGCTGACCTTGGTTCAGCAAGCCATTGGCAAGTGTTGTTTTGTGCTGCAAGAGATCAGGAGGCTGCATAGGCTGCATAGGCTGCATAGGGTTGATCCGAAAAATATATCTTCCAAGTCTGCTTGATCCGAACCTCCCTTAACTTCGCATGTCGAGCGGCACAAAACTTTTTGCTAGGCCAAGCCGGAGAAAGTTCGCTCACTTTTCAAAGGGAGTTGAAACACTTTGGTCTAGCTACCTACTTGGGCTGGCGCAGTTCCACAAAGGTCACAAAACTAAATGAATGCCAACTCCATCTTACTGATTCTCAAGTGATTCTCAATATTTCTCAATACACAACACCGTTCCTGTCCGACCATTCCTTGAAGACTTGTTCACATTCGTAGGCTGCAACACCTGGGATGACTTGGGTCACGTAGGCACCTCCAGCATCTGTTTCTAAGAGATCCTTGAGGTGCAAATAGCCTTCTTCGAAACCGCAATGTGCAACGAATTGTTGGGTCACCCCACAGTAGACATTGGAGATGCGCGACCACAAAATTGCACCCAGCGACATCAAGTCTGGATGTGCTGTGGTGTACAGGTCGCAGCCCTCAAGGTTGTAAGAGCCAATGTGAGCTGTTGCTGCTCGGATGGCTTTGACCTCTGCAGTAGCGGTTGCATCCCTGTCTGATAGCACACAGTTGCACGCCTCTGCCAGGACCACACCATCCTTCACTATCACTGCACCAAAGCATTCTCTTTCCTTTGCCAGGCCAGCCTTGGCACCACGTGCAGCGACAGCCATAGCCAAGCGCATATATTTTTCATGATCTGCAGGACTCTTGTCAGGACCAGATGGAGGCAGACGCTTCTGCGACTCCCTGTCAAAAACCAGCTTGTAGGCACTCTGGACCTGATCGCCCCCTTTGCCCGTAAATCTACGTCGCATAGTGCGGTTCACGGTGAGGTCTTTGAAAAACGACTCGCACTCCTCTTTCAGAATGCCATCGTAAACATCCACCATGTTCTTGAAGACTCGCTCTCCTTGGGGCACTAAGTGGCCTGCTGAGGTGTCTGCAATGTATCCTGTCCGACGGATTCCATAATGTCCTGCCTTGGCATCGATTTCATCATAGAAGACCTTATCATCAAAGCCGTACTTTGCAGCTGTGTGGCGATCAACTCCTATGAATGCACGACCAAGCCTTGACCATTGCACTGCGCCCCAACACATTGGGCAAGGCTCGCAAGTGGTGTAAAGCTCACAGTCAGAAAGATCATGTGAGCCAAGTGCCTGGCAGGCTTGTTGAATGGCATTCATCTCAGCATGGCAGCATGGATCTTGCATCTCAAGAACCATGTTGTGAGCGCAGGAGATGATGACTCCGTTGCGCACCACTGCTGCACCGAAGGGTCCTCCATGTTGCAGGCGAATGCCTGCAGTGGCTGACATGGCTGCTGCTTTCATGAAGGCCTCAGCCGTCTCGCGCTGGGAGGGCTCGGCCTCACATCGGATGGCCCGCATGGACAAAGGCCCAAGCGACCCAAGCGACCGCCCAGGCGAAGCTGAGCCATGAGCTGAGCCACGAGCTGAGCCACGGTCATGCCATAGCGTTGGCAGTGAGGCCGCTGCAACGGCAATGGCCGGCCGATGCAAGCTCTGCAAACGGGACCACATGAGGCAAAGCGAGATGATCAAGGGATCCTGAACTTGAGCCGATCGTCATGTTGAGGACATTTTGTTCGAACTCCTCCAAAGATCGAACATGACATTGCCACATATGGCCACAAGAATTCGGCTAGTCTGGTGTGGTGCAAGTAGAGTCCTTGATTCTTTCACTTGCTGTCTCTCCCAAGACCAAATTGAGATTAGATGTTCCTTGCAATGCTAGGGGTACATTTCTATGAAATGACCATGATGCGAATGATGCAAAACAAGAAATCCTTCTCTAATTGGCATTTCGTCATTTCGTACTTCAAGGAATTGTTGGAGTAAGGTCCGGGCGCTGCAGCACCCAGGCACCAGTGTCAAGTAGCTCAGTGCACCGTGCTCCCCTGGACCAGAATCAGATAAAAATTAATGAGAAGATTCTATTGATATTAAGAACTATATTTAATATTATTTAATCTGTATTTCATTTCTATCTGATTTAATAGAAATCACGTCATTTTAATCCATTTCGATCCATTTGACATGGAATTAGGATGAATATGTAAGGGCACCTGCTGCAGCGACCCCAAAGGTCGCCCCGAGCATTGGTGCCACCAAAGCCGAAGGAGGAGACTCCGGAGATGCCTCGCGACTGTGGAAAACCTGGTGACTATCACAACATATCACAACTAGCCTAGCAATGCTTAGCATTTTGATGCATTTTGTATCATTTTCTGCATTGAATCAATCTAGAGCCAAGAACCGTCTGTGTCTTTTGCGGTGCAAGCAATGTATCTGATGTGGAAAAGTGGTATGTGTCTTGTTTTGTTCAGACCTTGATTCTAGGATTGGCAGGTGGAGGCGTTAGGCTTGCTGGGCTGATTGGGGTTGTCAATCATTTCAGGGAAAGATACAAGTACATGCCGCTGAAAAGAAAGGCTCATTGACACTCTCTTGGCTGTTCACTGCAGCCTGACTTGACACCATAGTCGGAGAGTTCGTTCGCAAAATAGACCTCCACAAGTGGACAGGAGGCAGCGAGTCGCCGGAATGAGAGCTGCCATTCCACTTCTCGGCGAGATGGCTCAATCACGCACAAGGTTGCAAATTCACAGCCGAGGCACTGGGTAGCCATTGGTGTCCATGTGTGGATTCAGTAGTCCTCGGCTTCATACCGTATCACCTCTCATCACAACCTCTTCTGCATTTTCCTGCAATGATGTTGGCATAGTCAATTCCACCTTGAACTCAACTCTTTGGCTTACCTGAAATAATTGTCCATCTGAAACTTCCGGAAAAATGTTCTCCCTCAGGTGGTTCTGCAGTGACATTAATACCTACCCACAACCAATTTCCGCCCAGATGCGGAGATGATTGTTCGATGGACAGGTACTGCTCTTAAGAATGTTCACACACTTCAGAACACCTGGTTCAAAAGAATTCAAAAGAGACATCAAGAATCATGGAGGTATCCAGGTATGCCACAAAACCATCAAAAACCTACCAACATCCACAAAACTTCAAAGTCGGCAGCAATAGCACAGCCTGCCATGCCAGCAGAGGCTTCAAGGTGACCCAGGTTCGTTTTGGCGCTTGTGTTCATGATGGGGGATGGTCGTTCCTGCCATGAGATAAGCATCCCAGCATATCCCGGCAGTGACACTCGGTCTCTTCAAAAGAGATCCGGAAGTGACTCGGAATGACTCTGGGAATTTGAGAGATGCAAGATCTTTATTTTCACACCAACAGAATAGGTGTGTCAATCCCAAAGTTTCCACAAGTTGCGATGTGTCTCCTGCATCACCATTCGCAGAGCGCTGACCTCGATCGGATCCTGCAAGTGGAACCGTTTCTCTTGAAGCAGAAACTGGAAAATCATCACAACCGCATTGCCGTATTTTGCTGCTTTGATTTGTGTGACGAAAATACCTGTCTGCCGATGTCTGCCGATGTCTGCCGGCATCTGAGGATGTCGTTGCTTCCAAAAGACCATCCCATCCCCCGTCATCGTGCGGTATGGTGCGGTCCCCCAAGGCTGTACCGGTGCCATGGCATTCAGCCACATTGATCTCACTGGCACTGAGCTTGGACTCGATCATGGAGGTCCTGCTCAGTCGCTATGCGGGCGCATCAGCTTAAACAAATATACCTTTACTATATACTCGTTTATCCCAATCAAACATAACTTAGTATAGCCGAATAGCAATTTTTCAGATGTATATCTGTTCATTGGTCCATGTATCTGTTTTTTTCCGGTCAATTCCCTCTTTCGTTCCCTCAGCGATTCACCAATCATTCATTTTATCCAGACATAAATCATAAACCAATGTGTGAGTTCACAAGGAATCATCCTCTTGCATTGTCGATTGTGCAGGAGCACAGAAGTATGGCTATGGTACCAAAGCATGTCCAGAAATGATCTCTACCCGTCAAAGCACAAAGACAGTCATGCGACGGCCTTGCCTTATGCACTGTTGCTGCGATGGGCCATTCGGCGCTGTCCTTTGGAGGAGACTCATCAATACTCATAGGAAAATGATCTTTCAAGTTCAGGATTTGGAGAAGTCGGCCCACATGCTCACCCCTACCCCGACTTCCCTTGCCGTCAGGCCACAGCGGAAAGGGAACTGACAAGGATGTCAAAGAAAGTCAAATGATGACCATGACGGCCGACTCAGAACTGAGAATCCATGCATACTAGCACTGCGACCATCTTGGTTCACTGCAGAGCCGATCAGTGATGCCAAGCATTCCTGTCACCCGCAAGATTGTCATTGTTCTAGACTCTTCCCAAGTCTGAGCAGTAAATACCAGTAATACCATTCATACCTAGATTCTTAGATCGCTACATCGTTCAAATCACTTGCAGAGACAAAGAGGACGCCTGTGCTTCGACCTCACTGGGGCCCATCTTCAGTGTCAAGCTACCGCAACCTTCGCCTCTTGCATAACCTGGCGTATTTGGAGAAAGGATCCAATCCTACATTGAAATGATTGAATCCTCACTGGTGCCCACTGGGTGATGCCCAGAAAGGCAGCTGATTAGGGACCCTTTCAGTGGCAACATGGACAGGCAACTTTACAAGGCGTGCAAGTCCTGAGCAAAAACCAGCACAAATCAATATAAACTCTCTGTTCCTGCACAAACAGCCTGATAACTCCAACAAAAGTGACGGGAAATTCAAAGGGTCAGAAGCAAAGATTTCCAGAAATCGTACGACCAGTCTTCGGAACGCAAGCTGTGCAGCTGATGTTACGATGCAAATATATGCAAATCATGATAATCGCGTTGCTATTCATAGCTGCTATTCATAGCTGCTATTCATAGCTGCTATTCATGCTAAATGAAGTTTGCTGTTTGGGCACCGTCTGCACTGCTGTCGAACGTGAAGCACCGGCCCCTCGGTGAAAGCATGTGAGGACCTCAGCTGGGAAGCTGATGAGTTCTAGAACTTCTTCGATTTGCAAAACAACTAGGAAGCGCGCCAGAATATTGGATGTACCTGCTGCAGGAGCAGGTACCAAAAGCAAAATGTTCGGGAGTGTCTGTGTGAACCTCTTTTTCATGTTTTCCAAGTTTGTCTGTTACCTGAGACCGTGACACGGTACTAAACGAAATTGATGCCAGGCCAAGCTGTTCGATAATAATCGACATCCGTTCCACAACTCCTAACCCGTGCTTGTTACATCTTGTTGCCACTAATAGTTCAATGTTTCAGCCATTTCTTCGGACAAGGGAAATGTGTCGTCATACTGAACCGCCGAAACGGCGCACATTCGTGGAGACAGCAGCAAATTGCAACCTTGCGCTAGTGCCATTTTGATCTCAGTGCAGAGGCAGGAAAGGGAAAATCGAGAGTAAGACCGTACAAAATGTTGTGTGCAACCTTGTAGCATTTGATCCACCGAACTGTGATATGTTGATATGTTCCCCATGGTCGTTCAGCTTCACAAGCGCTGCAATACGTGGCAAGGGATGATGATCTTTCTTACTGGCGTGCCAGCGCGGCATACAAGCTTCCTAAGTCTCAGACATGAGGCAGAATGCCCGGATCAACTTGCTCAGGCATCGCCTCTCTAAAAATGCGCTGGTAGCATTTCCGACAATGGATGCATCAGTCAAACTGCCACGCTTGCCAACACGAAAGAATGTCCTCTACCTTATCCGGCCCATAAAGTCATCAAGATGCATCATAATTACTTATATAGGTAGTGGTGACAGAAGTTGAGACTTGCCTTTCGCAGGGCATTGTGTGCCACACCAATGGCCACCAAGGAAGAAGAGCCTTATGTCATGTGAGAACCAGCAAAGGGAAATTAACAAATAGATTGAATAAACGTGAATAATTAAACTGCATAAATCCATCTTGAACGTTCCTGCACTGTATTTTTTGACATCTGCAAAACCTTGATGTCTGTATGATGATGTATGTTTTGACTGCAGTACCTGATCTCTAGTGCTGTGGCTGAAGTACAGAGGGCCCCTACAAGCAGTGTCCAAGGTTAATGTTGGCCCTCTCAAGCCGAGGACATGCGCCAAGCGCGATCCTGCATCTGCTTTAGTCCAATAAACACATCCAAGGACCTAAGGATTTGGAAGGCATACATTCGAAACTCCTTGCCGCATTACCACAACGAATCATCATCCAGCCCTTGCTACGTTTACCTTTGAAAGGGTGTGTGTGTGTGTGCACGCTTTCGGGAGTCGCCATTGTTGGGGCCATGGTCATCCCCCAAAAGAGGGAAAACCTTGCCCCCTTGGTGGCCTGATAATACGTGGTAATCCACCGGCCTGCCGGCGTGTCTTGTGGATCTTGTTTGTTTGTAGTTGTGCTGTCTGTCTTGTTCTTTGTCTTTGTCTGGACTTTCCCCTTGGCACGGATTTTTGCCTCTTCTAACTTGAACACCCACCCCTTCCCCCCCTTCCCCCTCGGTTTTCTTCGTCTTCGTCGTCATCGTCCTCTTCGTGCTTTTCGCTGGGCTCAACTCTGCCCACGACTCGCTCAACACGCGCTTGGTTTTGAACATTTTGCTGCTATTTCCGTTGTTTTTGTCCGCCTTTTTTGCTGTGTTGGCCACCGTTTGCTGCGTCGTTTTTCATGTCCAATACTTGATATAGGTTGTGTGTCACACGCGTAAGCTTTCTATGCATGGCCTTTTCTCAAAAGCCCATGTTTTGGTTTAAATTTAAACCGTGGTTTATTACACAAAAACCATGTTTTGCGTAGAAGCCATGGTTTACACAAAATGTTGTTTTACACAAAAACTGTGTTATGCACAAAAAACATGTTTTACAGAAAAACTATGTATGTTTTTCCTAGGTTTGTGCAAGTGCTGTTTGCGGTTTGCGGGATATTTTTTTCCATGGTGGCCGGTGAAACACGCCAAAAGCGGTTAAATATGTCAAAGAACCTGTTCAATCTGTCGCGCACGGGTAGCACTTGGATTAACTTTCGAAAATGCAAATAGATGCGGTTCCATGCAAATATGTCACCTCCAATGCTCTGTTGAGAACCAAGGGCGCGCTGTGGCCCAGCAACATGGCCAAACCTCAGATGGGAGCTGGAACACTCAATAGAAGTCAACAGCTGAAGGATTGGGGAGAGCATTCGGTGAAAACATATTTGTGCTCAGTACATGTACACTATATCCGAAGAATATTGTATCTCGTTCTCGTATCAACAAGTGTAATACACATACTATGTATATATATATATATATATACATTGAAAGTAGCGAGGTAATATAAACACTCATAATTACTTTTTGGGCCAAACTGACCCAAAACTGTGGCTAAAGGGATGGTAAAACCACCCGCAGAAGGGCCGGCGCAACTCAAGAAACCCGATTTCTTTGGTTTTGTGGCCGGCAAACTTCGCGGCAGAACCTGTGGTTAACTCTGTGGGAACGAAAAGCCATGGCATTTGTGCCGGCAAGTCGTATGGCAGAGCATCCGAAGCAGTGATGGACAAGCAAAATTAAGGGCAAATGTGCCGGCAAGAGGCCTGGCAAAGTGCGCGAACTAGCTCTGGCCAAGCCAAATATACGGACATGTTCAATGGCAGCAATGTGTTCAATCCAAAAGTCAATGAAAGTTGGTGCATGTTGGCACGTTTCAATGTGGAAAAGCTGAACAATGAAAATCAATATTGCATCCCCCTCTGCATGGGGTCCCAGCAAAAATGATCTGCTACTCCACCAGGGAAGCCATCTTATTGGTGATTTTTTCCATAAGCTGACTTGGGCAATGCCCGGGCAATTGCAAAAAACGCTTCTTTGATTGCCGCAACCTTGGCAGACGCCTGGCAAGAACCTGGCACAATCCTAGCAATAAATTGAAGGGTGAGTCGCGGTGGAACTGACCTGGCGAAGCGGAACCCAGCGGAACCCGGCAGAACCCGGCGGAGGAACCCGGCAGAGGAACCCGGCGAACCCGGCGGAACCTGGCGGACACCTGGCGGAAACCTGGCGGAACCCGGCAGGAAAAAAGTTTGTTGAAGGGGGTGGTGGTTTTGGGCGGGTTTCCGCCAGCCTCGGGCTTCTCCAAAGGTTAGCGCGAGGCCGTCCGGTTTGCGTCAAATTCTTATTCCCAAGTTTCTGCCAAGCCCCCGCCGTCTCCAACGCAAGACCCGTCACAACTAGTCACAATTTAAGCGTTCTTTTTCCAAAACAGCTTTCAGCTGAATTGTCAGCTCAGCACTGCTTGCCTGAGGGGCGGCGGCTGCTTGAGCAGCCTTGCTGTGAAATCAAGGTCCGCAACCAACTTGTCCAGTCCAATGCGCGGCGCTGGACGCTGGAGACCTTTAACCGTCAGCTTGGCAGGCGCTAAAAGCGATAATGAAAACCCGGTATGCACCTGGTGTCCGGCAGGGAACTATTGAAATAATGCCAGGCGCATCCCAACTCGGAAGCAAGTAATGATCAATAATTTATGTTGGTGCCAGGTTGTGCCTTTTGGGGCAACATTTCTACTCGGTTTGCTGTCTTTTTTTGCCTCGCATTTTTACTAACTTGACCGGCATGTTGCCGCCTAGTTTACCGGGGGTTCGGCCGGCTGCTTGGCCAGGGCCGAAACCACGATTTTCATCTTGTTTCTGGGGTGCGTGTTTATTCCCAGGCTTACACCAATCATACATATGAATATATATATATGTATTATATTTATATGATATATTAAATATTATATATATTATATATATATTATATTATATATATTACATATATTATATATATATTATATATTATATATATATTATATATATATATTATATATATATTATATTATATATATTATATATATTATATATATTATATATATTATATATATTATATATATTATATATATATTATACATATTATATATATATATTATACATATATTATATATATATTATACATATATTTTATATATATATATATATATATATGGCCGCCGGCAACCCCCCCAATGCTATCCCCCTCCCCAGAAGCACCCGCATGGGGGTGGCTAGCCATCTACGACCACCTATACACTAGCTAACAGGATACCTCCATGCAGTGTTCACTACTGACTACATGCCCATACAATCTATTTACAATATATTACTGCCCATAAAGTACCTTTATAGTAACCATACACTAGCTACTATCAAGATCTGATGTTCTATACATACGTGCTGGACAGGTACTACCTATACAATATCTACATGATACCTCTATAACGCCCCACCCATCCCGGGGCGGTAAGCTACACCCTGCATCACTCTATTTACAATGTATTACTGGCCACGTACTACCTCTACAGTATCACATGATACCTCTATAACACCGCACCCATCCCACCGGGGGGGGGGGGCGTGGGGGCAAGTTACACCCTGCATCACACTATTTACAACACATTACTGCCAATAAAGTACCTTTATAGTAACCATATGCTAGCTACTACCAAGATCTGATGTTACATTACATTACAGTACAGTACATTACATTACATCCATCCATCCATTCATTTTATTATCCTTTCTATGATTTATATATATATATTTTTATTATTTATTTATTTATTTATGTTATTCTGAATCATTTTACCAGCAAAGCCAAGCAGGTCGCTGCTGTGGCTTTCAAAATGAAGATCTTGGGCCCTGGCAGCTGAGGCCAATCACACCCCGAGTCTCCCAGGTAGACGCCACATGGGAGGCCGCGCGCTGAAGCCTCGGGCTGAACTACATTCGCAAAAAGCAATAAAATCTTACTAGACTTTTTTCTTCACTTTCTTTACTCATTTTGCTTGCTTTGCTTGTGAAATTAACAACTGAAGTGACCTATGTAATTAAGTGTTTTCATTAGTGCTAGCTCTCCACGCCTTGCTGACGCCAGCATTCCGTAGTGCCTGAAGGGAAGCATCTCACATGTAGCAAGAGTGATTGGTTGGACTGGGAAGAACTAGAACTTTTGTTCTTTTGGGATATATCTGTGTGTATGTATATATATATAACTATGTTTGTGTATATATATATATGTATAAAAATATAATTTGCTATACCCCTTTAGTGCTTATAACTAAACTTTAAAGCGTGGCAAACCTGCAGGCCAAACAGGGCGGCAACGCCTGCGGCAGAAATTTAGAAATTGTGGGTCAAAATAACGGGCCACCCTCCAGCCACTTTTCCCCGAACTAACTTTTGCACCTCTCCCAGGCCCGCCTGAGAAATCCCCCAACTGTTTCCACCCAGGTCCCCCCACGTCCTCCCTCCCAGGTTCTCCCAGGTTCACCCAGGAAATTGGTGATTTCCTGCGATTTTGTGGGTTTCAGAGATTTCCTGGGAGAACCTGGGTGTTATTTTCTGCGATTTTGTAAGGTTTCCAGGATTTCCTGGGAGAACCTGGGTGGAAACGGTTGGGGGTGCTGAGCGAACACCGTTTTGATATGTATCCTGCACCATTCAAAAACCAATTTTAACACCCAGAAACCCTCAAAAACTAAAACCCAGGCCCCAGAATCCTGATTTATATTATATGCATTACAGGGGGTTAGCAATATAGAATTATATATATGTATATATATGTCCATGTAGCATGAGCGCTTCCAGTGTCCAGTTCTCCCAGGGTCCACATCTCGCATTGCAGGGACCGCGTTTCGGCTTGGAAAAGGCGTGCCCGTGTGAAGACGATAGGATTCGCCACCTTTGACCGATTTTGTCATTGGTAGCGGAGCTCTGCCTAAGGTCAGGGCTCCAGCTAGGTAGGAACCTGTATGCCGGATGGCAAATGGCTATAGCTCCTCTGAAGCGACTGGGTTTCGCACGTTTAGTGGAGATAGCGAGGATGCTAAAGAATATAATAAACGCTGGAAAACCGAGGTGTCCAACAAGATCCTCACCTTGGCCGAGAAGATGCCCAAGGAAGCTCGAGGTGCCTATGTGTACACCCTTTCGGGCGGAAAAGCCTGGAACGTGTGGAACACTTTGATCCCGAAGCCTATCAGAAGGCTGACAGTGAGACTGTGTTGTTCAACCTGCTTGATCAGAGATTCCCGCAGAAGGACTCATCCGATGAACTTAGTGAGATTCTGACCGAAATTTTCAACCTGCGTGTGCAAGAAGGCGAAAGCAGTTTGTTTGGCCCGCGGTCTAGGAGTGTTGAAACGTGAAGAGATTGGACGTGCTATGAGGTCTTGTTGCCCTGAATTTGTGGCCAAGAAGAATCGCACAGTTCCTGTCCACCTCCTGGAAGCTGAAGATCCAATGGGTGACGATGTAGATTCTCGCGACTCTTCCGATCCAATTCTGGAAGAAGCTGAGCAGTTTTCAGCAGAGCCCGAGTTTTCCTTACCATCCAAGGAACCTGATGAGGTGTATGATCAGCATGATGTGGCCCAAGCTTTGGCTGTCACCTGGAAGGAAAAACGTCAAGAGCTCACCAAGCTGCAGCCTTCCAGAAAGTTTGCTCAGGCTGACCAACTGAAGCGATCCTTCCGTGTGGACGTGGAGGAGCTCAAGAAGAAGTCACGATGCCGCCTTTGCAATCAGTTAGGTCACTGGGCCAGGGAGTGCAAAAGTGCAAGCACCAAAGGAAGTGGCAAACAGGGCCATTCTGCATCCAAAGCTTCACCGTCAGGAGCTGCCTTTGTTGAATCCTTTGTCGCCATGGTTGATCACATGCCCAGTCCCCTTGACTGGTTGAGATGTCACGCCAGGAACGTAGCACAGAGTTCAGGACTCCAGTTTGTGTCATTAGCCCATCACTCCACTAGCAGCTGGCACTGGAAATCCTGAGTGCGTCGAAGAGTTTCTGGTAAGCTCTCTGGTTTTGGAGTGCTAGATTCAGGTTGTGGTCGTTCAATCATTGGCGAAGAAACGCTGCATGACTTTGAGAAAATGTGGGAAGAACGTGGCCTTCCCAAACCTGCATGGATTCCTGAGACAAATCATTTTCACTACGGCAGTGGAGAGCAAGAGACCATTAGATTTGCCGTCAAGATACTTGTTGTCTTAGGCACCAAGTCCGGTACTATTCGTGCAGCAGCAGTCAAAGGCAGAGCCCCACTTTTGATTTCACGACAAGCTCTGTAGAGGTTGAAGGCCACCATAAACTTCGCCACTAGTGAACTCACTCTGTTTGATGGCTCAGAGATGATCCCACTGACCACAAATGCCGCTGGCCATTTTGTGGTGAATGTTCTTGGATCGCCGACGAATAATCAGCAAGGTTTCAAGGTGATGATGAACCAGCCCGACGATGAAGCTGCTGAACCTCCTGAGGACCCTGCAGATCCGGTGCCTGCTGATGTTTTGCCATCTTCTGATATCTTCCGAGGGGCCATCCACAGGAATCGATTTGAGTGAGCTGCAAGTGGGGACACGATATGATTCTTCCAACATCTCATGTTCCATATCTAGGCAGGCAAGGTCCATATTGGCCTTTGGTTCGTCACAGAAAGGTGTATGACAATGACACCAACATCTTACTGTTCAGTGAGGACATCCAGCCGAAGCATGGTAAGAATAAGTATCGTCATCCCATCCCAAAACATGTCATGCATGTTCGCACAGAGTTTTACTTCTCACCGCAGGAGAAAGCCCAAAGCAGTGATAGCATCCCTGCACATTATGTGAGACAATTGGAGTCTCAGGCGCGTAGCGCGCTGGAGGAGAATGTGCCAACTCCTCACCGCCGTTCCAAGCTGCTGGTTGCTGAAGGTTTCAGTCCCCCACGTTTTTCTCCTGTAGTTGAATCCTTAGGTCATAGAGCTAAGTCCTTTGGTTTGAAGAATGGTTATGACTTTTGAGATCCTAAGATGAGAAGCCATGTCCGACAAGAACTGCAAGAAGATCGACCTGAATTGTTGGTGTTGTCACCACCCTGCACAGATGAGGGTGACCCCACCAACATGTTTTTGGTAGAAACCCACATGTGCCAGGAGATCTGCTGGATGAACCCTTAAATGTGGTGCCTGCCACTGCTGGATTGTCCGATCTCGCAGTTGCCAAGACTCCAGCAATTAGAAATGCAGCTCGCAAAGCAGTTTTGGAGCTTCAAGATAGCTCTGCATTACGCTGTGCTCTTGACGTGCCTTTGACTTTTGAATCTGGTGATTTGGTGGCATATTATTGGAGAGGTCAGAAACTCCAAAATGGACAGGTCGTTCAATGAGGTCGCTGGCATGGCACAGCGGTGGTCATTTGTTCAGTAGGCAGGAATTTTGTGGTAGCTCATCGAAAACAGACTTTCCGGGTAGCTCCTGAACAGTTGCGACCTGCCACTAGTGAGGAACGAGCTACGGTAGAGGCTCCCCAAACTAAACTTGTGGGATTTAAGGATATGATATAAGGTGGAACGTTTAAGGGGCGTAACTATATTGACTTGGTTCCTGGACATTATCCCACTGAAGCCAGCGCACAGGATGATATGGACAATGTTGATAAGCCACCTCAGCCCGCATCCTTTCCAGCTTCCTTGCCTCATGAACATGAACCAGATGTAGGTGTTTCTCCTGTTCCAGGTGCGCCCCCCGAATTGGCTGCAGAAAGCCCTGATGTGTCCACGTCTCCTACCGAAGTTCCTGATGTGTCGGCCTCACTTGACGAATAGGCAGAATCACCAGAGTTGTCCAAAGGACCTGAACCTTCATCCGAGGGTTCCAAATATGGGCCAATTCATCGAGTGCATGGCAAGGCTGGTCCGCAAACACTGCATCGACCACCAGCAATGAGACAGGATGATTTTGTGGATATGGTGATGGAAATTGTCCCACACATGTTAGAGCAGACCTCTGACGCAGCCATGACTAACTCAGCATCAACCGCATCCGGCAGTGGCCAGAAACGAAGTCATGATGTCTGAGCTGAAGAGTCCGAACCAGCGGCCTCGCGTCCACGTAGCCTTGCCACTGAGGCTCTTTCCGTGGCAGACATCAATCCTCTCTTTGAATCTTGGGATCAGCGCCCCAACATAGAAGTTCTTGTGGCCAATTACATGCAGAAGAAACAGAGTAAGGAAATCGCACCCACTGGTCATTCCACAGATGTCCAGAAAGTAGTTGATGACTCAAAGGCAGTTGAATGGCAGACTCTCATCGAGAAAGGCGCACTCAAGTTGCACTATGGTAAGAAGGTCCAACAACTTAAAGTCAAGTATCCCGAAAGATTCATGGGTGGTAGGTTTGTGATAACCCGTAAACCCGTAGAAGAGAATCAACATGTAAATGAGCATGATCCCAGCGTTTAGGGTGAAAAGTCGCTGGCCAAACTGGAAGAGGGCCTGTTGCAATCACAAACACTGAGTCAAATCGGGTGCGTGTTGCTCATGCAGCTCATCACTTCCCACCAATCAATGGGACTTGCAACTTGGTCACATTAAGGGGGCTTTTCTCGAAGCCGGCCCAGTGGCAGGAAAATATCATCCACTATTTGCAAAACAACCTGGGGGTGGAATACCTGGTGTGCCGGTTGACGCAGTGATTGAAGTGGTTGGCAACGTTTATGAGCAGAACGATGCCCCTCTGGCCTGGTATCCTGCTTTCGATGCCGCAGCTTCTGTTGCGGGGTGGGAGCGTGGCAAATTTGGCAGTTGTTTCTATGTTCTTCGTGATTCTCACGGACGCCTAGCTGGCGTCATGGGTGTCCATGTCGACGACACTGCTGTCGGAGGACATGGCGAAGTTTTCTCTAAAGCCATTGCCCATTTGAAATCTAGATTCCCATATATACCGTAAATGGAGGATTAATGAGGGAGGGTTCTGCGGAGCCTTTTACCGCCAGCACATCCATTCAAAAGAAATTCATATGTCGCAAAAGCTGTTTGCAGAAAAACTTCGTCCCGCTACGATCCCCACAGGAGCTGACAATGGCCAGTTGCTCAGCGATTCACAGGTGCGAGTTCTGAGAGCCATCAACGGGAGTCTCAACTGGATCTCTTCCCCAGTCACGTCCCGATGTGGCAGTACAAACTAGTCTCTCACAACAAGCTTTTGCCAATCCATGCGTCAGGAATCTTCGTGACGCCAATGATGCAGTAAGAAGGGTCAAACAAAATAAAGATTTGGAAATCTGGTTTCGAGCAATACATCCAACTGACCTAACTATTTGCCGTCACTCCGATGCTGCCTGGGCCAATGTTGGGTCTCACACACAGGCAGGCTACGTGATATCGTTTGTGAGCAAAAGTTTGACTGAAGGAAAGGTGTCACCTCGGACTGCAGCTGTTTGGAAGTCATATAAGATGTCACGAGCCGTGAATTCCACCTTGTCAGGTGGAAGTCAAGCTCTTGCAACAGCCAACGCTACTGTAGAGTGGTTGGCAAGGCTCTTGACGGGCCTTTCGACCCCAGAGTTGGCCGCAAGTTGTTGCGCCGCCGACCCCCAATCTTGACCACAGACTGTAAGTCTCTGTATGACCACCTGATATCCCCATCATCACCTACTGCAGTAGAAGATCGTTGGACGTCTATAGATATTGTCATCATTCGAGAATCCATGAAAGCAATGCAAGCTCACATCCGATGGATCCCCACTAACCGTAACCGAATGTTGGCTGATGGCTTAACTACGGATAAGATAGACCCCATCGACTTGTTAAGATCATGCATCCGCTCTGGTAATTACCAAATATCCCCCGAAGCACATGTGTTGCCACAACAAGCGACTGAGCGTGAACGTCGTCTGCAGAGACACAGCCAACCGATGCATGCCAGCTGCCAAAAAGGTCCTGTTAATGACATTGTTCTGCCCACCAAGGAGAGCAAGGTGTAGGTCTTCAGATCACATTATGAAAGTAAATGGTTTAAACAATTTTAAACATAGGCCTGTAGATCCTTCACAACCACCAAAACTTCCACCGACTGCACTCCCTCTTGTACAACCCTTGCGACGTGAGTTTTTCAGTTTTTATTTGCCAGCGATTTGAGTGTATAGTGCATGTTGCATGTGTAGCATACCTGGGGTCCAAAACTTGAGAAGCAGATAGCTTCGCACCGTCGATAGTTTCCACTTTGACTCGAAGTAGTCATCATGTCTTGGAGCTCTAAAGATCAGCAACAGCTTGGTTAACTTTTGGCAAGGGCCAAGCACCATGGCATTCGCATGGATTTGTCCGATGATGAGTTTGAGCTTCTTGCTGGGATGACCGATGCCAACAAGGGGTCATGAGGAGTTTGAGGACCAAGCACAGGCCAACAAGCGCCAGGTGCCCATTCACCACAAGAATCCTCTGACACGATGAACTGCAATGGCTCAGCTACCACCTATTCAAGCTTCTGGGCCGTACCGATTCTGAAGCAGTGGATTATGTGAAGTGGTGCAAGTCCCAAGAAGTGAAGCTATGAGCATAGGCAACCCTGGTCACCTTTTGACCATGTGAGCGCAGGATGGAGACCGCATGTTTCAACTTTTGATTTTAGGGATTATAAGCGGTGAAAATTTGGCATGAACGCTTCCAGTGTCCAGTTTTCCCAGGGATCACATCTCGCATCGCAGGGACCGCATTTCGGCTTGGAAAAGGCGTGCCCGTGTGAGGGCGATAGGATTTGCCACCTTTGACCGAGTTTGTCATATATATTTATATTATTTATATATATATATATATATATTTATTTATTTATATATGTATTTATATATTTATATTATATATATTTATATTATATATATATGTGTGTGTGTCGGAATTCTGTAATCATTGAGGTGGATATCTACCCGCTCTCATTGCGCATTTGCACAAGCAAATGGTTTCAAGCTGGACAATTCCCCCAAGAGGCTTCTGGTGCCTTACTTATCGGGGAACCACACCCGTCCAACTGCACCAGCGCCTCATAGCCGGTCTGCAAGACCAATCGCTGTGCTGGCGGCATGATGCTGGCCTTGGGTGTGTGGAGCGGATCAAGCATTTATATATAGCTCTCAAGTCGCCAGACCAAGTTTTTTGAAATTCTTTAAGGAGAGCTCCAATCAATCTATTGCAGCCCATCCGAATTCAGCACAGCTGCTTCCGTTTCCGAAATGCCAAAAAAATCATTGTCGAACATGATGACATCGTCCTCAGCAGCAAGATGGCAAGGCGACGCAAGACTAGTGAAGCCGTCCTTTCCATCACTGATTTCTTAGGATTCATGACAGAGACAGCAACATATATATATATCAATAAAATACATATCAAAAAATCATCTTTGAGGTGCACAACAAAGTGGCTCGGTTGTTGGATGATGTGACCTATTTGGTCCGTCTGATCTGAACATCTCTTACAGAGCTGGACACATGAGGAGGAGCAGCCCTCAGGGATGCCAAGCAGTCCCAAGTATTGTCGAAGATTGGGAATGCAACTGCTTAATTGCTCCACTCTGGGACACAGTGTCATGTTCTTCTTAGTCGTACTGCCGCTATGGGTCATCGTTGCAAAAGCCTCCATGAATGGCGTAGGTGAAACCTTCCTGTCGCAGAGTTCAAATTCACTTCGACACCGTTGTATTCTTCACATGATCTTAGCCGGGTCCAAAAGAACTGCTGCCAGGCCTTCTCCTCTGCAGAATAGTACTGGGCTGCATCCCAGCCTTCATCAGCAAGAGCATCAGCAAAAGCAGGAGCAAGTTGAGTCCTTCTTGGTGGGATCGATTGGAACACTACTTGCTCAATAATCATCTCCAAGAAGTTTATGCTTGCCCTTTCGAATGACATTCACATGCACACTTGTCCCATGCTGGCACACACTCTCAGTCGACAATTGGACTTTTAACATCAATGGCTGCCTGCAAATGGCTTCCTTGAGGCACCGGACGTGTGACTGGAACTGGTACTAGGCCATCACAAGAAACTGACAGACATGGAAAGAGCTGCTGACTTGAGGCAGCGATGAAGGTACTTTCTCTATCTCTGAGAATCTAAGAAGCGTTGGTATTGCATGGGTTTGCCAGGCAGCTTCACACAATGTCTGGAATTTGCAAGCTCGAAAAACCATAGGTAAAGATATGAACCGGCCTGTGGACACAGCCCAGTAGCCGCTCTGACTCTCGCAGTTGCCAGGATAGTGGCATGCCATGGACCTCGGGTTTCTTCTCCCACATGAAATCAACCAAGACAGAAGCCCAGAGAGGCTCACTTGAAGCAAGCAAACTGTGCTGCTTGTACGAAAGATGTCAAGTTTAATATGTTTAATGAGTCTGATGATGTCTGATGTCTGTTTTTGTTCATGTTTGCAGTGAACAACCTCAGCACTCATGTGGTCTTGTTGTGGCAAACTTGGCCGCCAGCCTCACCATGACTTGATGGTCATTCATCAGCTGTGATGGGACCTCGAAATCTTTGCCCTAGGCCTAGGCCCTACATGCTGAACTTTCTCGCGAAGGGTTTGAGCAATTCATGTAGAAAGACGTCCTGATCTTTTCTCGCTCCCAAGTAAAACACTGATATGCATTATGCGAGCAACTAAAGCAATACGTAAAGACTGCCACAATGCAGCTACAGCTCTTCTATTCTCCAAATAGGCTTCCCAACTGTCACCACCCGCAAATCCCGCGTGTTGGGCACATGGGACTGGCGAGACAAATAGCAAAGTGTGAAACTGTTGAGGTGAATGTGTGCGGGCAGATTCAGGCAGAGCCCGAGACACCTTTCAAACAAATGAAATAATAAAGACTGTAGTGAAGTTTTGGTCCACTATTAAACTATTTAAGCAGAATCTTTGTCATCTTTTCCTGCTGGACAACGCATTGCTGCACGTTGAGTCGTCTTGGGATTCATGAAGATAAACAGAACCATGTCATGCACAATCAAACATTTGCATCCTACCAGCGCGCACCTGGGTCACCAATTGCACTTGGAGAGCAGCACCAGAACCGCACGCACGATAAGTATAGGAAAACATGTCCTGGCAAAGTGACCAGTGTTTTGCCCTCAACACATCTGCGAAACGATGCTACACCGCAAATTTGAACCATTTGCCGCACAGGTGCCACATCCGAAGTCTAGCTCAACGTGGAGATATCAACTTGAGACCAAAAAATGAGACGATGGAGACCCTGTAGACTGTGTAGACATCTGTAGAATTCTGTAGACCTCTTCTCGTTACTGGGTCCTGACGAAAGACCACCAAGCGATTGGTGGGCAGAATCATCTGAGCCCCTTCGCAAAAGCGGGAGTCGAAGGGCTCCAAAATGAGTTCCTGAGGGCACACCCAACAATTATCCAACAAGTAAAGAAAGACTTCAAGCATCCAACGTGTTGGATAATTGTTTTTTGGATCATCTTGTGGGTTTTGTGATTTTCCCTTAGTGCGATCATCTAGGAACTTTTTTTTCGCACCTTTGACTTGCTTTGGTAAATGAACCACTAAGTCACTAAGTCACACACCGTCCCGTCATCGTCAAGAAGAAGCATGACACAAAGTTTCCTGCAGGGAAAAACATTGTGAAGCAATGTAACCCTTGTCAATTGGAGCCCTCCTGGTTGCGCTCAAGCAAAAAACTCAGCTCTGCGAATAGTACATAATAATTGTTCAAAGGCATCTGGAAGACCACTCTTTGGCACTGTCCTACAGAGATTCAAAACTGTCAAGGGTGGTCCTGTTCTCAAGGAAGTCGATATGCCCTAGCACTTTGCCATCCTGAAGCGAAGCAAACTGCTTCTGACTTCAATTCTGGGGGCAAAGCCAAACAGTTCCGGTCTTGCTGCGCAAAGTGTTGACAAATTTTAATAAAGCACATGCTGCAGGACAAAAGTTTCAGGGGCCTCATAGTTGCTCTGCGACAATGAGAACGGTCGATACGAGCTTTCCTTCAGCCAAGGCAGTTGTTTCACACATCTCGGCTTCTGCTTTGACTCAAGTCCACAAATGATCCAAGACTTACTTCCTGTCAAAAGTCAGACCTTTGACCCTCCAGCCTCGGACTTGCTAGAGAGTGGAAGCCTGTCCAACCGAAAGCCATGGATCTCATGAATCTCATGAAGCAGTTCTTCGAACGAGCACTTGGTCACTGCCTTGCTGTAACACGCGAGCAGCCCCACAAGGTAAAGCCCAGCCGCGAGGGGACCTTCGCCGCTTTCCATCTGTTTCACACAAATTTTGCCCACATCTCATTGATGCAAACTGGAAAGCACTGGAAAGCTGATCAAAAGCAGCTACGTTAACGTTGCAATTCCAAAGTGGGATGCTTAGTTGGATGCTTTTGTGATTGACGCTAACTATATAACAACGGGCGACAAATATCCATCCAGAATGCAACTGAGCCAACCAACATAGGTCTCAATGGCTGCAGACACCTCGGCAAACCAATCCGAGCCAGTCATAGGTTTCTTTATTGCAGGCCACAAGAAGAATCTGTTAGGAAGGATTTATTGAAAATTTATTGATTCACATTGATTCTATTGCGGTTGAGCGATAGCCTGAACCATTCTTGCAGCCCCCATGCAGTGCTCGACAGTTGCTTCAAATGTGTGGCTGAGAGATCATTGATAGTCTTTGAAGATCCAAAAATGCCTGATCAATGCCTGATCTATCTTCGGATGCAGTGCGTGAGACTTCTATTTTGACGAAGACCGCTCTTTGCCCAGTGAAGACACTGCCAGCCGGAGATTTGGCACATTTGGCTCTGTTCCAATGAGGGATCCAAAATCAATTAGCACCTCCACGATAACAATATTTTTTTTAAGGTCTGACCGTAGGCTTCTCTTTGGGTCTTGTGCGGAAGTACCAATCTGATCGATGAAAGCGCCATAGCATTGCAGCAAAAACTGCTTCCTCACGCATCAAGTAGATGCGCATTTGCAGGACGCACATCATACCCCATTCACTTTTCGTTGCCTGGCAGACAGGAGGTAATCACTGGACATAAACTGCTCGAATCTTGGACAATGTCATAACAAACTGTCCCCTCAAAGCTATCCCCACATGTCAGGCAGCTGTGCCATTTGAAACTCCTTCCATCACATGATTTGCCATGTTCAGCCATGCCGCAGTTGTTCATCCGTTGCCGATCAACACCTTTTTCCACTATCGGAAAAATTATCCCATCCCAACACTTCTGCCTTTTACAGCGCTGATCTCTTTACCCGCAGCTTTCTCAATGGATTTCACCTTTCGCAAGGCAAATGAATGACGGTTTGATCTGGAAAGGGTTGTCTTCATCATACCTTTCGACCATAATCAGAATCCACAGTGGCATCATCATCTACTGTCGCAAGTCCCGGATGGCGATGTTGAAGCATAGACAGTTTCTTCTGTTTCACCAAGATCCAAGAAGTGCCAACTTTGTCTGGGCAATTGACTTCCGGTCAATTGTATTCAAGTGTGACAACGTGTTCTAATCTGGGCCCCTGGCAACATAGGTGTAATCTGCATCAGGGCCATGTTCTTTGGCAAAGTCTTGCCTTGGATCAGCGTTCATAGCGGAACGCTTGGTGCCAAGAAATGAAAGTGTTGACATGGGCATGAGTTTGCGTTATGCTGAGCCACGGGGAGCCTTTAACATGCAATCGTCTGTCTGTGTTGGGTGCCAATCTGTGTGCGTGTGTGGGTGTGCGCGCCTGAGACTGAACTTTGGTTGACACTGCAGAGTGCATCGACTGCATCGATTGAGAGTCAAATCCAAGGAGCACTAGCTGAGCGGATCTTGGGAGCAACTGTGCCGATGGCATTTCCTACAAAACAGTTAGAGACACGCATGAAAACATATGAAAACCCATCGAACTTAGGATTCTTAGGATACAAAATGTCCACTGACAAATTGAAGCCAGGCCAATCCAGCCAATCCAACCTCGCGAAGGATAGTCTTTGAATGTCTTCAATCTACTTCAATCTCTAGCCACAAAGTTCCAACAACCGATGTCTTGACAACAGGCCACTTAGCCTTGAGAACATCTGCAGCAATGCGGCAGTCTTTGGCCATCAAGGGCAGCTTGAAGCCATAACCTGCAAGGTTTCCCTTTGATGACGGAGGTTTCCTCTTATTTCCTTTCAAAACATTCAAGGAGCATTGTAAAAGAGGGACAAAATAGAAGCAGAAAACTTCAGCCCACTCTAGCTCAACTATCTTCGCACACATCACATCCCTTGCTTGTCAAGATTTTTTGCAAAGAGTTCTAATTCATTGCGGAAAACAATGTCCAAAAATGTCCAAAATATAAAGCATCAAACGCCGCCAAGGTACCAAAACGCCGAGTCAAAACTTCCTGCAGAGGCTCTAAACCAGATGAATATACGGTTTTGAAAACTCAAGGGAAACAATGCCGGCAGAGGGTTGGCTGCACCAGGTTGCACAGAATCCAGGTAGCGGACCTGTGGCAGTCGTTGCTCTGTTTGAAGGCTGCGACCACTGGAGCCTTGGCTGCCCAAACGCTATGGCAGTTGAACATAGGAGTCACTCTTTTCAACTCATTTCATGCGAGTCAACTTGTGAACTTAATTATGGCATGCCTCCCGTCTGCCCCATCCCTCTGCATACCCAGGGACCATTTATCGCGTCCAAAGCCACAGATGGATCCACACCAAGTTTCTGGAGAGCCAAGAGTCCTTCTGCACCCAGCATGAGGTGAGTAACCTTCAGCCCCAAAACGCCACCATGATCAATGTTCGAATGTTTTTCGATGGGGAGTAGTGAAAATCAATGACAGTCTGGACAGCTCCCTGGACAGCTTCACGGGACTTCAGGGCTAAATGTTCAATGCCAAGCGGCATTGAGAGCATTGTTGACGGCTTTTACAGCATGGCCAGCACCACTAGGACCACAATGGACCACCTGCAGTGAAACTCGCATTGTGAAGTATATAACATTACAGGCTGCAGCGACTAGAATGACTTGCTGCAAAGGGCCTGGAACACAACAAAATAGTTTCTCAACGTTCCTATCCACTATCACATATTTTTGTACATACACGCATTCACAGTCTTGCTTGGTTTTAGCTTTACTTGTGCGAGCACAGTTCATAACATGAACAGATCAAAAGAAACAAATGGGCCTTCCTCACAATCTCTAACATCTCTATATACTCCACCCTGGCCTTCTGAGCAAAGGTTTTCAGCACTGGCAATACCATCTTTGTGGCTTCTTCACTGTCACTGCCCAGCATGCAAGTCAAGCTTCCTGATGGCACGGAAAGTCTCGATTCCACAGGCTGAAAAGTCAGAGGAGCACAGCAGGTTTGATGAAGAGAAGGCAACGAACAAAACAAGCAAGCTTTACAAGAGAAGAAACTCTACATGTCTCTACAGTATATTATATATATACACTGTATACACATCATATGTCAAATTGTCAAAAATGGTATAGCGTCTATGGTCATTCATCCCATATTAAATGCTTACAAGGAGTATATAAATCCATAATGGATTGATGACCATCCCCCAATATTGGTGTATAATCAATCTTTTTGGCACATATACATGGGACCGTGAAACCCTCCTGCTGCAGCACCACGAGGTCCGCCACTTACGGGGCAATCCAAAAAGTGGACCTCACTGCAGGGTCAGGTGCCAAGTCAGTGCCGAGTCACTGCCGACTGCGGGGAAAGATCAGTACACTTACTAAACACATCAACACAAGACAAGATCGACAAGGTAGGAAAGCTGATTACTTTATGGCGAGGGCAGGTCCTGGCATGTTGTAGAGTATCTTGTTCCCAGAATATTACTCACTCAATGACTCTACGGCGAAGTGTCACTTGTGTGTAACAAATATTGCTGGGCGATCGGCGCCAAACCTCTCCTTCAAGGAGTGGGATAGTCGCTTGGTGACAGCAGGGGCACCTGCGTTCACTTTTGTATGAACATGCGGTCGAAGGTTTTCAAACCCCCCCCATCCAGAATCCCATTGATGCTCCGGGAAAGCTTACCACTCCCACAAAATCAACCAAAATCAACCAAAATCAGCCAAAATCAGCCACCAAAATCAAGTCTTTTTGTTGACCATCATCCATTGCACCTGAGGTGCAAGAGACCACGCAAGCATCTTTGGCCAAATGAGGAGCCACCTGCGACGGCCAACTGGATTTAGTACTCATCGACAAATTCAGCTACTCAGAAACTTTCTCGCTTCCTCAAGGACTCAAGGACGTCAAGCATGTGATTTTGCGATGATGGCTACTTGCCCGGATGCCAACCAAGAAAGCGAGAGACAAAGAGAGATGCCTGCTCAACAATCGTTTCATCCTCTTCGGAGGTTGGCAAGCAAAATATCAACACCTTGCGAGTCAAGCAGTTTGGATGGAAACCATTGAATTGACTCAATGCAATTCATTCTATCTTCTCTGACACATGCTGCCAAGCAATTCCAACCCAGCCTGACTGGATGCCAAGTCTTGCAGCTTGTCCGCCACACTGGAGCCAAACTCCTGGGAATGCTGCAGGGCCTCCAGGGTTCGACACACCACAAGTTGACAAAAGAATTGACAAAAATCTTCAAAAACGCCAAAAGAATCAGGGTCAATTGCATTTGTTGCATCTGCTGCATCTCGGCCTTGGTCTTCGTGCGATTCCAAACCAAACACTGGCTGTGGGACTTGGCCATGTGCCCAGCCATGTGGTAGCCCATGGCACCTCATGCGACAAATGACCATGACTGCATCCAATGGACGTGGGCAGGAAACCGATCAGCCTACACAAATATCCTGGAAACATTTTGTGACCCTGCTGGCAGTGAAATCCAGATTAAAAAGCAGGTTTGTGACGGTTTGTGCTAGAAAATGAGACTTTCCAATCCAACAATGTCTTGTTTGAGTGCAAACATGGCACCCAAACCCACAAAACCAACTCTCATGCTGCTCGGACTTCCTTCGACGCCGAAGGAGCACAAGTCGCAAATGTTGAAATTGTAAAAGTGTTTTGAAAAGTTTCCAGTAGTCTAGGCGTTTGGAATGCACTTCAGCAGTCACTTTGGTGTACACTTCGAAAACGCACAAGGGCGAGACAAATGTGTTCATAGAAAGCGGAGAATCATGTGCAGTCCTCCCATTTCTGCTGCTGGACGTTTCCTCTGCATCAAGGGACGAGTTTGGTGGCAATTTTTTTTTCAATGCCTGCCTCAGCCTAGATTCAGTTTAACGTCTGTTGACTTGCACAGCCGACACACCTGGTTGGTACTGCGGCACTGTGGATACATGCATACACCCATCCATCCATCCATCGATTCATCCATCCATCCATACATACATACATACCATTGCGTTACATTGCGTTCCATTGCATAACACTACATAACATTACATACCAGTAGTACCGCACAAGGCGGTGGCGGAAATTTCAAGGATAGGAGGCTATAGGAGAGGTGAGTTGTTGTGATGCATGGATGGCAGAGCGAATCCATTGATGGACCGAAAGGTGGTTGGAGTTGTGTTTCTTGGAGTGGCTGCAATGGTTGCACTGGTCACCTCACCCACAAGTCCTGGATGTAGTGTGGTGTAGTGCAGTTGTTTTAGCTGCCGCTGTAGTTGTAGTTGTAGTGGGGTTGATGCTGTTGAAGTTAAAATGTTGTAGTTGTAGTTGTGGTTGTAGTTGTAGTTGCAGTGTAGTTGAAGTGTAGTTGAAGTTGTAATTGTCTTAATTGTAGTCATTGTAGTAGTTGCTACACTTGTGGGAATTGTAGTTGTAGTTGTAACTGTAGCTGTAGCTGTGATGTGATTGTAGTTGTAGTTGCAGCTGTAGTTGTAGTTGTAGTGTAGTGCTGTGGTAATTGTTGTAGTAGTAGTAGTGTAGTTGAAGTTGAAGTTGTAGTTGAAGTGTAGCTGTAGCGTAGCTGAGGTTGTAATTGCAGTTGTAGTTGCAGTGGTAGTCGCAGTTGCAGTTGTAGTGTGGTTGTAGTAGTAGTTGCAGTTGTAGTTGTAGTAGTAGTGACAATTGTAATTGTAGTTGTCGTTGTAGTAGTTGTAGCTGAAGTTGTAGTTGTAGCATGTTGTAGTTGAAGTGTAGTTGAAGTTGTAGCTGTGGTTGTAGCTGTAGTTCTTGCAGTTGTGTAGTTGAAGTGTAGCTCAAGCGTAGCTGAAGTCGTAGTTGTAGTTGTAGTGTGGTTGTTGTAGTTGTGATGTGGTGTCGTGCAGTTGCAGCTGTCTATCTATCTATCTATCTATCTGTCTGTCTGTCTGTCTGTCTGTCTGTCTGTCTGTGTGCGGTCTATCTATGTATCTATCTAATCTATCTATCTGCAAGTTTGTTAACGAAGCTATCTGCGAGACTTCCTCAATTTTTTTAATTGACAACATCAACAAAACAGAAATTCTGCGAGACATCCTCAACTTTTGAACTTGACAACGTCAAAAACGAAACTATTCTGCGAGACTTCCAAAATGTTTCAATCTGACAACATCAGAAATGCAGCAATTCTGCGAGACTTCCTTCAAAAATGGAAAGTTGAGTGCAGAGCTGACGGCCTCGTACCAATGCGTTTTGCAATTTTTCCACTCCATCGGTCTAAAGTGCTGCGCCAGCCACGAAAAAGTGATGCCAAGTCATACAAAGTGCTGCACCTGTCACGCAAAATCATCTTAGCAAACCTGAAGATCTGATGCTCCAAAATGCAACCTTCTCAGGACATCAGTGCCCTGACCTCCTAACATCTCTAATGAACACGTCTTTGGTACTGCGCCCGCCACGCGACGTGCATCTTTCCAGATCCTCTTCAAATGTCCCACGCCTGACATCGTTTTTGGAAATGCCACAAAACCCTCCCGATTTGCTCACTTTTGGCAAAGGTGCAGAATCCCTTGTGCCTGCCACGCAAAACCACATCTGAACCTTCAAAAGTGGTCCGAGAATGGTGTGCTTTGTACATTTTGACTTGGACATGTGCTTCGTGCCACAACGGCGTGCACTTTTTCGACACTCAACTTCCAAAAGTGCTCCGAGAATGGTGTGCTTTGTACATTTTGACTTGGACATGTGCTTCGTGCCACAACGGCGTGCACTTTTTCATCATCTCAACTTCTGAAAGTGGTCTGAGACCGTCAGTTTTTAACACTTTTGACTTCGACATGTGCTTCGCACCACAACAGCGTGCACTTTTCCAACATCTCAACTTCCAAAAATGCTCTGAGCATGGTGCGTTTTGTACGTTTTGACTTCGAAATGTGCTTCGCGCCACAACAGCGTGCACTTTTTCATCTCTCATCTGGCCAGATGGCTCCGCGCCCGCTGCTTTAGCGAGCCTACTTTTTGACCCTCCGGTGCCACAAATCATTGGAAAAACATAGTGAATCGCGGCTTTGCTACCTTTCACGCACCTGCATCTTCTTTCCTCTGACTCTTTCTCTTCTCTGATCTTCTTTCTTCTTTTCTCTTCTCTGACTCTTCCCACCTCTGCTTTTTCATCTGCCCATATTATTTTTTATAATTGTCGGAAGTTTGGCGTCTAAACTTCCTTCCAACATTACCTAACAGTACATAAGGTTACACCCGCCAGCCCTTCCGAGTGCAGATCGCGTTGACCAGGTCGCGTTGACATGGCTATGCTTCCGACTGTTGGTGTTGGTTCGGGGGGGGAGGTTGGGTGAGGGAGTGTGGGGGTGTGTGGGGGGGGGTTTGGGTGTAGGGGGTGGGGGGAGGTGTAATAACGTTTTGTCGCATGCGTTTCGCGGCCTTTGTTTTTCGTTACTCGTTACCACGGTCTTGATGCTACGCTGTGAAAATTCTCCTGTACGCTCTATGACGCTCTTGACGCTACGCTGTGCCTGTACGCGTCATGCACTCTTGATGCTACGCTGTGAAAGTTCTCTTGTACGTTTTACGACGCGGTTGATGCTACGCTGTAGAAGTTCCCTTGTATGCTCTATGACGCTCTTGATGCTACGCTGTGAAAGTTCTCTTGTACGCTCTACAAAGCTCTTGATGCTACGCTGAAAAGGTTCTCTTGTATGTACGCTTTACGACGCTCTTGATGTTCCGCTGTGGAAGTTCTTTTGTACGCTCTACGATGCTCTTGATGCTACGCTGTGAAATTTCTCTTGTACGCTTGACGACGCTCTTGATGCTACGCTGTGAAAGTTCTCTTGTATGCTCTACGACGCTCTTGATGCTACAGCGTAGAAGTTCTTTGTACGCTTGGGTTGGTGCGTGTTCTTCGAGCTCTTGCCTTGCACAGACAGAAGGCTTCAAGATCTTCAAGTGGGTTAGCAAATCCTACACAACGTTTTCAAAAAACCACTGTGGAACATCTGAAGACGCTAGAAGAAGAAAAAAATGCTGACTACCATCACAGGTCCCTGTGTGAAAACCACAAATTCGCTTGGTATTTACAATAGATTTTGAATGGATGTTCATTTTGCATGGTGCCCACAGTACTTTGGAAGCATCGTAAACTTGGTAGTAAGATTACAATCGAGAAAACAGCTTTTGCGTTGTGGTACGCTCCAAAAACAAGGATGATGTCCGCGCAACAGAAGACATGTTGCTCAGGATGATTGTTTCAGAGACAACACAAAAACATTGGAAAACGATGCAAAATAGACATTTCATGATGAAAGATGTCATTTAAGGCATCTGGGTCCCGGAGAACCTAAGGGCCGCACCCACCATTACATAACATAAAATTAGGTAACATTAGATAACATTACATAACTGACCCCTATATAACATTACACAATATTACATTACCTAACGTAACATAACATTACATTAGGTTACATTACATAACATTACATAACATTGCACACAGACCTCGAGGTTTGCCCAAGCCCAGAACAGCGTAAAAACCAGGGAATACTGTACGACCTCAAACAACGGGAAGGATTTTATGTTCAATGGTGTTGCTGGGGTGTTAACCAGAACATGCCGCTTCTACATATCCTATGGAATTAACCATCCAACTATTAGGGCTTCTTATAGGGTTTCAAAAAGATATCCAAATCCCCCGGCCCCATGGAACAGTTAGCCATACAGTCATTGGGGTTTCTTGTAGGGTTTCAAGAAGATATCAAAGTCCCCGGCCGCATGGAACAGTTAACCATGCAGTCGTTAGGGTTTCTTGTAGGGTTTCAAGAAGATATCAAAATCATCGTCATCGTCATCATCAACATCATCATCATCATCATCATCAATCATCATCATCATCATCTTGGCTTGCCCGGACACTCGTTGGAAGTCCGGGCAAACCTCAGGGTCTTGCAGTAAAATTACATTGCATGACATTACATAACATTGCATAAGATTACATCACATACCATTACGTAACATTACATCACATTACATAAAATTACATAGCATCACATAGCATTACATAATGGAGGGCTTTTATTTTTGTTTTTTGTTTTTTTTCGCGGCAGGTTTTGGATTTTGTTTGGGTTCCTGGTTCTATGCTTTCCTGTTTCTCTGATTTTCTGCTTTTCTGCTTCTCTGCTTCTCTGCTTTTCTGCTTTTCTGCTTCTGTGCTTTTCCTGCTTCTCTGCTTTTCTGCTTCTCTGCTTTTTCCTTTCCATGCTTCTCTGCTTTTCCTGCTTCTCTGCTTTTCTGCTTTTTGTTTTTCCTGCTTCTTTGCTTTTCTGCTTCAAGTTTTCCCTGATGTTCTGCTTTTGTACTTCTGTGCCTTTCTACTTCTACTATTCTACTTTTCTTTTCTTCAGTCATGTGTTTTTGCTGCTTTACTTCCTGCTCCTTTGCTTCTTTGCTTCCTGTCTTTACTGTCTCTTTGTTTTTCATTTTCTTTTGCTTTATTCTGTTCTATGTGTATCCTAAATGAAACCCTAGAGAGACCCTAGGTGAAACCCAAAGAAACCTTAAAGAAATCCTGATAAGAAACCCTACATGAAGCCCTAAATGAACCCTAAAGAAACCATAAATGAACCCGAAAGAAACCATAAATTAGTCCTGAAGAAGCCATAAATGAAACCCTAAAGAAACTTTAAATGACACCCTAAATGACATCCCAAAGAAACCCTACACAACACTCTGAAAAAAATACACCAGCATAGACCCCAAACAGCAACAACGCATGTTTCCACCAAGGTCATGCGCAATTCAAAATTCATGGAACTCTCTGGCACACTCCTGTTGAGAAAAGAAAGAAGAGAGAAGAAGGGAGACAAGCACTGGAACCCCAGCCCGAACCAGGAGGAACCAGGAAATCCATGAAGGAACAGAATCCCTTTCCTGAGAAAAGAAAGAAGAGAGAAGAAGGGAGACAAGCACCGGAACCCCAGCCGGAAGCAGGATGAACCAGGAAATCCATGATGGAACAGAAGCCCTTTCCTGAGAAAAAAAAGGGAGAAGAAGGGAGACAAGCAACGGAACCCCAGCCCGAAGCAGGAGGAACCAGAAAATCCATGATGGAACATAGCCCTTTTCCTGAGGAAAGAAAGAAGAGAGAAGAAGGGAGACAAGCACCGGAACCCCCGCCAGAATGAAGAGGAACCAGGAAACCCATGATGAAACAAAACCCCTTTCCTGAGAAAAGAAAGAAGAGAGAAGAAGGGAGACAAGCACCGGAACCAAAGAAGAGAGAAGAAAGGAGACAAGCACCCGAACCCCAGCCGGAACCAGGAGGAACCAGCAAATCATGATGGAACAGAACCCCTTTCCTGAGGAAAGAAAGAAGAGAGAAGAAGGGAGACAAGCAACGGAACCAAAGAAGAGAGAAGAAGGGAGACAAGCACCGGAACCCCAGCCGGAACCTGGAGGAAGCAGCACATCATGATGGAACAGACCCCCTTTGCTGAGGAAAGAAAGAAGAGAGAAGAAGGGAGACAAGCACCAGAACCCCAGCCAGAACCAAGAGGAACCAGCAAATCATGATGGAACAGAACCACTTTCCTGAGGAAAGAAAGAAGAGAGAAGAATCAGAAGCGAGACAAGCACCGGAACTCCAGCCGGAACCAAGAGGAACCAGCAAATCATGATGGAACAGAACCCCTTTCCTGAGAAAAGCAAGAAGAGAGAAGAAGGGAGACAAGCACCGGAACCCCAGCCGGAAGCAAGAGGAACCAGCAAATCATGATGGAACAGAACCCCTTTCCTGAGGAAAGAAAGAAAAGAGAAGAAGGGAGACAAGCACCGGAACCCCAGCCGGAACCAGGAGGAACCAGCAAATCATGATGGAACAGAACCCCTGTCCTGAAGAAAGAAAGAAGAGAGAAGAAGGGAGACAAGCACCGGACCCAAAGAAGAGAGAAGAAGGGAGACAAGCACCCGAACCCCAGCCGGAACCAGGAGGAACCAGCAAATCATGATGGAACAGCACCCCTTTCCTGAGGAAGGAAAGAAGAGAGAAGAAGGGAGACAAGCACCAGAACCCCAGCCAGAACCAAGAGGAACCAGCAAATCATGATGGAACAGAACCACTTTCCTGAGGAAAGAAAGAAGAGAGAAGAATCAGAAGGGAGACAAGCACCGGAACTCCAGCCGGAACCAAGAGGAAGCAGCAAATCATGATGGAACAGAACCCCTTTCCTGAGGAAAGAAAGAAGAGAGAAGAAGGGAGACAAGCACCGGAACCCCAGCCGGAACCAAGAGGAACCAGCAAATCATGATGGAACAGAACCCCTTTCCTGAGGAAAGAAAGAAAAGAGAAGAAGGGAGACAAGCACCGGAACCCCAGCCGGAACCAGGAGGAGCCAGCAAATCATGAGGGAACAAAGGCCGCTTCTAGCAAGAATTGAGAACCCCATTCAGCTCAAGAACTGTTTGAAGAAAAAAACTAAATGAAACCTTAACTGACACCTCAGCTGAAACCCTAAATTGACACCCTAAAGAAACCCTAAATGAAACCCAAAATTCAAACCCTAAATGAAACCCTGAAGAATCCGTAAATGAAACCCTAAAGAAACCCTAAAGAAACCCTAAATGAAACCCTAAAGGAACCCTAAAGGAACCCACTTGAACGTTTGGAAATCTTGAAAAAAAAATCTGGTAAGAAAACCAACCTTAAATAAAACCCTAACGAAAGTCTAAATGAAACCCTAAAGAAACCTTAAATGAGACCCTAAGTGAAACCAAAACTGAAACCCTACAGAAACCCTAAATGAAGCCCTAAATGAGACCCTAAAGAAACCCTGGAATGAAACCCTAAAGAAAGCTTAAATGAAACCCTAAATTCAAACCCTGAATGAAACCCTAAAGAAACCCTAAATGACACCCTAAAGAAACCCTAAATGAAACCCCAAAGAAACCCTAAATGAAACCCTAGAGAAGCCCTAAAGAAACTCTATATAAATTAAACCCTAAAGAAAACTTAAATGAAACCCTAAATGAAACCCAAACTGAAACCCTAAATGAAACCCTAAATGAAGCCCTAAACCAAACCCTAAAGAAACCCTAAAGAAACCCTAAATGAAACCCTAAATGAAACCCTAAAGAAACCCTAAATGAAACCCTAAATGAAACCCTAAATGAAACCATAAATGAAACCCCAAATGAAGCCCTAGATAAAACCCTAAATGAAACCCTTAATGAAACCTTAAATGAAACCCTTAATGAAAGCCTAAGGAACCCTCAAGAGACCCACATGAACGTTTGAAGCACCAAAATGCAGCAAATACCATGCAAATGAGAGGTTGAAATGCCAAAATATAACAAATACCATGCAAAATGGAAGGCAAACATTGCCAAATGAGCAAATACCATGCAAACTGCAAAGTGACCACGCCAAAATGTAGCAAATACCATGCAAACCGACAGGTTCTAGTTCCAAACTGTTGCAAATACAAGGCAAATGGTACCGGGAAAGAAAGCCAAAAAAAATCCAAAACCTGAGGCCTGAGGCAAAAAAAACAAAAACTATTCTACACCCTTACATAATATGACATAACATAACATGACATAACATAAGATACATACATATATATTATGTATATCATTGAAACATGTATCAATATGTATATGTTTTTCTAGTATTTTTGAATATTATTCGAATTATCATTTTTGTTATTATCATATTTTATCATTATTATCATCATTATCATTATCACTCTTACTATTGTCAGTATGCCTTTATTTTGTGTATATATTATATATATACATATCATATATATATATATATACGCAAATATATAATCAGCTTGCACCGCACACATGCATTCTCTAGTCCTGGACATTCGCGCAGAAGCCACACAGGCACTCTGGGACAGCTAGCGGTACATTTCTTTGCAGAAACGAATATGAGCACGTCTGGCTGTATGGAAATCAGGAATATATCACATATCGTAAGCTACTGACTGATAATAAACGGAAATCATCACAAATTGTCTCAACGTTGAAAATCAGGGGTAGTAACTCCGGGTTGTAGTTTCGGTAGTCTTCGCTGAGATTTGATTCTTGAGCCATGTTGAGCTCTGCGTGCACACTGTTGGTATATATTCGTTTTGATTGCGTGGTTGGGACTCCGAAAGGAGTTGATTGCCAGACCAAGTTCGATGCTTTGTAGGTGACAGTTCGACTTGAGCCAAAACCTGCCGATACAGTTTCTACGAAACCAAACTCACAAATGGGGTGAGTTGAGCAATCCTATTAGTGAGTGGCAACTTTCCTGTCCAGGAACCAGACAGAATGCAGCAATGCAGCAGGACCTTTGAGGCCCTCCGGCACAGCATTTTGGAAGTGTGCCTCAGCTGTATGCAAGACCAGTCCAGTCAAGAAAATACTGAAATATTCATAAATACTCGAGAAAATGCACTACACGGCAACACTTGGTAAAAAGAAATCATCCAGGCACCTGATCATCTGCTTGTGTTGCCAGCTCCTTCTGTACCAGCCTGGGGCGGGCGTTTGTTAATCAAACTGAAAGTGAATTCACACCTGTTCAACTGTAAGTTGTGACGCGTGATCCGAGAAATAGATAGATAGATAGATAGATAGATAGATAGACAGATAGATAGACAGACAGATAGATAGACAGATAGATAGATAGATAGAGAGAGATAGATAGATAGAGAGAGATAGATAGAGAGAGATAGATAGAGAGAGATAGATAGAGAGAGATAGATAGATAGAGAGATAGATAGATAGATAGACAGACAGATAGATAGATAGATAGAGATAGATAGATAGATAGATAGAGAGAGATAGATAGAGAGAGATAGATAGAGAGAGAGAGAAAGAGAGATAGATAGATAGATAGATAGATAGACAGACAGATAGATAGATAGAGATAGATAGATAGATAGAGAGAGATAGATAGAGAGAGAGAGATAGATATATATATATATACTATGTATACTGTATACATTTGCACAATTTTTTTTTCCTCAAACGCCTGCTGGAATTGCCTGGTCAGTTGGAACAAACCTTGTTCTAATAGATTGAAACCATGAAAACCAAGAGAACCGGACTGGAGGGAGCATACCAGCGAAGGACAAATCGAAAGGCTGTGCAGGCAGAATTAACTACGGTATACCGCCGGACTGGAAGTTAGAATGCCGTCTTATTCTCCAAAATTTTTAACATCCCAAGTTAGAATGTGTCTGGTTTTTTTTTTAGAATGCGTCCCCCAATGGGTTCCCAAAAACAGTCAAAATATCCAGAATTAGCTTGGGAAAACAGCTTTTTTCTTTCTCTTATATTAGCAGCTTCAACAGATGATGGGGAAACCAAATGATGGTGAACTTTGCTCTTGTGATGGTTTCGAATTTAACGCATGAAAGCTTAGAATGCTTCCCTGTGGGTGTTATGGTTGTGTGACAGTAAAGAAATGTATGAAAACACAGTTTTCCATATACAATCGTAAAATGGTCTATATCATTTTTCAAGTGTGTGTGTATATATATATATATATGCATGTATCCATTCCTGGCAGTCCGGCGGTACACACACACACATTATAAATATATATATATATACCGCCGGACTGAAAGTTAGAATCAGGCTTTGGTGGAAGTACATGGATTTCAAGCAAAAAAAACGCGTACCCCGTGAGAAATCCGGGACGCATTCTAAACCTGTCTATTTAGTCCTAAAACCCTAACAAAATCCGGGACGGCATTCAAAGCTTATTTAATTAGTGCTGAAACCCCTAAAACTCCAAATCCATGTTTTCTTGAAATCCATGTTTATGTTAATTATTTTCATTATTTTCAAGATATTTATTATTATTTTTCGTTGATCTTTCATTATTTTGAAGATTGTTTTCATTATTTTCATTTGTTTTTTCATTATTTGACGATGTTTTTCATTATTTTTTATTGATATTTTTCAATGTCTTAAAGATGTGCTTCATTTTTTTTGGTGTTGGGTAGAATTTGCAAATTACATGCATATTCTGCAAAGTTGCAGTACATGGAAGACACAGGACGGTCGAAAATTCAAAATTTGGAGTTTTAGGGGTTTCAGGATTAAATAAATAGGGTTAGAATGCCGTCCCGGATTTGTTTAGGGGTTTCAGGACTAAATAAATAGGGTTAGAATGCCTCCCGGATATCTCACACGGTACGCGGTTTTTTTCTTGAAATCCATGTGTGTGTCAATTAATTTTTAATTATTTTCAAGATGTTTTTCGTGATGTTTCATTGATCTTTTCTTATTTTGAAGATGGTTTTCATTATTTTCAATTTTTTTTTCATTATCTGACGATGGTTTTGATTATTTCTCATTGATTTTTCAATGTTTTAAAGACGTGCTTTATTTTTTTTTTGCATGTTGGGTAGATGTTTTACAATTTACATGCATATTCTGCATATTTTCAGTACATGGAAGACACAGGACGGTCGAAAATTCAAAATTTTGGAATTTTAGGGTTTCAGGATTAAATAAATAGGGTTAGAATGCCGTCCCGGATTTGTTTACGGGTTTCAGGAATAAGTAAATAGGGTTAAAATGCCTCCCGGATTTCTCACACGGTACGCGGGCTTTTTCTTGAAATCCATGTTTATGTCTATTAATACTTCATTAAATCCAGATGTTTTTCATTATTTTCATTGATCTTTCATTATTTTGAAGATGGTTTTCATTATTTTCATTTGTTTTTCATTATTTGACGATGTTTTTCATTATTTCTCCTTGATTTTTCAATGTTTTAAAGACGTGCTTTATTTTTTTTTTGCATGTTGGGTAGATGTTTTACAATTTACATGCATATTCTGCATATTTTCAGTACATGGAAGACACAGGACGGTCGAAAATTCAAAATTTTGGAATTTTAGGGTTTCAGGACTAAATAAACAGAGTCAGAATGCCGTCCCGGATTTGTTAAGGGTTTCAAGACTAAATAAATAGGGTTAGAATGCCTCCCGGATTTCTCACACGGTACGCGGGTTTTTGTCTTGAAATCCATGTGTATGTTTATTAAATTTTCATCATTTAAGATGTTTTTCATTATTTTTCATTGATCTTTCATTATTTTGAAGATGGTTTTCATTATTTTCATTTGTTTTTCATTATTTGACGATGTTTTTCATTATTGTTCATTGATTTTTCAATGTTTTAAAGATGTGCTTCATTATTTTTTTGAATGTTGGGTAGATTTTTTGCAATTTACATGCATATTCTGCATAATTGCAGTACATGGAAAACGCGGGACGGACGAAAATTCAAAATTTTGGAGTTTTAGGGGTTTCAGGATTAAATAAACAGAGTCAGAATGCCGTCCCGGATTTGTTTAGGGGTTTCAAGACTAAATAAATAGCGTTAGAATGCCTCCCGGATTTCTCACACGGTACGCGGGTTTTTGTCTTGAAATCCATGTGTATGTTTATTAAATTTTCATAATTTAAGATGTTTTTCATTCTTTTTCATTGATCTTTTCTTATTTTGAAGATGGTTTTCATTATTTTCATTTGTTTTTCATTATTTGACGATGTTTTTCATTATTTCTCATTGATTTTTCAATGTTTTAAAGATGTGCTTCATTATTTTTTGTGTTGGGTAGATTTTTTGCAATTTACATGCATATTCTGCATAATTGCAGTACATGGAAAACGCGGGACGGACGAAAATTCAAAATTTTGGAGTTTTAGGGGTTTCAGGATTAAATAAATAGGGTTAGACTGCCGTCCCGGAGTTGTAAGGACTAAATAAATAGGGTTAGAATGCCTCCCGGATTTCTCACACGGTACGCGTTTTTTTTCTTGAAATCCATGTTTCTGTTTATTTGTTTTCATTATGTTCAAGATGTTTTTCATTATTTGTCATTGATCTTTCATTATTTTGAAGATGGTTTTCATTATGTTCATTTGTTTGTCATTATCTGACGATGTTTTTCATTATTGTTCATTGATTTTTCAATGTTTTAAAGATGTGCTTCATTATTTTTTATATGTTGGGTAGATCGTTTGCAATTTACATGCATAGTCTGCATATTTGCAGTACATGGAAGACACGGGACGGTCGAAAATTCAAAATTTTGGAGTTTTAGGGGTTTCAGGATTAAATAAATAGGGTTAGACTGCCGTCCCGGATGTGTTTACGGGTTTCAGGAATAAATAAATAGGGTTAGAATGCCTCCCGGATTTCTCACATGGTGCGCGGGTTTTTTCTTGAAATCCATGTTTATGTTTATTATTTTTTCATTATGTTCAAGATGTTTTTCATTATTTTTCATTGATCTTTCATTATTTTGAAGATGGTTTTCATTATTTTCATTTGTTTTTCATTATGTGACGATGTCTTTCATTATTTTTCATTGATTTTTCAATGTTTTAAAGATGTGTTTCATTATTTTTTGGAATGTTGCGTAGATAGATGTTTTGCAATTTACATGCATATTCTGCAAATTTTCAGTACATGGAAGACACAGGACGGTCCAAAATTCAAAATTTTCGAGTTTTAGGGGTTTCACGATTATATAAACAGGGTTAGAATGCAGTCCCGGATTTGTTTAGGGGTATCAGGTCTAAATAAATAGGGTTAGAATGCCTCCCGGATTTCACAGGGTACGCGGGTTTATTCTTGAAATCCTTGTTTATGTTATTTTATGTTTCTTTTTTACATTATTTTCAAGATGTTTTTTTCTTATTTTCATTGATCTTTCATTATTTTGAAGATGGTTTTCATTATTTTCATTTGTTTTTCATTATTTGACGATGTTTTTCATTATTTTCATTGATTTTTCAATGTTTTAAAGATGTGCTTCAGTAGTTTTTAAATGTTGGGTAGATTTTTTGCAATTTACATGCATATTCTGCAAAGTTGCAGTACATGGAAGACACAGGACGATCGAAACTTCAATATTTTCGAGTTTTAGGGGTTTCAGGACTAAATAAATAGGGTTAGAATGACTCCCGAATTTCTCACACGGTACGCGGGTTTTTTCTTGAAATCCACGTGTATGTTTATTTGTTTTCATTATTTGACGATGTTTTTCATTATTGTTCATTGATTTTTCAATGTTTTAAAGATGTGCTTCATTATTTCTGCAAATATGCAGAATATGCATGTAAATTGCAAAAAATCTACCCAACATAAAAAAATAACAATGAAGCACATCTTTAAAACATTGAAAAATCAATGAAAAATAATGAAAAACATCGTCAAATAATGAAAAACAAATGAAAATAATGAAAACCATCTTCAAAATAATGAAAGATCAATGAAAAATAAAGAAAAACATCTTGAAAATAATGAACAATTAATAAACATACTCATGGATTTCAAGAATAAACCCGCGTACCGTTTGAGAAATCCGGGAGGCATTCTAACCCTATTTATTTAGTCCTGAAACCCCTAAACAAATCCGGGACGGCATTCTAACCCTATTTATTTAATCCTGAAATCACTAAAACTCCAAAATTTTGAATTTTCGACCGTCCCGTGTCTTCCATGCACTGCAAATTTGCAGAATATGCATGAAAATTGCAAAAAATCTACCCAACATTAAAAAAAATGAAGCACATCTTTAAAACATTGAAAAATCAATGAAAAATAATCAAAACCATCGTCAAATAATGATGTATTTTGTCCTGAAACCCCTAAACAAATCCGGGACGGCATTCTAACCCTATTTATTTAATCCTGAAACCCCTAAAACTCCAAAATTTTGAAGTTTCGACCGTCCTGTGTCTTCCATGTACTGCAAATATGCAGAATATGCATGTAAATTGCAAAAAATCTACCCAACATTTAAAAACTACTGAAGCACATCTTTAAAACATTGAAAAATCAATGAAAAATAATGAAAAACATCGTCAGATAATGAAAAACATGACATGAAAATAATGAAAACCATCTTCAAAATAATGAAAGATCAATGAAAAATAATGAAAAACATCTTGAAAATAATGAAAACAAATAAACAGAAACATGGATTTCAAGGAAAAAAACGCGTACCGTGTGAGAAATCCGGGAGGCATTCTACTATTTATTTAGCCTTGAAACCCCTCAACATTCTAACCCTATTTATTTATTCCTGAAACCTGTAAAACTCCAAAATTTTGAATTTTCGACCATCCCGTGTCTTCCATGTACTCAAAATATGCAGAATATGCATGTAAATTGCAAAACATCTACCCAACATTAAAAAAACTAATGAAGCACATCTTTAAAACATTGGAAAATCAATGAAAAATAAAGAAAAACATCGTCAAATAATGAAAAACAAATGAAAATAATGAAAACCATCTTCAAAATAATGAAAAATTAATGAAAAATAATGGAAAGCATCTTGAAAATAATGAAAATTAATAAACATACACGTGGATTTCAAGAAAAAACCCGCGTACCGTGTGAGAAATTCGGGAGGCATTCTAACCCTATTTATTTAGTCCTGAAACCCCTGAAACTCGAAAATTTTGAAGTTTCGATCGTCCTGTGTCTTCCATGTACTGCAACTTTGCAGAATATGCATGTAAATTGCAAAAAATCTACCCAACATTAAAAAACTACTGAAGCACATCTATAAAACATTGAAAAATCAATGAAAAATAATGAAAAACATCGTCAGATAATGAAAAACATGACATGAAAATAATGAAAACCATCTTCAAAATAATGAAAGATCAATGAAAAATAATGAAAAACATCTTGAAAATAATGTAAAAAAGAAACATAAAATAACATAAACAAGGATTTCAAGAATAAACCCGCGTACCCTGTGAAATCCGGGAGGCATTCTAACCCTATTTATTTAGACCTGATACCCCTAAACAAATCCGGGACGGCATTCTAACCCTATTTATTTAATCCTGAAACCCCTAAAACTCCAAAATTTTGAAGTTTCGACCGTCCTGTGTCTTCCATGTACTGCAAATATGCAGAATATGCATGTAAATTGCAAAAAATCTACCCAACATTTAAAAACTACTGAAGCACATCTTTAAAACATTGAAAAATCAATGAAAAATAATGAAAAACATCGTCAGATAATGAAAAACATGACATGAAAATAATGAAAACCATCTTCAAAATAATGAAAGATCAATGAAAAATAATGAAAAACATCTTGAAAATAATGAAAACAAATAAACAGAAACCTGGATTTCAAGAAAAAAACGCGTACCGTGTGAGAAATCCGGGAGGCATTCTACTATTTTTTTAGCCTTGAAACCCCTCAACATTCTAACCCTATTTATTTATTCCTGAAACCTGTAAAACTCCAAAATTTTGAATTTTCGACCATCCCGTGTCTTCCATGTACTCAAAATATGCAGAATATGCATGTAAATTGCAAAACATCTACCCAACATTAAAAAAACTAATGAAGCACATCTTTAAAACATTGAAAAATCAATGAAAAATAAAGAAAAACATCGTCAAATAATGAAAAACAGGTGAAAATAATTGAAAACCATCTTCAAAATAATGAAAGATCAATGAAAAATAATGAAAAACATCTTGAATATAATGAAAAAAAAATAAACATAAACATGGATTTCAAGAAAAAACCCGCGTACCGTGTGAGAAATCCGGGAGGCATTCTAACCCTATTTATTTAGTCCTGAAACCCCTAAACAAATCCGGGACGGCATTCTAACCCTATTTATCTAATCCTGAAAACACTAAAACTCCAAAATTTTGAATGTTCGACCGTCCCGTGTCTTCCATGCACTGCAACTTTGCAGACTACGCATGTAAATTGCAAAAAATCTACCCAACATTAAAAAAAATGAAGCACATCTTTAAAACATTGAAAAATCAATGAAAAATAATCAAATTCATCGTCAAATAATGATGTATTTTGTCCTGAAACCCCTAAACAAATCCGGGACGGCATTCTAACCCTATTTATTTACAGTAATCCTGAAACCCCTAAAACTCCAAAATTTTGAAGTTTCGACCGTCCTGTGTCTTCCATGTACTGAAAATATGCAGAATATGCATGTAAATTGCAAAAAATCTACCCAACATTAAAAAACTACTGAAGCACATCTACAAAACATTGAAAAATCAATGAGAAATAATGAAAAACATCGTCAAATAATGAAAAATAAATGAAAATAATGAAAACCATCTTCAAAATAATGAAAGATCAATGAAAATAATGGAAAACATCTTGGATTGAATGAAGTATTAATAGACATAAACATGGATTTCAAGAAAAAGCCCGCGTACCGTGTGAGAAATCCGGGAGGCATTCTACTATTTATTTAGTCCCGAAACCCCTAAACATTCTAAACCTATTTATATATTTATTCCTGAAACCTTTAAAACTCCAAAATTTTGAATTTTCGACCGTCCCGCGTTTTCCATGTACTGCAATTTCGCAGAATATGCATGTAAATTGCAAAAAATCTACCCAACATTAAAAAACTAATGAAGCACATCTTTAAAACATTGAAAAATCAATGAAAAATAAAGAAAAACATCGTCAAATATTGAAAACAAATGAAAATAATGAAACCCATCTTCAAAATAATGAAAGATCAATGAAAAATAATGAAAAACATCTTGAACATAATGAAAAAATAATAAACATAAACATGGATTTCAAGAAAAAAAACGCCTACCGTGTGAGAAATCCGGGAGGCATTCTACTATTTATTTAGTCCTGAAACCCCTAAACAAATCCGGGACGGCATTCTAACCCTATTTATTTAGTCCTGAAACCCCTAAAACTCGAAAATTTTGAATTTTCGACCGTCCTGTGTCTTCCATGTACTGCAACTTTGCAGAATATGCATGTAAATTGCAAAAAAAACTACCCAACATTCAAAAAAATAATGAAGCATATCTTTAAAACATTGAAAAATCAATGAAAAAAATGAATAATGAAAAACAAATGAAAATAATGAAAATAATGAAACATATTGGTCCAGAAGTCAAGCGCGAACCGGGGCGCATTCTAATTCCCAGTTAGAATGCGTGCGTTTTACCCCGTTGTATTCCAAAATTTACCGCTCTATAGGTTTCCAAACGCGCATTCTAACTTCCAGTCCGGCGGTATATATTTAATCATGACTTAAGCCTTCAAGTGTACTTATGTCATAATTCCCGTCCATTAATTTACATCCAGTCATAGAACGGGACATACATCGGGCCCTTTTGCATGAATTGAATTCAACAATGTAACAGAAGCAAGGAAACCTATAAATTTGCAAAATCGGAGCAGTCTTCATTTCTGCAAATGCCTTGCAAAAACACAAAACGAGAAACACACTCTTTGCCCAGCCTGGCATTCGCATCCAGGAATGCATACTTTGAGGTATTCTTCCGGCCCAAATATGCAGCTTCAAATTCCTGGAGAATTGGCACCGGACCGCCATTGGACCGCCATTGGTGATGGACCATGTAAATCCAAAAAACAACAAATTCAATGGGAGAAAATAGGTCTGACGGTCACCACCTCAAGCAATACCTCAAGCCACTGAACTGGGGCACCGGTTTGCAGGCCAATCCTTGCATCTTTGAACCAAATTTTAGGCATGGAATGCAACCTTGTCCGGGTACTAGGTACAAAGATTGTATAGGACAATGACGTTTTACATGCATTGATACTGCTCAAAATTTATGTGTTCATTAAAACATCATGTTGGCTTTCAGCCCGTGTTTCCATTTTATACATGTTTTTCTTTAAAACAACCACTCACCGACACGACAGGCACGACAATAACATCAATTACAAATGTCCTTCTTGGGTAGTGCCCAGCCATTGAGATTGTAGCAGTCGTCAACAGCTTCTTGAAGCTCCTGAATAAGGCGCAGAAGAATGCGGAAAATCTGCCACATTGAACCTACCCATACTCGAATTTCGATTCGATGAGCCACCCAGCAACACAAGGAAATCATCCGTCGCCGCTGTTCGCAATTTTCCTTTTTGAGTCAGTTGAGTCTTCGCATTTATGTTCCACATGATTTTGACAACAGCGTTTGCTGAAAGGATTTTGCGTCTGAAACAACGAAATTGATCCTTTATATTCTCATTTTTCCTTCATCACTTGGCTGCACACCTCAACATGCCTCGCTTTCCTTTCTTTCCCTTTCCTTTCCCTTTGGCTGGCTGATTGGCTCCATTGTTGCGATTGGATGGAGGAGGTGATCTTGATCGCCCAGGGTCTGGTTTGGCCTTCGGCTTTGGAGCTGGCCTGTCATTGGATGTTTTCGATGCAGACAGCGGTAGGGACAACCTGTGTCAAACTCACTGATGAGTAGCCAGGTGGAGGCGCCTGATGAAGGTAGCCGAAGAGATCGGCATGATATGAGTTCATGGAGTGGAAGCTGCATGCCTTGACTACATCAAAGGCCAACGCCCTCCTCTTCATCGCGTTGACCGTCTCCAGCTCTGTTGAGGTTGAACACAGCCGCTCCTGAGCACGATCCTTGATCACGAGTGCAGATTGATCGATCGACACCTCCTTTGTGGCTTTCTTCTGCACCAGCACCTGCCTCCTGGTCGGAAACTTGCCCAGGGAAAGGTACAGGGGCGTGTCTTTCTCCATCATGCTAAGGACGACATCGTAGCTTTGGTAGCTGCATTCCCCTCTCCTTTGAACCGAAGACTTTCCAAGCGAGCTTTCTCTCTCTCTCTTTCTCTCTCTCTCTCTCTCTCTCTCTGCTGGCGCCAGTTTGGTTTTGACCTGATCATCGGTCTTGTGCACCTTGTTTTGAAGGTCTGCAGATAGCAACGTTTGAGCTTCAAACGCGATTGACAGAGGCATATGTCCCTTAGTTGGGTACTATTCTGGCACCGAAGAGAGCATCGATCTGGGCGTCTGTTGGAGCTTCGCCTGGTGGGCAGGCTGCAAAAGCCAAACGAGCCAGCGAATCCACTCTATTGGCTCTCAAGGCATCTGCCTCCTCAGTCAAGCTGACTTCAATCGCTCTTGATCTGAGAGCCTCCTTGGATTCCAGAAGCGTTTTCATGGCTTCGAGTCACGTGACCTCTGCTGCAAAAAGGATGAAAAAGTGACTTCATTATATGCCATTTAGTGTCCGTGCTTTGCTACACTCACATGCGACAAACCCTGTTAAAGTGCCTGACTATGAGGAAAACTGATCCTGACTTGGCCTCATGTCTGTTTCTGTGCCATCTTGAAAATTTTGATGCACGTTAATCAAGGAGCCCGGAAAATAAACTCGATGATTTCTCACTTGAGAAATGCCCATAACATGGCTGACGATCACCGCCTACTCAGGCATGCCACACCTAATCAAGACTTCAGCACAAAAGGCTCAATCTGGTCTTTCTCAAGAAATGCCCAGAAAATGGTCAGAAACTGCTGCCCACTTAAGCATGTTTCTGACTAACTTGATCGATCACTTGATCGAAACTGAAAAAGGTGAGCTCATGTCAGCACTTCACTTTTCGCGATCCAAGGCGCAGCTTCTTCGACGCAGATGCGAACTGACCCACCGTCTTACCGGGTCCCATTGTCTGGGAGCTGCTACAGGATCATGAGCATCAGGTGGCTCATTTTCGGAATCACTCGACTACCCTGGAGAGTCACTTTCGAAATCGGATGATGAATCGGATGCTTCCACCGCTGTTGGGGTGTCTGAGTCTTGGGCCCCTGATGCATGCGCATAACCCAGTGAAGGATCTGGCGCCGAAGGCACGGGTGCGAATCTGCTGGAGCACTGTCAATCTCTCTCAACGGCTTCGCAAGATTGTCACGGCCATAGCACTCTGCGGATGACTTCCCGGTCGAATGATGACCAAGGAGCTGCCCGACGCACGGGTCAAGGCCCCACTTGGCACACCAGGAAAGAGGTGTTCCTTTCAAGGTGTGCACTGTGGTGTACTGAAACTGCGCCGCATTTCCTGAACCATTTCCCCGCCTCGGATGTTGTGACCGACCTCTCTGACCAACTTCCATCTGGCTTGGAGGCAGTCAGCATAGGAGCCATGTCAATTTCATGAAGGGCCCTCCCAAAGCAAGGAAACGCCCCATACAGGTGCAACCAAGGGCATGGCCAATCCGCTTTTTCCTGCAAGACAAGTAAGACGAGCCGTTTTGTGCGACCTCGTCGGGCACTCCAAGTAACCAGATTTTTTTCGCTGGCTCTCTGTGACATCAGCCTGGAAAACATAAACTTTCTTGAGATCTGACCATCTACTCCTGCTGTAAAGACAGAAGAGCATGCATCCGCACGCTACTCGATCCACCAAGCTGATTTGCTCCTTCGAGGGACACGTCTCCAGTGACTCAACTTCCTTGACTGTCAACAGTCTGGCCTGGGTTTTCTCAGCTCGATGTGCATCACTGACCTCTAAACTTCTCGCCAGCGTTCACATTCATACCTAGGAAATGTCTACAGAAGTTGAGAGCCTCAACAAAGCCGTGCATAGTCGAAGCAGGTTTGCTCTCCCTTTTGAGGTGTTGCAGGTACTCTTCGACTGACTCTGGTGTTGCAGGGAATGGGCAGAAATGGAAATACCTGCTCTTGTACCACTCGAAGACCTGCAAAATGCTGGTTCCTCTCATGAGGATCGTGCTAGGACTTCTGTTACCAAACACTATCTTCATGCTTTCAAGGTCGTGCGTGTTCATTGATGGCGTCTCGCAGATTGAACCCTTTCGGCCAAGCATCTTCGGACGGTGAGAAGATCATTGACCACTTTCCAAAGCCTGCCTAAGAGCCTTGTCCTCTACATCCTGCTGGGACATGGTTACCTTGAAGTTCATGACTTCACTCACAGCACCCCTTCTGGTTTTGTCACTCGGCAAAAGGGGACGGACCCAGCACTGCCCGAAGAACCCAGGTTTGCCGGCTGGCTCACAAATGGCATAACGGGCACAGGGATCATCGGATTTTTCTCTCTTTGGAGAATCTGTGATATTCCAGGGCGCTCCCAAGTAGGGCTGTACACCGAGGCATTTGTCCCCGATCATGGATCGGAGATTTCTCCTGAAAACCGGGTCTAAGTCTCTGACTTTCTCTGGCCGAACATCCGACTCTACATCTGGACCCGGAATGTAAGCCAAATCCGTTTCACCAACATCGTCCCATGAATCCGCTAAATCTTCGGATGCTACATAAAAGCCGGTATGTGATCTAATTCCTCGGGGGGAGGAAGTCGGATGCTTTCGGAGTTGATGGATTCATCATGCCTACCTGCCTCACGATCAGGCATTCTCTTAGATTAAAAGAACATGCGTCGGGAGAACTCAGACGAGCAGCACGATCATTGGCCAATGATGTTCAGACACCTGTCCTGTCCAGCTCAGTCGCACTTTCCAAATGCCGCGACAGGAACATGTGATTTCGGGCTTCAAATCCATCCATGAATGCTTTCACATAAACACGTCACTTACCCGTGAAAGCTCACATGAACAGAACATGAAATAAATCTACGCTTGTGATTATCAAAGAACGATTGACTTTGGTGCCCATGTCATAAATACAAGGGCATACTCGCCTTCATCAACCGAGAAATTCAGCCCTGCACTCCAAGCCACGATTCCACTCGCCTGCATGAAACGCAAGGAACACTCGCCCACGGTGAGGTTAGAAACTTACATCAACACTCGTGGCAATCAATCTCTCATCACCGAGATTCGAACGTCTCACTCGAGCCGTCCCAAGGACACTTCTGAGGTTCCTGACAGGCTGGTGCAACTTGTCACTATCTGACTTCAGTTTAAGACCAACCTTACACCCGGCACTGGCCCGGCACTTGTCAGGGTTAATCTGGCATGTATACCCAAATTGAAGGTGGTCTGCCGACTTCCGGACTCTACCAACGGCTCTACATCCAAGCACACTCCTTTGTCACCTGATCATGACAGGGCTACTATGAACTGCTCTCTCCCGACTCACACCCCTAACCAGTGTGGCCGGCCTCCGAGCCCAAGCCAAATTTGGAATCGTTCTCTCGCCTGAGACAGAGAGAGACAGGCGGTTGACTTCAACCGAACTCAATCAGAGTCACTTGACGTCTGAATGACCACAACTTGTCACTTGACAAAGCAATCTGAGTGTCTTGACCAAAATTGGGGACGATCGGATAACTCGGTCCCGTGCGCTCACTTGAGCAAAAACTCAGGTCATGTATCTAGTGAAACAGGCACCTGACATACGCCTGTTGTAGTTCCCATGCACTAAAGTGTCGACGCAACACATGCTGCCATTATTTTACAGTTTACAAAATAATTTACATGTCAAATGGTCACGCGACTTTACTTTCGGAAAGGTGACTTCTTGCTGGGTCTGCGATGTAACGATGCAACTCTGTGGCCAAAAGCATCGATCTACAAAAAGTGTCGAAGGCCTGGAGAGGCTGGCAAAAACCGAAGGTCGAAGTCCACAGCGACGATCACTGCTGCAAGTGGAGCCTGAACTCCTCCACAGCATCGGGATGTTTCGATGCTACGAACTCCATGACATTGCCAAGGTGAGCGCGTACGCGGGTAAGCTGGGTCTTGAGGACATCCATCTTATCTTCCAGCAACCCCATTCTGTCCGTCATTCTGCCCACGTAGTCGATGACGTCGGTCATGGGGATGGAGACTCACCACGAGAGTCACTTCAGGGGCATCCTCCGGTCTGGTGCCATCAGGGCACAAATCCACCAGCCGATCACTCTCATCTGTGACTGCAGCGATGTGGCTGTAGAGGCGCCGGGTCATCAGGATGAAGTACCGCTTCGACGGCTCAACAAGGTCGTCGAACCCAATCCAATTCTTGTGTGGCATCCCCACCAAGGGCCCATGAGCTGATGGTCCGGGCAGGAGATGGGATACATCAAACCGGTGAGCTTGAGCCACGGCGCCTAGATGCCAATCCAT